CCGTCGCCAGGAACCTTGTATCGTAAAGCGCTCGTACCATCTCTCTTTTAAACACCCCCCTTCCCATGGCCAGTTTACGTCCTCTGATACCCCGTACATGGCGCAGAAGCCCGAATTCCCGACAACGGATGCTGTCCACGCCAAAGCTCGTGTGCGGCTGGCCCTGGTCTCTATTTCGTGTCGGCAAAGCCCTGCAAAGCCCCATCATCGCCCACATGAGTATTGATGTTGACGATCTCTGCATACAATCACGCTCACAAGGACCTCGAAGGCTCAATAAACACTGGCATTAACCGGGTACAACGATAAAACTGGGATCCATTCTCTAGATGTGTGATGGTGTATTATGATGAGCGGTAGACCGGCATTCAAAATTCTTGTTGAAGGATCTTAAATATGCCGTTTTTCCTTAGAAGCCCTTGTCCATAAGCCTCTGACAGCGGTGGCTTTGATTTGTGTGGTCTGCGTTACTTATCCTGACGTCGCAGACGCACCTACATAGGCGGACGCGCAAGCATCTACTGCGCGGAATTTTGCTCTACAAATAAATTGACTCCGTGTATCCCAGTGGCATACTTCGGGAACAAGCCGCGCAATACTTCATCCACGGAGCGATATTACACTTAAGAACACTCTGGCCTGAAAGAAAAATAATAAACAGAACTGTGCAGGAAGTTGGAAGCATGACAATAAGAATGGAGATTCATCAAATGGTGGATATTGTGTACTGAGCAGAGGTCCAAAGAGGAACGAAGGGGGAACGGTGTCAACGAGAACGCTCGGGAATTTATTCTCGGTGAACACCTCCCATGAGAAGGGCAATTAAATCTTGGTTGGTCGGGGTGTTTGGCGTGAGATGGCCTTGTTGCTGGAGATGAGGGGGAAGTAAGTGCGACTGAGGTAACATATGAGGAGGCAGATGAGGTTGTGGAGCCTGTGGTTGAGGGCGCATGGCGATGTGGGTTGGGGCGTTTGGACCTTGTTGCGGGAAGCCGCCATTGATTCGATTTCCGCCGACACCAGACCCTCCAAGGCCCAGGAGATGATGATTCGAGAGTCGGGGATCCAAATTGGGATGGCCTAAGTTTCCGAGAGGGAGTTGCTGGCCTCCGGTATTCTGAAGGCTAGGTCCTGGTCCACGGGCTTGCGAGCTGTTGAAGCCGACGCTGTTACCAACTCCAACGTTGAAGTTGTTGAAGGGCACCTGCTGCGGCAAGGGACCATTATTGTGAAGATTGTGCTGAGGCCCGACAGAGGGGAGCCCTGGAAGGCCGATGAATTGTGAAGGCTCGTGCGGAGGGCGTCCGCCGAGATTTGCCAAACCAGGGGGAAGCCTTTGTTGCTGTTGTGGACCGTTGGGGATGGAATTTGCCTGATTCATTCCAGGAGACGGACCTCCTCGATAAGGAGGTTGCTGTAGAGATTGCAGCGGCAATCCGCCACCGTGACGTCCCGATTGCTGAGCCAGTAGCTGAGGTGTTGGTCCCGAATAAAGTGGTTCAAGACCGCGCAATGGTTGCTGCTGGGTGACGCGTTGGAGGTTAAAGTGCATAGAATCGTCCAGCGAATCGTTGAAATCCCGACCTCTCGGAGGCGGGGGAGGAATGGGTCGAAGGCCGGGAACTAACCCATCAGGCATGAAACTACGGTCATCTCCTCGACTATCGTATAGTGCCTCTAGTCGCGTGTTGGCATGTTGTTGCTGCTGGATCAGGTGCTGCCGCTGTAGCGCGTGTAGATTGGGTCCTTGCGCACCGAAAGTGCCATTGTTGCCAAGGAGCTGGTTAGGATTAGATTGACTCAGGGGTCCTCTCTGAGAAAGATGGTCTTTAAAGGGAGAAAAAATAGACGAGCTAATCCATACCTGAGCAGAGCTGTTGAGCATAGCAAACAACTCTTCCATCGAGCGATGTTCGCCAGGATTTGCAGCCACATTACCAAAGCTACCGTGCTCTTGCCTTGGGTTCTGATTCGGAGGGGAGGGATACCCGCCGGGCGCCTGTGTTTTGTTCGGGGCAACAGGTCCATCCCGCGATTTTCCATCAAAGAATTTGGCAAAACGGCTTCCCTTGCCTGAAACTCCATTGTAGTTCGTCTCCGCATGAACATTGACGCTGGTATTGAAACCGTGGTCCAACGATGGTCGATGAGAGAGATGCCCCGGGTTAGAAGGTATAGCAACGTCTCTCTGATCTTCAAACGCGAAAGACTGACGACTCTGATCATCGAACGGTGAAAAGCCTGACGGCGGCCGTAGGGGTTCATTCTTGGGGAACGTTTGGGTAACGTCTGGCGTGATATTCTGAAGGCCACCTAGATCATGTTCAGTACAATGTATCGAAGCACGCTGGCAAATAAAAGAAAAAACCGACCATTCAGTGTTGGCAAGTTGTGGATGGGGTTCCCAGAAGTACCAGGCTTTGATCCCGATCGCATGGCAAGCAGACGAGATCCAGCAGGAGGCCCCGCGTTGTTAGTCGTGAAATCGACTGCTTGCTTGCCCTGATTAGCCTGCAATTCCGGGGTGCTAGAATTGGCAAAGAGCCTAGGGAGATTTCGGTCTTGACTGTCTTGTGGAAGTCCTCTTCCTGAAGACTGGAGAATAGCTTCCTTTGGAGCGAGAGAGAAAGGTGATGGCGCGTCTAGAGACATGGCGGACAAATCTATGGGAGGCAGAATAGGCTGCAAAGGTTGTGGATGACTTGGCTCGCCTTTCGCCAGAGTAGCTGACACAATTAGAGGATTCTGAGGTTCTGGGAGAAAAACAGACATCAGAGTCTGTGCTTCAGATTGTTGATATATCACTGTACCATCTCCAGCATTGCGCTGCCGCTGCCGCATTCCCTGCTGATCTCCTTCATTGGACAGCGCCGAAGCACTCTCATCCGTCCTCTTCTTCTCCTCCTCTTTCTTCATCAGCAATTTGAACAGTTGGATTTCATCCATCGCTGGGCGTTCCGGGGCAGCAGGTGGCGACGCGGAGGTTGCAGGCATCACTTTGGAAGAGCTTGCCGAGTTTATCTCTTTCTCTTTCGTTTCCTTCTCCTTCATGCCCTTCTTCCACGCCTGAATTCCATCAAGTTCCCCACTAGGCGCCTGCCCTCCAAGGATTCCAGGACTTGACTCGCTAGGAATATATGTGTCCATCCATGCAGGTTCCTTTTCTTTCTCCCGTCTGTCCTCCTTCTCTTTGTTTTCATCTCCGACATTACCTGACTTCCGCTCACGACCAGTCGTTCGCTTGTAACGACCGTCACGCTCGTCCCCAGGACCCCAGCGTCGGTCGGTATCGAGGGTATGATCCTGAGAGTTCCGTGCCCGGTCTCTCCGTGCAGCAATCCTCTCGTCACGTTTGCCGTCGTCCCTCCAACGTCGAGGGTCATCATCAACATCAGGTTCTCGGTCCCGCCGGGATTCATCTTTGTCTCGTCGGTTGTCCTCACGGGGTAGTCTTTCTCGAGGTTCATCCCGGTCGCGCTCTCTTCTTGATGATGAAAGCTCTCGTTTCGCCCTAGAAGGGTCACGCGCCCGCGACCTAGCTCTTTCGCGGTCTTCCCTGTCTCTTCGGCCATTCTCAGCACCTGTGGCATGCAGACTTGAATAAAAGAAGAGGGGCCATGAACGAAGATATGCTTACGATCCTCACGACCAGATCTCGGAGGTTCTGCTCCTGCAACAATAGAACAAGTAAGAATACTTAATATATGCTCAGATAGGAAGCATCCACCTCTTCTCCAGTCTTCGCTTGCCTCACCGACTTTTTTCTTCCCGGCCTCGCGAGTTTCACCCCGACGTGAGGTACCATTTGAAGGTGCGGATTGTAGTCCTCTTGCATTCGAATTTAGGTGAGGCGCTGCGTCTCTGTCCTTGTTTCTTGTACTGGACAGGGGCAGCGCAAGCCTGTCGCGGTCATACTTATCCGACAGCTAGGTTGTCGTGAGGCAAAGAACAGGGATGATCGAGGACGACTTACATGGCGAAGACGTTCTTGGCCTTCTTTATCCCGCATGTCCCGTTCTCTTTCTTTGTCACCATCCCTTTCTCGGTCTCTCTCTCGCTCGCGATCATTTGCACGCAGAGATTGATGCTTGAAATTGCCCATTTGAGATGGCTGGAGCGTGGAGCGAAAAGTCGGTCTTGAATGAGCATCTGAGTTGTAAAGAGTTAGGACGTCTAAGCCATAAGAGAATCGTCGCAAGCAAGACGAACCACCATCCTCAGCATCCCTTCGAAAGCTGGGAGCATGACATCAACGTCAGCGAATGTCGACACCCATGTGAGAAATTTACCGTCTCTCTCTTGCGCTGCTTGGAGTCTGCGGCTCGTCTTTCTTGTGGATGATGGTTTCATTTTCGGTGCTGAGAGAGAATTGCGTTGAAAATGACAGAAAACAATCCAAAAATAACGAAGTACCCAAACCAAGTTTTGAGCTCTGGCATATCTGGAGGCGGTTTGACCAACGGTGAGTTGGCAAGGGAGAGAAGTTGTTGTCGGGTATATATTCTTATTGGGCATAGAGAAGGAGATGGGTTTTCTATGGTCTGGTCGAAAGTGTCATTGGCGTTGAGGGCGTTGGCAAGAGGCGACGGTGGGGAGTGAGCGGGTGAGTCTGTCTGTGCAATGGGCTGTGGTTCTGTATGGGGTGAGGCCATGGCGGGGATGTAAGGCGGCTGTTTGAGAGGATGGAGTGAAAGGAAGAGGGCGAGTCTGCACCGACAACACGGACCTGAAACGATCACAAGCCGTCACTCAATTTCCATAACGCATTGTGGTGTTCACTTGTTCCATGCTCAATAAGCCGGGGCCCTCTCTCAAGCACTTCATTCTCAAACAACAAGCCCTCAATCTCTATCGCCATGTAGTCCGTGCTTCCAGAGGTATCCAGTCTGTGTCCGCCTGTGTTGCTTAACTGACTCGTCTGCAATAGTTATACCTGATCCTGTGACACGGAGGGATACCGTGGCTTGGATCCGGGGTGAATTCGAACGGAACAGACATATAAAAGATACCGTGCGTCGCAAAAAGACGTTCGTCGCCGCTCCTCATCTTCCTTATAGGCCGTCATTGAAGACAAGCTGAGGGCTGCACGCCGCGAAATCCGGTCCATCTTGCCAACCGCAATGACTGCAGCGTGACATCTATGTCTGGCCATCACATTGGCCGATATCCGCTCGCGAGCGCCAACTGTCTTTTCCGATTCCCATTGCAGTGTGCACGCCCTGTTTCACCGTGTGGTGCAATTGCGTGCTGGGTCATAGGACTTTCTCGGGCGCTTATCCATCGTAGCCTATATAAACCTTAAACTGTCGCTATCAACGCCTTTCGTCCCTTCCTTCCTTCTCCTGACCATCCCCTCAGTCAGTCATGGAGATATTCATGCGTAACATCGACTGGAACTTCACGAAGACTCAAGTCATCGATGAGCTCGCCACCATCCTCCATACCCACCCCTTCACACGCCATTCGCCTTCGATTAACTTTCATGTCTACCTTCACCCAGATAAGAAAGGGGGCATACACAACCATGGTGGAACAGGGACTCTGACCTTGCCGACGGCTGAAGTGGGGAGAGATTTCTTAAACATATATGGATCAGAACGACCTAGCGTCAGGCTTTTTATTGGGACCAAGCCAATTACATTTTCCCTCAGCAAGCGCCCTGAAGGACGCGCAGATGTCCTAACTTCCATCAGGTCGCGGCCCTATGTCAATCCACGGGCAGTCGAGACAAGAGGGCAGCGCACTGCACACCGGGACGATGACGACGTCCGCGTCAATAAACTTCAATTCGGATGGGAATGCAGGGACCAGGTCTTTTCCATTGAATGCGAAGACTCTTGTGAAGGGGGATGCACGCTCGCCTTTAGCAAGGATCAAAGACACCTCCGAATCGCCCTTCTCTACCAGTCGGAGACATATTTTGTCGTCATACCTTTTTCTCACATCGGGTTCATGACAGCCCACACGTATCTTCAAGACGAATATGCAATCGTTTTCAGTCTAAACAATCCGCCCACTTACGAACTTTACCGTCCTCCTACTCCTCGACAGCGACTATCATTCCTTCCCATTCCTGACCATGAGCGTGTTGCCCCTTATGCTTCTCTCGCCATCCGCCTTGTCTGTCGTTCCACCGCTGATTTAGCTCAGTTTCGACGCTTATGCAACCAAGCGCATCTTCGCAAACCCACTGACGATGAATACCCCACTGCTAAGCGGGACTTGTTTTCTTCATTCGCCCTCGAACAACTGCAGACCTATCTTCGCCAATTCAACTGGTGTATTTCGTTCCAGATCGAATCAATCATGCGTCAAATGGCGGTCGACACCAGGGAGATGCTTAGCCTGATACCCTATATCATTCAGGCTACTAGGTCTAAAGGGAGAACATTTGCGGCTTCCCTCCTTCGAAAGTTCAAAGACCGAGTCCGCATCATGTTCATTGATGACGATGGTGGTGATGTCGTGAGGTGCTTCCTCGAGACCCAAGAAGATCTCGAGAAGGAGGGTGTTCTCGAGCCCTTGCAGCCCAGTGATGGCAGTCTTTGCCAATCGTACCATGTCAATATAACACCGACGACAATGTTTCTAGATGGCCCATTTCCAGAGCGTTCCAATCGTGTCATCCGTGCGTATGAGGTGAAGCACCAGGAATCTTTCCTCCGAGTCAGCTTCTTGGATGAAGCGAAATTGCAATATCGGTTCGACAGAGAAGTGGACGGCCCAGGGTTTGTCCGCTCTCGGGTGGGTCCATTTCTGAAGAACGGATTGACCATCGCACGTCGTACCTTCCATTTCTTGGCATATTCTCAATCAGCGCTAAAAGAGCATGCAGTTTGGTTCGTCTTTCTATACAACTTATTGAACTATGGCCTGACTCCTGCATAGGTTTGTCAAACCATTTAGGGACAGAGAACACGGATTTGTCGATGCTGCTACCATCATACGCAGTATCGGCAAATTCGACGGGCTTTCCTTCGACAGGAGACTGATGTATTGTCCCGCACGTTATGCTGCTCGCATATCGCAGGCTTTCACGGCTACGGATGCTGTTAGCGTCGAAGTCGAAGAGATTTTCCAGAAAGACGACATCGCCACTCCTGACAATAAGTACCAGTTTACAGATGGCGTTGGTACCCTTTCAAAGAACCTGGCTCGTGAGATATGGACTCAACTCAAAGCCACGAAACGTCGCGGACGCTTGCAGAAACGGCCGCCATCCGCCTATCAAATTCGATTCATGGGTTCTAAGGGCATGCTCTCTGTGGACCACAGTCTCAGCGGCTATGCCATATGTCTCCGGCCTTCGATGATCAAATTCGAGACTCCAGAGTCTACCACTCAAGATATAGAAATTGCTCGTGCTTTCGATAGGCCAGGATTGTACTTTCTCAATCGTCCTCTCATCATGCTTCTTGAAGGGCTCGGGGTTCCTTACCAAGTTTTCGAGCATTATCAAGATAGGGCTGTTGAAGAAACTAGGAGAGCTGCACAGTCGCTTCAGCAAGCTGCAGGACTTCTCGACAGTCATGGTCTCGGTGCTTCTTACAGGCTGCCTTCGATTATACTCAGCCTTGAGAAACTCGGCATCACAAGCCTCCCAGGAAACACCTTTTACGAAAAGATGCTGGAATATGCCGTCAATCACGTCCTGCGTATGCTAAAAAACCACGCGCGTATCCCTATTCCGAAAGCGTGGACATTAGTGGGAGTCGCAGATGTCCATCGTCACCTCAAGCCAAATGAAATATTCGCATGCATAAAGCCGATCAGAGGTGGAACGAAGTATCTGCAGGGTCCCGTCTTGATATCAAGATCTCCGACCATTCATCCAGGGGACGTTACGATCGTCCACGCCATTGGAAGGCCACCGCCCACATCACCCTTTGCTGTAGAACCTTTACCAAACACCGTGGTTTTTAGCGTTCTGGGTAAAGTACCAATTTCCGCACACCAATGCCTAATTGACCAGATATGTAGGAGATCGCCCGGTTCCCTCATGTCTCGGAGGCGGTGACCTAGATGGAGATGTCTACAACTTGATACCTCTAGAGGAACTGCCAGAATTCACGCCTGAGAACCTATACAGCCCCGCAAGTTACGACCCTGCTCCCAAAAAACTGCTGGACCACCCGAGCACGATGGAAGATGTTGCTGACTTTGTAATCGATTATATCAACTCCGATGTCAGTTGAGACCATGTTTCTATCCCCTTTATCATTTCTTCTCTTACATTTCCATTAGGTCCTTGGACTCGTTGCCATCAACTGGTTAATTATTGCAGATCAAAGTGAGCAGGGAATACGCGATCCTGCCTGCCTGACGCTGGCAAGTCTGCACAGCGATGCTGTCGATTATCCAAAGTTCGGACAACCCGTGGAGCTGAGGGCCATACCTAAATTGAAGCGTAAACAGAAACCCGATTGGAATGCACCAGAGACTATAAACCCTTCATCTTCTGGCAACTACTATGAAAGTCAGCGAGCGATAGGACGACTATTTCGCGCCATTGATTTGCCGATCGAACAGGAGAAAAATCGCAACCAGCCTAGGCGACGAAACCGACAACGTCAAAACCGCGGTGAGAGGATAGAAGACCTGGAGGAGACACTGAGCAGGATTTTCTCTTTGCAACGGTGGAAGACAAAGTGAATCAATTCATCGACACTGACGTCGCTTGGCCAAGCGACGACAGTGACGAAAGCGACGAAAAATCTGCCATTGTACAATTATTCAGTCGGTACACGTCGGATTTTCATGCGATCTGCATGAGTTTCACACTTTCCCATTCTCGCACTGCCCGGCTCTCTGAAGAAGAGGCTATCATAGGCACTATCGCTCAGAAAACCTCTCAGCCACGAAGGCGCAAGGACATGATGTCGCAGCTTAGAGAGAGAACAGATGTGCTAGTCCGCGCCATCCGTGAGGATCTGGCTGGGGACGACACTCTCAGCCACCACCAGTCTCTTCAACGCGCGTGGATCGCATGGGAACTTGCGAAGGCGAAAGAAACGACTTTTGGGGCACAGAGCTTTGGTTGGGTGGCACTGGGATCTATTTTTGAAGCAATTCGAGAGATCGAGGGAGAGGACAACCTAGAGTAGGAAGGTATACAGACAACAAGGACAGGCATTTCGTAGTGCTGTAAAAATACGTCTAGGCTTGATTTCTCAAAACTAAGAGGAATCAGATAAAGGCTACACAATTTAAAGACAACACTCACTGAGAATTACAGAATCACCTCTAATAAATAAATGAATAAATGACGAGGACCAAAGACAGAGTTCTTCGTACCTTAGAAACATCTTGCTGATGAAGCGATCCTTGTTCACTGGCTTCTTGTTCTTGCCTTTGGGCATTTCCGTCCACATCTAGATCATCCACTTCAGTGCTTTTCAATCAAACGGTATTCTGGGTCCATTATCTGACCTCCTTAACATTTTCCAATACCTATCATATCGCAGTCAAACAGGATTCATACGATGAACGTCGTTGAACTGGCGCACCATATTGCTGTGCCTATCAAAAGCTTTCACGCGAGCAAGCAGCTTCTTGTTATTGCGAAGGGAAATCAGGACCTGCGCGTGGTTTCGTACGGCTTGCTGCAATACTGAGAGCGGCCCCTGCGAGATCTCATGTTCTTCAAGTTGACGCAGTTGAGCTTCGTCGAGCTCAGATTTTGGAACATGAACGTATTGACTAAAGAAACATGTTAGCAGGAGACGCGCTCCATAACGAATCACAATCATACCTCATAATATGCGGTGTTCAAAGCGAGAGAGTGAGAGGGCAGCTGAAGACGAGCTCAAGATGAACTGGTAGCTCGGGCCAATTGTTTGCAGCGGCTGAAATTGCCAAATAGAAACTTTCTTGATCAAGTTCATATGCCGATCACTTCCACTACTCTGGCACGATATGGGTCGCCTAAAAGTCAAAGGAAAGGCAGGTGCTGCCAAAAACTACACAACGCGCAGTGCAGCTGTGAAGAAACTGCAGTGCTCGCTTGCGGACTTCCGTCGACTGTGCATTTTGAAGGGTACGGAGATCAACCTAGCCAATTCTTTAGATCTTTGTTTGACTTGAACCCAGGCATCTTCCCTCGCGAACCCCGCAACAAAAAGAAGGCCAATAAAGGGTCTTCTGCTCCAACATCATTTTACTACACCAAGGACATTGCCTACCTTGCTCATGAACCCATTCTCAAGAAATTGCGAGAGCATAAGGCATTCGCGAAGAAGATCTCTCGTGCGCTTGGTAGAGGTGAATGGGACAGTGCAAAGAGTCTGGAGGAGAATAAGCCGCACTATCGTCTGGATCACATCATTAAAGAACGGTGAGAGAGATCCTTTTGTCCTGGAATTCATGTTCATGTGCGCCGGATAGATATCCTACTTTCATTGACGCTGTACGGGACATCGACGATGCGCTCTGCATGGTTTTCCTTTTCTCGTCTCTACCCTCAACCTCCCGTCTCCCTCCTGAACTAGTTGAGAATTGTGCGCGACTCTCGAAAGAATGGCAATTATTTGTTATGCACTCCCGGGCCCTTCGAAAAGTCTTTTTGTCTATTAAAGGAGTTTATTATCAGGCCGAAGTCATGGATCAACCGGTTACATGGCTAGTTCCGTATCAGTTCACTCAGAACGTATGTTTTATACACATTTCCTGCGCCAACCTACTCATCGTATGGAAAGGTCCCCTCTGATGTCGATATTCGCGTCATGCTCACTTTCCTCGAGCTATATCAGACACTCCTGAGCTTTGTCTTCTTCAAACTTTATTCAGACACGGGTCTGGTGTACCCGCCTCCACTAGACGCCATCAAGGACGAAGGCGGTGCTGGAATTAACGCTTTCAGTCTTCAGGATAGCTCTCGCACAGCGCCCGCTCAGCAGGTCAAGACAGTCTCGGTAGACGGCCGGCAAGTATCTGTGAAGGACATCAGGCAGACCATCAAGGCGATTTCTGTGAACTCGGGTGCCGATACCCCCGATGTCGAAATGCCAGAGACCCAAGAGGATCAGCCGGAGGCCGAGGAGGAGTTTGTGGTTCACCAATCTTCAACAAACACAGGAAACAACGCCTCGCTTCCAACCCTTCAAACTCTTTCAGCACTACCGCAAACACTCACCACCAATCTATTCGCGCCCTACACTTTTTTCCTATCCAGAGAGACTTCGCGGCCCATCTTCGAATTTGTCATACGGTCCTTTGGTGGTCGCATAGGCTGGCCTGCGTCATCTGGAGCCGGGTCACCCTTCGATGAAAGCGACCCAAGGGTCACTCATGTTATCATCGACCGACCGGTGGTCGCAAAGGAAGAGACGCCAGCTCAGCGCGAACTTCGTCTGCTACGAAAATTCGTGCAGCCTCAGTGGGTCATTGACTGCATTAACGCAGGCAAGGTCCTTATTGAGGAACCGTACTTGCAAGGGAAAACGCTTCCTCCTCATATAAGTCCCTTTGGAGAATACGAAGGGGCCTACAATCCTATCAACGCCATTGATGCCAAAGACACTGCCGATGTGCTTGAGCAGGCGACGGATAGTGAGGAAGACGAGGCGATGGAGGGTGACGACGCCGTTGCGGTTGCGGTTGCGAACGTCGATCCTGCTGCTTTGCGAGCCGCTGAGCTTGCTGCCGAAGCTGCTGGTGTCGATTATGGGACTTTCGAGGCCAAAGTCAAGGATGCCACGAAGAAGCAAGGCAAAAAGGCGTCAGCTACTGAGGACGACGCCGAAGGCGATATGAACAAGATGATGATGAGCAACAAGCAGAAGAAATTGTATGAGAAGATGAAATACAGCCAGCGGAAAAAGGAAGCAGAGGTGCGTAAGAAGTTGCCTGCTTTTCGTCTCCTGCTCACTTTTGCTCCTCAGCGAACCACCCTGGAAGACAGGAAAAAGGAACTGGTAAAGCAAAGACGGAAAAAGACAACCAGTTGATTCTTTCTTGTTTTCTTGCTTTTTCTTGTTCAGTGCCCATAGTAAAAGTAGATTAGACATGTACTTAGGTAACTGATGATGACGCTAGTCACCTGGGTTCCAGAAACGGACGACATTGAATAATCTGTCGCGCGTTGGAAACTGCGGTAGAGCTTGACCGCGATGTCGCTGCTGATAGCTCCTCAGTAAACCTGGACAAAGCGGAATCTCTGAACCACCGCCCATGAACGGACCACCGCGACTCCTCCACACCCAACTTCGCCAACCCCTACCTCAGCTTGTGCTTCTCCTATGCCTTCCTGCAAATCATCCAAGGAATTCTACAGCCCACCTGACGACACTCCCCCGCCTCCTCCCTATAAGCAGCTCCCTTTATCTCCCTTGATGGTCGCAGAAATGACCACAACCCGCACCGAGATAGTCACTACCACGACGACAGAAACAACAACGCATCTTTTTTCTTTCCCTTACTGGCGCAAGCGCAATGACCGTTCCTCTCCGCCTTCTCCGCGAAATAGCGTCGACACTTCACATAGCCCAAGACCATCGCGAACTCTCCTCATCAACAAAGCGCTTCCTCCTACACCGCCTGACGATACTCCGGATTCATATGAACGTCCAGGCCCTGCTCGCCAACCGACAACCGCTCCTTCATTTCCTGCCCCATTTCCTCTAGACTCCTCTCGCCCTCGAACGACAAGCACCGGACCACCTTCAACGAGTGTCCTTGCTCATGCCGCCTTAGGCCTCGGTTTACCACATGCATCATCAGCCGCATTCGCTTCTGTTGAACCCAACTCAGTTGCGTTTTCTTTGCCATCCATCCCGACACCATCATCAACTGCTCTTCCCAACGGTGTGAGAAGAACAAAGAGTTCACATCGTGTCCAAGCGCGTCATGTATCTGAAGAACACGGGAGACCTCTGAACGGGGACCCAAGGGCTGATCGTAGGCGTCGCGGTCTTTCCTTCGGTGCAGCATCCTTTCTTAGCATTGGTATGCCCGATATAAAAGGAAAGGGAAAGGAGCCTGAACCCGCTGCTTCTTCCTCTAAAGCGTCACCGAAACCGCTTTCTCGCAAGTCATCTTTTTGGTCGAAGAAGAAAGACAGCCAAGTGAACGATCCAGCGCCTTCTTCACCTAGTCGAGATGGGACTGTCGTAGTCCTCCCAGCGCTCCCTCCAGTTCATCAAATTTCTCCCTTCGACATTCCTGACTTCTCCGCTTCATCGTCCTCGTCAACAAGTGGAACAGAGAAAGTAACACATCCCCCCGGGATTTCTCGAAGTCATCCAGATAGACCGACCCTTTCCATATCATTTGATGCCCCCAGGACGTCGATGCAACCGGAATCCCTTTATCTGGAAATTTCACAAGAAAGGGCCACAGAGCCGCTATTAAATCCTGATCCTCCGATTTTGCCCAGACTACGAACACAATCTAGCTCTCCATTACTTCATCGCTTATCCATGGGGGTGTTTTCTTCCTCCAATGAGACATCTCCAGCTCCTAGCACACGTTCGAGTACTTACAATCTAGCAAATCCTGTCCCCCATTTGGCGCGCAAGCCAGAGACTGTCATACCTAAGCCTCTAGGAGAAGAGGAGTCTCCTGAGCGTTACCTCTTGCGTCTCAAAGCCGCTGTCAGTAAAGCAGAGATTGCAGGGATTCTGGCGTCCAGGCAAGCTTCTCATTTCCCCCAGTTACTATGCAGTCTCACTCGTTCACAGTTCTGATCCTTTCTATGCCCAAGCTCTACGGACATATATCAAGCAATTCGCATTTCTTGACACACCACTTGATGTGGCTCTCAGAAAGTTGCTGATGGAGGTAGGCTTGCCACGTGAAACGCAACAGATTGATAGGGTTATGGAAGCCTTCGCGTTTCGTTATATGCAATGCAACCCAGAGCTCTTCATCTCTGAAGGTATGTAAGGTCTTCTGCAGAGGACTTGTTTTACTCACTGATATAATCCAATTTCAGATCACCCCTACATTCTCGCGTTCAGTCTGATCATGCTCCACACCGATGCTTTCAATCCATCGAACAAACGGAAGATGTCGAAAGCTGACTACATCAAGAATACCAAGCTACCTGGAATTTCAACGGAAGTTTTGGATGTCAGTGTTCCATGCTCTTCTCTTTTCTGCTACTCATATGAGATTTCAGTATTTCTTTGACAATATTGTATTTGTTCCATTCATATTTATTGAAGACCCCGTAGATTTCAACGGACAACCTGGTTTGACTCCTGATGTGGCACGCTCCATGACAGTTAACTCCCCATCTTCGGCCCTTTCGACTTCCACCGCGAGCGCATTTAAGATGGGGAATAAAGTCGATCCGTATTACCTTATTGCGAATGTTAGCCTTTTATCTCTAATTTCTTCGATTAATATTGACGGTGTTTCCTCACATCCAGAATTTGCTTGACCCTTTGAGGATCGATGTTAACTCCCATGTCGCACTGGAAAACCCGTACAACTATGAAGGGACAGACGGCCCATGGGACGAAGCAGAGTTGCATCGTGCCTTTGTGCATGCCAGTGTCATTGAAATCGAAGCTCCGATATTCAATCGAGCTGCGCCAATATTCAGTCTTAGCCCAAGTGGAACACCTAGCCCATTCTTGCTCAACGGAGAAGACCCTATTAGGTCCAAAGTGGAACCCTGGAGTCTGAAAATCACCAAAGTCGGTCTGTTGAACAGGAAGGATGATTTCAACGAAGGCGGGAAGAAATCCCTCAATCGCAAGTGGAAAGCGTGGAGTGTGATATTGACTGGCTCTCAGCTACTATTCTTCCGTGATCCTGTGTGGGCTTCTACATTGCAACCCTCTCTCGCCGGAGACTCTCCTCGACAACCCCTGTTCCCTCCTGCTAGTGTCTTTCGACCCGATGAACTGTTCTCTGTTAAGGATGCGGTCGCAGTTTACGATAGCTCCTATACAAAGGTATGTGTATCAGGCACCTGGCTACAGCATCAACTAATATCTCAACTCGTCTAGTACAAACACACTCTCAGGCTCGTTTTGGCTGATGGCCGCCATATTCTGCTACAAGCAGCTGATGAGAAAGACATGAACGAATGGATCTCGAGAACTAACTATGCCAGCACGTTCAAGTCTGCTGGAGTTCGAATGCGTCCACCTGAATTGTCAGGAGAAGACGTGCATCTCACTGGCGTCGCTGCTGCAACATCGCATCTCCATGACATGCAAGCACAGGTTGCTGTTCCTCGACCTCGCTCATGGGATTCGAATGCCCCCAACGACTTGATGGATATGTTGACGGGTGAACCAAGAAAGCGGGGGGTTCTTCAGCGCAGAGTAACTATGACTGGGGGGCGTTCTGACTTTGATACAGACGTGCCCGTGGCGCCAGAGATTGATGGTGCAGAACAATTCAAAGCCACCTTCGATCAGGTAAAAGCTGATTTGGCTGCTGGCTATTCGTCTTCGCCAGATGAAGAACCCTGGCTTCAAGATGGAGGAAACATTTACGAGACCCTTCCTGCGTCTCCTCTATCATTCAGTAGCCAAGGCTCACGACTACCGTCGCGCTCTCAGATCATTCGATCCAAGATACGAGAATTGGATTCCAGGATTGCTTCCTTACAATCACAGCTCGACCACGATATACGGTACATCCGAAACATTGCTATCCTTACGCCCTTTCAGAAAACCACCCGTTCAAGGCTCTCGATGGCCATCCAAAACATGTCTGGACGCGTGATGCAAGTGCGTCTGGACATGGAGAAGGTTCGGTGTCACCGCTCAGTCCTTCGCCGCGACCTCGCCTCTGAAGATCGTTGCTGGAGTCAGTCGAAACGAGTCGCCCTGCGGGCCGCGAAGGAGACGCTTCAAAGTCGACGCGCCAATACTGTCCCCGCAATGACAGCCTCGTTTCCTGATGAACAGCCGAGAACATCAAACATGAACATTCTCAGCACACCTCCATCCCCACAACCCCCCTCCTCTTCCTGCGAGTCCTTCCATTCGGCGATAGATGAAGGCGTAGAGTGGTCGTCGTCAGAAGACTTGACATTCCTAACCGTCTCTCAGAACGGTGACCTTCCCGGGACTGGCTTCTCTACTTCATCTTCACTGACTTTCCCGGACACTGGTCTTGCATCCCCTCCTCGGGGTCGTCAGAAGTCGATGCCGTCATCCAACTCCAATGTCCTGGGCCAGCAAATCAGTTCCTCTTCTCCCTCTTCCGATATCGAAGAGGATGAGCAAGCAGAGGAGTGGAATAAGACAAGATGCGCCAAACGTGTGTCTCTTATTCATGTTCCTTCTGACATCAGGATCCGAAGTAGGTTGAAAGGTGGCTCCGAGACGTAGATGAACATCTTTTTTGGTTGTAATTTATCTTTAATTGTTTATACGCACAGGACTATTGTAACGGCTTCTATAATACCAAATCCTTCCCAATGTATAATTTGTATCAACAGGATACCTTTGGAACAGTGTTCAACCAGACATACTTAGACCGATTAGGAGTAGCTGATTATCTTGTCCGATGTCGAGCCTGTTCAGGTCCGATCGTGACGTTGTTTGCCTGAAATGATGTCCCGACGGCCTCTTCGTTGCCATGCCATTTCCGCCTGCAGAGGGTCGTCAGTTGCTCACCAAGTGTGTGTATGCCCCGCAAGTGGAGCGCGCCATGAGGACCTGTTTCATCTCCCAACATTCATACGAAACTTGTTCAAGAGAAGTTGACTCACAAGTTCCCCTTTTCCCGTATACTTGCTTCCTGCTTAGCGCTACCAGTGGGTGGGCGTCAAATGGTGCGTCTTCTAGCGGACAGAATAGCGAATTGAACGACGTTTCCTGACAAGTGGAGTAGGATTCGACATCTACAGCTTCGAACTTGGATGACTCCCGTCTTTCGAGGAAGTCAATGACACTCTCCCGGAAGTCGACATCCTCTGATGGAGAAGGAGATGTCGCGGAGCGGGCAAGACAAAGGAAGTCCCGCAAGCTGAGCCAAATCTTCGGGGACGTTGGGTTTCTTGACTACCCAGGATATGCGTTCTCGTCAACTGCGCAGGCACAGCGAACAGCCCCGGGGCTCTCAGACATTGAAGAAGCTGGACAAACGATGGCTTCAACGGACAGCGTTGTCCGCCAGTCTCGTTCCGAGGAAACGACAGTGGCAGAAGATACCAAATCAATGGAATCTCGAGACCTCCCGTTCTCCGACAAGAGTAACTTGAAGACACTCAGAGACCATGGCCATAACGGGTCCGTCTGTCTATGTGTCAACACCAGACCATGATCTCATTCCTCTTCGTAGCATCCGGACCGCGGGGTGGAAATCGAGGGAACGAAGAGTCTTCAGCGAACGTCAGAGTGAGGTCAGACGGACCAAGAAGATGAGTCGGGTCCGCATCCACAGTTCCTTGAAACCTTTGGGCCAATTGTAACAACGTCTTTATAGATATTCGGAGAGGTCCCACCGGTCGGGATGGTGAAGCGCATACCTTCTTCTCTAATGCGTCCTGCAAGCGACTACTCCCCCGCAACTCAAGAGATCGAATCTTCAGCCTTGAATCCGAAAGCCTCACTCGACAGCGCCCTCTCCGAGGAGTCTCTTCTCCCTGACACTATGTCTGATCCAGGGCACTACAGCACACTCATCGATGAGTACGACCACATTGAAGGACGCGGTGGGTTCTCAATGGATATACGGTTGGAGAGGAGTGATTTCCATAATCGCCGCCGTCGTGCTGCCAAGCTGGCTCAGTTTTTTGGCGAGAGCAAGCTCGATTGGTCGCCACCCGAGTCGGTGGTGTAAGGCTGGTCCCTTTTGCGTACAGACAGTTGATACTGCTAGTTACACGCTCGTTAATGGACGCTAGCCTCCTTCCGAACAGAGGGAGATAAGGCCGCCTTTTTTTCTGCGATGAACAGATGAATGAATGCAATTGAGTGGTAAGATAGACAAGACGGTACGCGTCACTTCCGCATGAGTAAGTATATTGGATCGCCCAGTACAATGCCAGTGAGATGTCGGTTTGATCCCGTTAGCGACATGAGAAGACCGCCGAAAGAGATGTACGCAGTGCTTAGAGAGAATCAGCAACATAGATTAGATCTGCGGTTGTCAGAAGGCTTACACAATCTCTCCAGTGTTATCCGTGTCGTACTTGTAGATCTTGCAAACAGTGAGCCTCAAAACGGCCTGTTGTGTTGAAGGACGCACCTTTCCGTACATCACATAGTCGTACTCATCCTCCAAGCCTCTGCTACCCTTCCCGTCTGGTCTCCACACATCTCTCTCATTCTCCGCGGCATCGTCGCCTGACGCGTCTGTCGCGTTTCCAGAGGGTCGTCCTCGAGCCAGTGAAGTAGACAAGGCCAAAGCAAAGTTTTGTTCCACCTTCAGTGGGAGGAGTTCGACGTTATAGTCTAGCGTTAGATCCATCTCGTAGTTTTTTGAGTGAGCGTATAATCGGGATACTGGATGCAAAACGAAACATGAATCGCGGTGAGGACACAAGAGGAGCAAACATCCGGACCCCTGTCAAATTTCTTTCCCTCCTTGTCGATTGCGTTTATTGTGAAGATGTCGTCGAAGACGATGTTGGAGACTGCTGCTGCCATGATGAGAGTCGTTGCAGAAGAGGCACAAACCCGATCTTCAGCCGCCTTTTTGGGACACGGCCCCACCGGACCGCTTAGACCTCTGCTTCAACAGGTTGACCTTTACCGTCACCAAACATACTAGAGGGATACCCGTGCAACGCACGGGGCCGGGGTTTCAAATTTCAATATTTCAATCCTCATCCTATACTTGTGGTCCAGGTATTTAATTTGTCACCAGTGGAGTAATCAATAAATTCATCCTGAGGTTAGCCCGTGCTTCGTGGGTGTTGGAATCTAAAATAAATGTACATACGTACGTACTGAAGTTCTCTATGATTTTTCTTGAATTTAAAATACTTGGTGCCACTTGCCTTCGCCCCAATATTCAATATTGATGAGATGCCGCTCTTCCTGGCCCCGAAAATGCGTTATTTCAACATGGTATCCCGATACCCCGAACCACCGACGACCGTAAGTAGAATCGTTCAGCCATCATAGCCCGTGCGCGTGACCACCACACATGTTTCAAGTGTCACCGACTCAACTCCTCCTCGTCTCCTTGTCTCCTGTTTTGTTCTTATTTACTTTTCCTGGAGGGCTTACTTATTTATTTACTCCCCCAGCCCGTTCGGCGAGAGATTTCTCTCATTTTTCTTTATAGTATGAAAGCCCCGTACTATATCTGACCACATATCCGGCAGGTCAGGTAACTCGGCGGTCACATATTTTGGCGGGGAATTCGTGACTTTGCGTGACTTCGCTCAAATCCCCTCATTCCTCTCTCGTTCATTCAATTTCTCTTCCTTCTCCACCAAAATTTGTAGGTGAATCAAGAGGGCCTATATGACCCATAGTATGCAATTTTGAAGGGAAAAAAATTCCGTCAAGAGGAGAGGTTTCATTATTCCAACCCAGACCGCCGACATATGGGACCTGCCGGATGTGTGGTCAGATATAGTATTTCATGTTTTTGTGCAATAACATTCAGGTCTCGTCTCACTCGGGGCCCTCGTCTCTCCATGCTCGTCTCTTGTCGCCTTCCTCTCCTGTCACTCGTCCCATTTCAACCATTGTTCAGGGTCGTCGTTGCCCCGTCTCTCGATCCCGCCATCGTCTCTCGATACATTCCCGGGCTTAGCGCCCACCATCCTCCGTTTTCGGGTCTTTACAGACCAAATGTTGGTCTACGTTGCGGCCACCTACTCTGTTCTTTCCTAGAGAACTCACTTCCTCGCTCCTCTGTTTCCGAATCGTGCGAGCCATGGTTAGAGCCGCACAACTGCGGAATCCATCCTCACCCATCAGCAGGCGGTGATTCGAATGTGTCCTCATTCATTCTTTCCCAACCACCCATAGGCGCATCAATGCCCGTGCATATGCAGTGGCGGAACGCCGGAAATCTCGAGAACTGCCCGCTACCAATGAGCCAAGAAGGGAGCTACTTCGCGCCGCTGATCAAGTTGAACAGCTCAAGCGACGGGTCAAAATTAGCGAGGCATCAAGGTCGAACATGCGTAAATTGCAGCTCAATGAAATGGAAGAGCACAATAGCGAAGAGAAAGGCAACAGTTGGCATACCTTGTTCGTTTCCGTGTTGAGCAGCTCGTTCCCGCTCCCGCCGCGCCCGTTGCAAGAGCTCGGTTTGATGGCTAGGGTGCCTTTGGCTCCTGCACTTGCTGGTCTAGACGAAAGGAGTGAGCATGGTTTCCTTGCCGATGAGGTGGGAGAATCATGTGGGCCCACCTTGAATGCCCTCTCGTGAAGCTCTTTCGCGCTCTCGACGCGCACACTGTGCAAGGGTTCGATTTGATGGAGCAGGTGCCCCAGCATTCGATGTGGGCAGGTTGGAATCTGATTGGTATCGATGAGAGAACGATGTAATGGAATACGAATGACATACCTTGAAGCTAACCCTGGGCAGCTCGCTCTCTCACTCCGCGCGCCTGTTGAGCAAGGCTCCTCCGTGTGGCTTGCATCTGTTTGAGTGTGGCAGGTGGGGTAGGAGGTCCTTCAACGCAATCCTGCGTCAGCAAACACGCTGCTGAGGAAGGGAATAGAATGCTTACCCTGGTGCTCACTCGCTGGGATGTCTTCCCTCGTGTGACCGCCAGCTTCACTGCAGCTCTGAGAGTTCGGTAGTCGGCGAGCAGCAGGCGGGTCTTCGTGCCGTGCCTCTCTGCTTTGAGCTCACTCGCGCTCTTGCTGCCGTTGTCGTTCTCTGCGTTCGAATGCTGCTACGATGGCGTCGTCGAGACTGATTAAGTGCTGCTGCCAGTCTGCCATGTCAGCCAACGTTGAATGCCAGTCGAGCGGGCTGAAGGCGACGTACCTGAGGACTCTGCCTGCTAATTTATGCATCTCATCGCAGCCCGCTCTGCAATGGATCGGTCAGCCCACAGTGTGCAGTGGCTGGCAGTCGAGAGGATGACCATCTTGACGTTGTCTGCAAGCATGGTGGTTTGAGGTGGACGCCGGTCGAGTGGATGGGTTGAGATTCTTCGCGAGCATGGTCGTTCGAGATGGACGTGTAAGCGATGGACACGGCCCGGAACGGACAGCGAGACTGTTGGTTATACACGTGACCTGGATAACCAAGCTTTCTTATCTAATCTAGCGAGATAAGCAAACTCCGTCAACTTTTGAAGTTGTCCACCAGGAAAGGGCTGGGAAAGGGATACTGTTTTAGTATTTAGATACCGACTATTCCGCACCTCAGTGCTCTCAGGAGATACGGCATGCGATTATCCAGCTCTTGTCTCCGCCAGCTCTTGGGACTGGTATTCCACACGGGGGTGAAACTCTCCTATGCAGTCTGATGCATATTTTTATGCCAGGATGAATTTCTCTCCCTCTCTGTTGAGGCACAAGGGCTTGATTTCCATTCGGACAGACCTCAAAATACCTAGATAGTGGGCCGGGGGTATTCTGAACTCTTCATGGAGAAATACGAGTCTGGTGAAAAACATCCTCCTGTCGCGAGTAATCGTCGACTGACAGAAACACCAGAACTCGTGTAATTGCGAGCGAAGCGAGCATTCCTCGGCTAAGGGGCTGGGAGGCCCGGACAAACAAAGCCAAACTCTTGTTGCAGAAACTGGGACGGGTCGATATTGGTGAGCCGTATTTCGTGGGATCTAGGTCATATTGTCCTCTGTAAAGCTCCATGTAGACTATTTACGTGCCATAGAATAAGTTCCTCCAAGAAAACTCACCTTTGGAGCCCTTGTTTTGGTGTTCTGGCAACCTTGGGCATGTCCCCTCATGCCATCACAGGTCGGGTTTTTCCCACAGTCCGCATTGTACTCGGCGGTCACAGAACAGCTCAGAAAAATACAAAGTAATTACACTGGCCCAGGGGGCACTTCAGTGAAAAATGCACTGTCTTAAGATGAACTGGCAAACTAGGACGGCGCAGCGAGCCCCCCGCTTCCAGCGGTTACTTAATATTACCATTCCGCTCATTATCTTCGCCCGAGGCCTCAGCTGCTTCCGCAATGGTCCTCATATCACCACCAATCTCTAATGCCCACGTTTTCAAGACGACTCTCCGGAAGCTTCCCACCAGTTGCCCACCAGGTTGCAAGAATTCGATTACGAGCCGAAATTCCCAATTGCCGTTATCGCCACACCCGAGGAACTCGTGCAACTCCGTCGAGATCAAACAGGATCTGTCGGAATAAGAACCCAAACCTAGAGGAATTCCAAACCCTTTTTGAAATCGACAAATGGCTGGACAAGCTTGGTATTTAAAATTCCGATCCGTTGCTCGATCCCTCAAGCTCACGCTCAAGGCCTCATACAGCAACACCCGTATGATTCGTGCAACTATTCGAAGTTCTCGGCCTGCCATGGCAGCGAACGGTGCAGCTGCTAGGCCGCAAATCGCTGGGAGGTGGATATAATACAAATTTATTGGCCGTTCGGTACGTTACTGGACGATGAGAATAAGAATACTCAAGAATTACATTTGAGTCGTAAGTATGATAGTCAGAGGTTGAAAACTTTTTTCGTCAAGGGAATTATGGGTATCAGGTAATTGTCATGAACGTGAGGGAACGGCGATTATGACTCTTTCGCTTGGCTGATTTCTTTTTTCACCTGGTGAATACTAGTTAGACCAGGCAGCATAACTTTCCATGTCGCACGCGTAGCAAGTACGCGTCTGACTTGATGCTGGATGAGTTCGTGAAGTTTTGGCACATTCGCGAGTTTGGCGCGACTGCCCATTAGCGAGGTTGTCGTTAAGTCGAGAATAAATTTGGGAGAAATAGTGAGCGTGAGGACCGGAGCATCGGACGATGGCGCTGGTGTAAGGACGCTTATCTGGAAGGAGAGAAGGTCGGATATAGACGTAAAAGGTAGCTATGTTGCGACTCACTGCTGATTTAAATTGTGAAAGCGATATCGTGAGGGAAATGGGCATTCTTGCAAATGATGCAGTTGGGTAGTTGAAGAGGTAGGACGTTGACAGGGACAAGGATATTGTGTCTGTGTATGACGCATCGAATTCTACCTCCTGTAATGCACATGTAAGGACCGTGTCCTTTGTAAAGAAGACGAACGTACAGCTGGCGAGCCCTGTTGTCCAGGGATTATTCGCGCATTGTACAGAGTTGGTGCTGATACGCCGAGGTTCACCGAATGAATGGTAATGTGGTCCTGTCAAAGGGCAGACTAGTTAACTGTTGAATGGTTTGGTTATGGCTGGGACGCACCATGAAGCCAGCAGGTCGAATGGAATTAGCATAAGTTTCTATCCTTTTACGAGCGATCTCGTCTCCCTCCGGCCCTGGAATGTCGTCGCGCAGCTTCGACCGATATACGTCCACGACCTGAGGTAGCGGACGTCAGAGGGGGTGAAAAAAGTGATCGCGAGACACGAGCCTGCGTGAGGAGCGTGTTGAACCATTCTGTGGACTCTGAGCCCTCTGGCTGCTCGTCTGGAGAAGGCTTTCGAGGCTGGGAGCTGCGTTGCCGGAGAAACGCGTCGCTATCGACCCGTTGGTGATAGGGCGTTGCCTCGTATGGATGCTCTGAGGAGTCGAAGAAGAGGTACTTGAGGATAGCACCGAGGAGGAAGAGGATTGAGAGCTGGCCGAGTATGAGACCCTGGGTGAATGTTGGCTGGAAGAAGTGGGGGAATGTGGGGGACATGGGGGGCAGACGCGGGAGTCGATCGGAGAGCGCTAATATTTCAGGCGACATGGCTACCTCGTGCCGCCCGGCATGTGAATATCCATAAGCGGATCCGACCATCCCTCTGCAAATCGCCGCCATGCTCAACGCGCTCGTCTCCTGGCCCACCACGCCCCTCACAGACTCGCTCGTTCGCGCCGCAATCAAGCGCATCGGGCTTCCTACGTCATTCGTCGCGATAGAAGAGGCAGCCGGCGTCCAACCTCTCCTCCAGTGGTCTACCTACGACGACATCGACCATGAGCGCACCCATTTTGATCGCACGACAGTCCTCGCGTCGAGCTACATTTTTCGCAAGGCGCTCATCCGCAAGCACTACCTCTCGCGTGGAATACAGGCATATCTGAAGAAACGACCTGATTCCATTCTGGCATCTGCATGTCCGAGTACCTTTGAGGTCGAGATCTCGTTCGCCGATGAGCTTGACGAGATGTGGACCGATGAACTCTGGGAACTGGGCTATAAACTTGACTCTTGTACCTCCTGGTGGATCCTCAAGCCGTATGTGTCTTTTATTTAATACCCTCTAACTTTTGGTTATTTTCGGCATAGTGGGATGGCCGATCGAGGAATGGGTATCCGAATTTTTCACACAAAAGAAGAACTGCAGCAGATCTTCGAGTCCTTTGAGGACAGCGATTCAGAGAATGAAGAAGCCGAAAATGACGGTCAAGATGTTACGGCCGTAGTCATTTCGCAGCTGCGCCATTTTGTGATACAGGTGCTATTCATATTTTCCAACAGATGGCTTTTATGCTAACACGCTGGTGGATAGGACTATATCAATACGCCTTTGCTCCTAGATCCATCTGAAACCACGGACAGGGAAAAATCTACGGAAAAACTGATAGGTCGTAAGGTCTGCACCGCGCAGGTCTTTAAAAATCAATCCGAAACTAATTTCAATGATCAGTTCCACCTCCGCGCATATTGCGTGGCGGCAGGAGCCCTTCAGCTCTACCTCTATAACCGCGTCCTCGCACTGTTCTCTTCCATACCATATGAAGCGCTATCAATCAATACTTCAGGAGACCACCTCGATCTAAGAGCCCATCTGACCAACACCTCCCTACAAACTGAACACGGAGAAAACAATGTCAGATTGTTGACCGAGCTCGAAGGCTGTCATATCCTCTCCGGAGAAGGTGGTAATATATTTACATTATCGAGCATCGAGAAACTTCTCTCTCAAATGTCGGAAGTCCTTTCGGAAACCTTCAAGGCCTCCTTACAAAATCCGGTGCACTTCCAGGTATTTATCTGCTGTATTCATGAACTTTATATGCTAATGCATAAGTTGAATGAAAGCCCCTTCCAAATGCATTCGAACTCTTTGGTGTTGATTTCCTCGTCAGCCATGATCTCGCCAGCGCTACCGATCCTTTCCAGGTCAAGATCCTCGAAATCAACGTGGAACCAGCAATCGAGCTTACAGGACCACGACTTACCTGGATATTGGAAGAACTCTTCATTTCCATTGCTGAAGTCTGTGTTCGACCCTTCTTCCAACCTCCAAGTGATGGCAAAGAGCCAAACTGGAAAGTTGGTGAAATGCGACATAACTTATTGAAATGCCTGGATGAAAGTGTACAAGGACCGGCAATGCAATAGAAACTGTATAGTTATCATCATACGCGCATTTATTTTCTCTCCTTTTCAAAGGTCAGTGTGGCGTGCATTGTACACGTCCAGATTCGGAAGGCAGCCTTGTTTGGCCAAAGTTACCAGGCTCGTTGTCGGTTACTTGGTTCCCTGCTACGTAGTCGGTCATGCCTGCTGAATCTGGTTCTTCGACACCATCTAAAAAGCGCTCCAAGTGGGAGGATGAGGACGAGGAGGATCCACCGTCCTACGTACCTCAACCCAAACGTCGCGCGAAGCCCAAATCCATCAAACCAGTGGATGTACCTCGAATAGCTGACTCTCCGGCTCCTCCACAACTTCCTCCCGTGGCCCAGAAGTTGTCTCATAGCATTTATGTTCCTCCCAGAACGCTCCATCCCCATATACAGCCCTCCCGATCCGTGTACTCGTACGAACGGCTCAATCAGATCGAGGAGGGCTCCTACGGCGTCGTCTTCCGTGCGCGCGACAAGCAGACAGGCGATATCGTCGCTCTCAAGAAGCTAAAGCTCGATGAAGAGAAGAACGGGTTCCCAATAACCGCGCTGCGCGAGATATATGCCCTGATGTCGTGTCGGCACGAGAACGTTGTAGGCATCCGGGAGGTCGTAGTGGGGGACACCCTGACGCAGTGCGTACGTTCTATCTCTGCATAGCATTTGTGTAATCACAGTCGCTCTGTTCTTGTTTCTTTCTGCGCTACGTCAATGCGAAAGAGTTTTCGTTGTGATGGATTTCATTGAACATGACCTGAAGTCGCTGCTTACTGTGATGCCCGCACCGTTCCTCCAATCTGAGATCAAGACGCTCATGCTTCAACTACTCTCTGCTGTGAACCACTGTCATCAGAATTGGATTCTGCATCGAGATTTGAAGACGAGCAATTTGCTCATGAACAACCGTGGAACGATTAAAGTCGCAGACTTTGGTCTAGCCCGCCGGTTTGGTGATCCTGTGGGTGTTGGAGGGATGACACAGTTGATTGTGACTCTTTGGTATCGGTACGTTGAACAACTCAGCTCAGTGTTTTTGGCTTTTCTCAAGACGATGTCCTCTAGCGCACCTGAAATCTTACTCGGTGCAACAACATATTCTACTGCTATTGACATGTGGTCTGTTGGATGCATTTTCGCCGAACTCCTCTTGAAGGAACCTCTTTTCCAAGCCCACGGCGAACTTGAGCTCCTCTCAATGATATTTAAACTCTTAGGTCCACCTACAAACCACAGTTGGCCAAGTTATTCATCGTTGCCTCTGGCTAAAACTATTTCTCTTCCTTCACCTCAGCCACATCAGTTCCGCCAAAAGTTCTCATATCTCTCGTCTGCGGGCCTCGATCTCTTGATGGCTTTATTGACATATGATCCTGAGAGGAGGATCACAGCTGAAGATGCTCTTGACCATCCGTATTTCTCGTCGGGCCCTCTTTTCTTCCTACCAGGACTTAGCTAACGAGCTCACAGTGAATCACCACTACCGAAGCATCCAGACTTATTTGGGTCCTTTCCATCTGCTGCAGCTGGAGAGAAGTGAGTATGCAATGGTTCCTGGATTTTACGTTTCTAACAGTCGCTACAGGAGGCGTAGACCGTTCGATAGCCCTACAGCTCCTCGAGGTGCCGGTTATGATGCGAATGAATCTCGTTTTGGAAGCCCGTAATCGAACATGTTACAACAGTTGTCGTTACGAAGCAATCAAAAGTTGGTGGTACATTGAGAGGGAAATTTTGCTAGGGAAGTAAAAGTATCAAGAAAGGACAAAGGAACTGCGACGGGAAAGCCGAACATCGACTAATCGAAATCATCCTTGAATTTCTCTAATTGCTCGCGCATCCTCTGAAATCGTGTGCGGGTCATCCCCATGTCGCCACATTTGTCATAGTATTCTTGGACTTCACCGAGGGTGAACCTAAAGTCCTTCGCTATGTCTCTAATGCCTTGATCGATGACGTGCATATTGGCAATAGCAATTAACGCAGCTGTTGGTAGTGGAACGGGCTCTCCACCATTGGTCGAGGGAAGTGGATCAGCCCCAGGCTCCCTACAAGTGGCGTCCCGTAAGGGTCGCGGAAAAGCAAAGCAGAGGAAGCACTTACTGCTGCAGACATGGCCGTTTGTTGGCTTCTTCGATATCGTCGTCCGATGCCTTCCGTTTTGCCCATGTAGGAGGTGGGGCGTTGCCAACACGAACAGCCCATTCAGTTCCTTCATCGTTATCTTCCATTTCTTCCTCATCCGGACTTCGTCTGATGTTAGACCGGTCGAGAGGGACTGCAGGAGGCGGAGGGACTGCAGGAGGCGGAGGGACTGCAGGAGGCGGAGGGACTGCAGGAGGCGGAGGGACAATGGCAGAATAAGCGTTGCCAACATCCGCCAGAGTCTGCAATGGTCCCATTGCCTGCTGAAGGCTCTGCGATCCACTGGGGGCCACGTGGTTAATTGAACTGGGTGCTGTGGGTAACAAGACCATCCCGTTGGCATCACGCGAGAATTCATCGGGTGAAAATTCGATGTCTTTGGTCTTCTTTCTTCGTGCCCGCTTCGTCTTTTCTTCAGGTTGTCGAACGTAACCGTACTGTCCTTTCTCGCCTGGCATAGTTTTTTTCTCGTCGACGATCAAGGCGATGACGTGGTCCAGGCGGGCTGAGTGCTTCTTGTATCTCTCTCTCCAGGACTGCCATGTATGACGACTGACCCAAGCATATTCAGGATCTCCGCTCTGTGAATGGGTGAATAGTTGAAGAATAAAGAAACGACTGTATGAAGTTGCGAGATAACTCACTAGCTCGCAAAGTTGCTGATATAGGCGATTTCCCGTCCTTCCACCTGTTTCTTTGTACGGTATCTTGGCTGCGATCCATTTGCATAGATTTTGTTCATCCTGCTCCGTGAATTGGGTTCGTCTTTCGAATGTTAGGGCACAGCCTGAGCATTAAGAAATTCAACTCGACTTACTCTTCTCCAGGCCTACGGCCACCTGGATTCTTGTACACCACTGGGGTGTAAACAACCGCTCCTTTCTCGATGCACTTCTTGACCCAGAGGTATGATTCGATATATTTGTCCGGCACGCCTTGGTATTCCTTCACAAGGACGTTGAATACGTTGGTATTGGGATCTGCGAGGATGACGCGCGCAGAAAGTAAAGATGCATGAGGGTCTCCACCAGAATGCTGGGAACATGGTGCTCAGGTATGTGTATAGGAAAAGGGGTTGGGGCATACCACGATTCGGTAACTCAATGTGCTCCTGGCATTCACGTTGGCTATGCTGGAGTGTATGTGCATAGGGATAGGAGCGCCGTTTTCTATAAACAGTTGCTTCAACAACATTCCTGCAACCTTGCATGCATCAACGTAGGTCCATGGCACGAAGTATCTATCTGGTCGGTCGGACTTCGTCCAGCAGTGGCGTAATCGTTCTTCTTCAACAGTGCCTGGTTGGACCAGGATGTACCCTTGCCTTGGTACCTTAGCCTCGACACGTCCACCAAGAGACTAGAGAAAGTGAGGGATGGGGGGGCTGGGGTGGACAGACGACATACGGTTATTGTTTCACAAAGCTCAGCCTGTGTCTCCTGGGGCAAATCCTTCTGAATGAAGAACTTGACGGCGAGTCCATTGGAATCCTGGAATATGGGCTGTGGGATGTTAGAGAGGAAGGAACACGAGATACGGCGGGCAACCCTACCATTGAAGATACTCAGTATGAGGACTTGGTACCCCGAGATTAAGGTTGGCCACAAGGTTAGGTTTTGCGATGTGCCCACGGTCACGCGACTACATGCCTGTAGCCTCCACCGTTCTCGTTATCTGTCGACTTGATCAAGGTTTCACTCTGTTCGATGGCTCGCCGCTCAAGTAGTATTTCAAAGTTTGAAATAGAATCAAATAGCGAGACCGTCGATTGTATTCCCCTCCGAGTCTAGGTGCGATGACTAAGTAGAGCGTTGGTCCCATTTTTATTTTTGAGCTATTATATCGAGCACCATCTACTCCAAAACTTTCCCAGGATTCATGATTCCGTTTGGGTCGAATGTATTCTTGATTTTCTTCATTAAGTCAATACTAACAGCACTCTTGGAATAAGGAAGGGCATGGGTCTTCATTGCTCCAATTCCATGCTCCGCAGAGATTGACCCTCTTTGAGCAGCTGCGTGGGTTAGTTTTCAGTGATGTGACTGAAACGCGTGAAGATATCGACTCACCAACAACTTCATAGACATAAGGCTCCAATGCTGATTCAATTTCAGGGAGGTACGCGTCCGCAACAATGTTGAGATGCAAATTACCTAAGGGCAAGAGCTCAATTGGATGATGCAAAGGTTACGATGCTTCACTTACCGTCCCCAACGTGGCCGTATCCAAGAACGTATTTCACTGCTTTGTCGTGCAGTAGGCCTTTGGAGCGTAGGTGCTCACGAGTGTCATCAACAACGCGTTTAAATGACGATAGCGGGATGGAAATATCATATTTGTATGCTTTGCCCTCCTTTGAAACAGCCTCAGTAACGCCCTCTCGAAGAGCCCATATAGATGAAAATTGCGAAGGTGACTGAGAGAGAACACCAGTGTTGACCAGTGGCTTGTCGGCCGAAAGAAGAGACTCAAGGAGATCGGCCAATTTCTGAAAGCCACATCAGTGTGAGAGTTGGGACAGTTCAGATAAAGCCAACCTCTTCGTCGTGCTCCCTTCTGCCACCACTGGTCTCGACCAGGACAAAGCATTCTGCACCTTCAACGTCTTCATCGCTTAGAGCCCGGCCTTGGCCATGGTTGACTGCGAGGTTGTAAGCTGTACGGTCGATGAATTCGAAAGCAGAGAGTATTTCAGACAATTGCCGCTTCACAGTTTGATATAATGGGAGGACATTGTCAAAGGACGGAAGAGCAAGAATGACGTTACTGGAGGCTTGAGGAGCAGGGGGTGTCAAAATTGAGACTGCAGTGATTACGCCAAGCGTGCCCTCCGCTCCAATGAATAGTTGTTTGAGGTCATAGCCTATGTCCTCGACTTAGAGACGTTCCAAGGATCGGGTATAAGCACATACCAGTATTGTCCTTACGGAGGGTTGTCAGCTGGTCTAAGATTCTACCGTCTGCTAGGACGACTTCTAGTCCAAGCACAGATCCATGAAGCGAGCCATAACGTAGCAGACGGAGTCCACCTGCGTTTGTCGCTACATTGCCCCCGATATGACAACTAGAGATTGAAGGATAGTGTCACGAAAGGTAGCGAAGGATATGATGATGAAACTTACCTGCCTTTGGCTCCCAGATCTATTGGCATGATGTGGTTATGCGGTGCAACATAATCTGTCAGTGATTGCAGGATGCAACCGGCATCGGCAACAAGTATACCTGTTCAGATTCTTAGCACACGGACATTTCTTTGGGGCAGGAAGACAATACCAGATACAGGATCAAACGAGCGGACTTTATTGAGATTTGAGAGGGATAGGACAACCTCATCATTCACCGGCACGCTTCCTCCAACCAGCCCCGTATTTCCGCCCTGGGGCACAACTCCGATGCGCCTCTCGTTGCACCACTTCAAGATCTCACTAACTTCCTGGGTGGTTTTTGGCTTCAATACAGTGCTTGAGCGACCGCGGAAACGGCCCATCCAGTCAGTATTGAAAGGCTCGAGTTCGTCCGGGGAACTGAAACATGGGGGCAGCGTGGAGATGATTGAGGACGGGGTAAGGATTTTAGAGAAGTAGGCTACATCGCTCTCGGCAACCGGGGTTAAATGTGAATGGGCAGTGGTGGAGAAGACAACGGTGCGCACGGATGCCCAGCGTCGAGCACCAGCCCTAGCGAGGAACATTGTGGATGACAAAACATTTGGGAGAGACGGGGTTTGTGTCAGGGCGAATTACATAATTAATTGCGGTCTGTTCCTGCCAGGGAGCAGATTCTCCGGTGGCCAACCCGTTTGCATCCTCTTTTCATCACTCTCCTTCATGCCAGCGGCGTCCTGCTCAGTACGGCCTTCTGTGCTGTAGTTCCGAGTTCAAATGCCTGTTGCTGCTCTTTCTGACGATACTACCTATGACCACAGTAACGACGCGCCACCAATTACCGAGGTTGAGGTTGTCGATGGCCTGGGGGGAAATCTCGATCTCGACGACGTTATGAAGGTTTCCGACACGTCCAAGGTTGTGCAGGATAGTCCTATGCTCGAGTCGATGCGGGGAGCCTCCATTTCCACCAGTGCAGATCAAACTTCAGATGGAGCCAGCGTCCACAGTATGCCCGCTGTTCACATCACAGAACCAACGTCGCCTGGCCCACAAAGGCCCTCTCCGACATCTCCAGAAGCCACCCTCCTTGACAGTAGACCACCGCCACCTTCTCCAGCGAGAAGCAGCACTTTCCAAGAGGAGGGCTCTCTGAGCCAGCAGCAAAGAAGGGCGCGGCACAGGTCAGCTATAGAGGTGTGTGCCCAAAAATAACGTGTTGTGCAGCGCCCTCATCATAGGTGATCCTTAGCCCCGACCTAATCGACTGTCTGGTTTCTTTACGAATCTCATGCACCGACGAGAGCCTCCGCATACGCCTTCCCGAGAAGCTATACGCGAGGATCCCACTCCTCCTGAACCTCGAACTAATTCAGAGGTCCCTTCTCGTGCTTCTTCACCCTTGGTCCAGCGCCCTGTTACTCCTCCGCCCCCTCCATTACCTCCACCAACTTTACAGGAGTTGGGCCTCTCACTATCTGCCCTGACCACGAACCTCGCTCCGTCGCATTTCAGCACTCCGCCTGCTAGTGGTGCCTTTCTCGCTCCACATTATCTCCTCCTATGTCATGCGCAAGGCCTCGATGTGTTGCCCCTCGTTTCGCCCCCAGCGCCGCAACCGTATGCCCTTGTGAGACGTGTCGGCTTCAAAAGTGTCGTCGTTATGGAGCAGCGCGGCGTTCTTGTCGCCATTGCTGGGCGTAGGGATGGTGTTCGAGTTTATGCACTGGAGGAGGTAAAAAAGGCCATTGAATGGCGGATTGATGTCGAAGTGAGGCGGGAACGTGATCGGTTACGGCGAGAAAATGTCAAGAAAATGACACTGCGCACCGCAGACGTTGCGGACGACCGAGACTCTACCGAAAAGACCCGCAAAGCAAGCCTTTCAACGCCTCCGCCTGGAGAAACGGATCGGGCACGCTCGAACCTGCTGCGGAAGAGCTCCCATAATCCACTTCCAGCACCCCCTTCTCCCCCACCTGTTCCTCTTATCCCTCGCTCCGCAACTCGTCGAACACCCAAAAAACGGCCAGCTAATCCATCTATTCAAATTCCTACCAACCCTCCAGAACCAGCAGGGCACCCACCTCCCTACGCTGGTCCGTCAGATACCGTCAATCAGCCCATCCTGCAGAATCGGCCCTCGTTCGTCTCGTTGAGATCAAGATCGAGAGGCAATTCCGTCAGCAATGTTCTTACAGCACCTCGGCATCGCCCAGACGGGACAACGACAATGCAAGATGATTCTAAAGCCGATTGGGCGGAGTCCAGCGACGAGGAGGCGATCGACGCCGTCGCAGCTGGCCCTAGCGGCACTCATCTAGATGAGAGGACCAGTGCTACTCTCTCGGCAGCTCGTGCCGCGACCTCTCCACAACTCCAGCCTAATGTCGCTCAACCTGTTCCAGTGCCCGTTTTGCCACGAACGGGATCTGCAGCACTACGGCGCAATCGTCCTTCCAATTTGGATCTGTCTTTGGCTCGCTCAAATCCCATCCCACCTCCAGAACCTTCTCCTGTTCCGACACTGCTTACATTGAGACAGGCGCTTTCCCACTCTCTCCCAACTGCTGCCGATTCTCCCAACCCAGATACTCCTTTGGCGGAGGCTGATGACGATGACGAAGATGTTGAAGGGCACATTAGTCTTGCACAAGCTCTGCTTGAGAGCAGAATTCCTGATCTACCACCCATGGGAACAAGGCGTGCACAGGAACCCATATTGATCACCCCTTCGAATTCAAATTTAAGACAAGGCGAACCTTCATCCCCTCAAACTGCTGATGGCCACAACTCGAATTCCGTTGGACGTAGCTCCAGTAGTAACGCCAGACGCCGCCGCCGATGGTCTATTATGATCAGCAGTCCCACAGAGATTGCTCCTGAGCCTACGACAGCACCAAGCATAAGGTCGGCGAGCAGGTTCTCAAGATCAAATTCGTTTCGTTCCAACCATTCTCAAACACCAACAGCACGATCAATTACGGATCCTGTGCCCTCTATGCCTTCCACTGTTGGCCCTGTGACGCCATTAACAGCTGGACCGGCTCCTCAATCGTCTCGCGCGTCACGCTTTTTCCCGCGAATCTTTAGCAGCGTTCTCCATGGGCGGAGTTCGGAAGACCATCCACCGACTCGCTCTGCAAGTCCAATCGATGCAGAAGGGCTACGTTGGACACCAGGTCCCCAACAAAGCCCCCCTCCTAAATTGGAATATGTCAAACTTCCTGGAACCAAAGGCGCGCTTCTTGTCAAAGCTGTCGAGACTGCCAAAAAGAGGTGTGTTGAGATGCTGTCTCTCGAATCACCTATTGATTTACATTTTCAAGCTTCCTTGCCATCCTTTGCGGTGATAACGGTGAAAAGGTTGAGTTGTTCGCGGGGACATATCGAACAGCTCTCGGCCTCTCGCGGACCTTTATCTTACCTGATTCACCGCGTTCCCTGGAGCTGCAACTGCAAGGAGATGACCTTGTGGAAGTCTTTCTCGTGTTCGCGCAGAATGTCTTTGGTTTGGAGCCCGCGACTGTCCGTGTGCGCGAGGTAAGAATCGGACGCGCAGAACGACGCGCAGCTCGACGACGAGCGCGGGAACAAAGAGTCGGAGAGTTACCTACAAATGACCCCGACGCAGCCGACGAAGACACCAATGTCACTGTCAGCATCGGTGTTGCTGTTCCAACAATTTCTAACGCTACTTCCTCTGGTGGTAATAGTGAACGTCCAGGAAGCCCAACTCTTGTTGCCAACGAGCATCCTGAAGCACAGACAGACAGGCCTTCAACCCCAGATCCCGCTTCTTCCTCTGCGCCACAACAAACCGACGAACTGCTCGCCCTGGCCACCGCTCAGATGGGCCCTTACACCACTTTCCAGCAACTCGGATTTGCACCTAAATTTCCGCTAGCGTCTATTGCAGACGAATATGTCATCCCTCCAACATACCCCTCCTTTTTGGAATACAAGGCCGAATACGAGGGTGATGGTTCCCCTCCAGAAATGAGCCAATCTCAGTTCTCTCCACCTGGTCTCCCTATACCTACACCTACTGCTCCCTCGAGATGGTTTTACCGCGATCCTAAAAACGTTGTTCACGGTTTGTTATCACTTCTGCTCCATCTTTTAAATCGTACACTTACGCTTATTTAGGCCCTTGGAAAGCCTCTCTAATGCAAGCCTGGTATAAAGACGGTCTTCTTCCACCAGATCTCCCGGTCAGGCGAGAGGAGGATCCGGAATATATGCTTCTGAAGGACCTCCGTCTACAGAGTGTTGACCCTACGCAACCCTTCCGCACCGTAGCTCCTCCTTCCCCTGCTGTATCAACTACAGCAACGCATGGCGCCCGACCTCTTCTCAAGCCTATCTCCCTATTGGCCCAACCTCGGCATTTCGGACCACCTGCATTGTTCTTTTCCTCTCGCGGCGGACACAGTACTGCCATTGTCGACGCACGCGGACGATCTGTGCTAAAGGACAAATTCTTCTGGAGCAGTGACGACGATTCTACCCGGGTTTCATCCTTCGGCAGAATGGGAGATGTCAAGAGGCTGGAGGCCTTCGATGTCAGCGAGCGGTCGGTGTTGGTTGCAATGCGTCAAGGAGGGCTAGAGGTTGTCGACCTCAGTGACGCGTTGCTGAAGCCTGCAGACGAATCAAGAACTGCGCTACCGCACTACAACCCTCCCACAAGTAACGTTAACCGCCGAGCACCTTACGTATGGAAGATCGGCACACCGATAATCCCGTCGATGGATCAAGCGCTACCTGTCACTAGTAAAGGCAAAGGCGCGCTTTCGTCCAGCAAAAAGTCGAACACTGGCCCTGCTAGGAATATTTCTAGCAGAGCGGATTCACTTCCAGGCGATTTTGACATTGACCCGCAGGACGAGGTCCTATATCTCGGTCGGAAAGACGACGAGGTGTACTTCTGTGAACGAAATGCCTCCTCTTTCAGGATATTACGCTTATCACCTACTGCATGATATGACTATTAAGTAGTTACGCATGATCATGAATTCGCGCATCCATAACCTTCATACCTTATAATACTTTTCTCTTCCGTGCCCATGACGAGATACCAAGGTATCTATGAATAGGCCCTTTTCTTTTAACTTGGATGTGTATCGGATTTGTGGTATTTAATTGTTGTATACAACGATGAGAATGAGTGTTCCAAAGTACAATTGCGCACCAACTCCGTAGATATAGATTGTGGATTCCGACATTCGCATCTAAACAGACAAACCAGCCCACCTACAACTTGGCAACGATCTTGCGTAGCTCTGTCTTGAGAATCTTACCGGTGGAGGTTTTCTGGGTTTCAATCAGAAACAGATAGACAACCCAATAAGAGAAGACTAACCGGTAGTTCTGGCATTACTTCAACCCACTCGGGACATGCAAAGCCAGGAAGTCTCTTTTTTGCGTGCTCCTTCATGTCTTGTCCGAATTCATGATGACGGCCTTTCCACTTGGCCGCATGTTGAGGGTGAAGAACAACGAAAGCCATCGGCCGTTCTCCCCATCTGATGTGACTGCGGGCCACAACGCTGACTTCTAGGACATGCGGGTGGCTTGCCAATTCTGCAAAAATGGATGTTACTTCTTCCTTGGATGGTGCAAAGGCTGCACCAATTTACCTTGCTCGATAGCAAGCGAAGAAGCATTCTGAATCACAACGGGTATCAATAATTGAAACGATCCATTGCGTGCAAGCTGCTTACCTCTCCGCCGGATATGATGATATCCTTGCTTCTGTCCATGATCGCCACAGAGCCATTGGGATGTATGACGGCAAGATCTCCTGTATGGAAACTGCCACCAGCAAATGCCTTTTTTGTGGCTTCAAGATCACGGAAATACTAACGGTTCGGAGATGAATGGCATCAGCTAACGAGCAAGAACCAACCAACATGACAAGACCAACCTGCTTCATAACGATATTTCCTCTTGTAACGATCTCCCCAACTGTCTTTCCGTCTCGAGGAACATCCTTCAGTGGTCCATTCGAGACGGCGTCTCCCTCAACAGGATACACAACGCGAACTTCCTCTGCTGTGGCGAAAGCGTGCCCTTGACGCGCCATCAGGCGAGCGCGCTCTTCCAGCGAAAGGTTCGCCCAGGACGGGTCATCATAATTGCGAGTAAATGGACCATAGGTCTAGACGAAACCATTATCCAGGTAAAATCACAGACCACGAAACGGTACAACACCTACTTCACTAGAGGATGCGTTCCTCAGTAAGGATAACCCGACGGTACAAGGTTAAAGAGGACTCACGTTAGGCCGTATACATGGACCGGCTTGATTCCTGTTTTCTCGAGTTCGGCAATAAGATGAGCCGTCGGTGCCGCACCCGCTGATTAGATGACAAGTTAATCGCCGGAACTAACATCGTGTGCCTCGGAAGGCCGTACCTATGATCGCGGTGATGGGTTGTGGGGGACGTCTCGCCTGAGGGTCATTGACAATCCCTATCTGTTTGAGGAAGTGAGATCAAGGTCATTCTCGCCCGCCAAATAACGTACCTGCACAGTTGGGGCTGCACAGTAGTGTGTTACTCCAGAGTGCAGGAAATGGTTCCAGATGTGGGTATAGTTGACCGTGCGTAAAGTAACCTGTCAACCCAAATTGGTGATCGTCGAAGAACTGCGTCAAAACGCAAAACTTGCCTGTTTCGTGAATGCAAAAACGTTCGTCCATGGGAACGTCCATCCAGCAGCGTGGAACATCGGCAATATCCTGTCAGGTCCGAGGTTGGGTGGACAATAATATGATACGATAGAATGCTCATACCACAGATACGTAGAATGACGGTTCATTCTTAGACCGAAGGTTAGCACCCAGCCTCGCATCGGTAAACCCATGAAGACTCACTGCCCCTCGAAGGCGTTCGCCACTGCCGCCAGATACGAGCCTAAAAATCGACCTGAGTAGCCACTCCTTGTTCAAAATAGAGTTGTCTTACCTCTGAGTGTGGTTAGGACACCTTTAGGCTTCATAAAAGTCAGCAGCGCCACACACATAAGCAACCATCTATCTTACTCTTCCCGTCGTGCCGGACCTAGAGGAGCCAATCAAAAAAAGGGAAGGTGTACCCAGACTCGTAACTTACGTATAACAAAGCACAGCGGCTGCATTCTCGTCAGGCTCTGCCTCCAATCCAGGCCAGCCCTTTTCTTTGCTGAAGCGCCTGCCGTCAGCGAGGAAATCCTCGTAAGGATCGCCCGCTCTCCCTGTGTCGTTGGTAACAATTACTGGAATCTTGGTGCCGGCAACGAGGTGCAGATATTCGTAGTCGACCAAGAGCAGACGGCACTGACTGTGCCCGAGAATATATTCCACCTCTGAGTGTTTGAGACGCGTATTGATGGGAGTGATGACTGCTCGAGCAGCAAGTACACCGTGATGCGCGTCTGGAAATTTCTGATGAGCTCCTGAAATGACGTAGGCGAGCGAGGGTTCAGTACCTGCTATCATTGGGCTGTTTCATTCTTTCAGCGCGCTGAATGAGGTCCAAGCGACGTGTATGACTTACGAGTTGGGAGCAATCACGCCTACATGGTCTCCTGGTCTAATACCAGCCTTGATCAAGGCGTATGCGAGATTCTGGATCCGTTGTGCCCTTGGAATGAACAGTCAGATGAGATTGGACGTGGAGGGTAAGAACGTACCACACAGAGAAGGTATAGATGACTGGCTGCTGGACGTCTGTGTGAACGAGTGCGACTTTCTCTGGGTATATCTGAGCTGCGCGCAGGATGAACGACAATGGGTTCTACGTTGAGGAATCAGCTTGTGATATGCCCGAGGATTTATTCTCGCGCACCAGAGGGTGCCAATTCGGTGGCGCATTTGGTATATCCTGGAGTCTGAGGAGGGCATTTTGAGGGGGGATGCTGGCTGGAGTCGCGATGAAGGTGGCCATTGGGGGGAAGGGCTGGAGGAACGAGATGGCGTATGTCGTCACTAAAATACCTGCGGGACTTTACCCCGCGTTGCCCCGCATCCCGCACTAATGATCTTGAGTCACTTGGCGCACTTGGCGTTCTCGATCGCCGGAGTCAACATATTCCTTATCGGACTGCCAGTCTGCTTTCACCACTATAAAATATCATGGAACGCTCACAGAAAGCCTCAAATTCTCCTAATATCTCCGGACTGGTTCTTGGACCTTTCGCTTCATTTTTGGACCATGTTCAGGGCCCTGTCATTCGTGATCTTCTTTGCGCCGTATGCGATCGGTCCGTATAACAGGCTTTCGGCTGCTCAACCATCTGCTCATGTTTCCGGGTCCGCTTTCTAGGCGACCCAACTGACTGGGTAAACGTGGATTACGTTGTTGCGAGGAGCAAGTCGACTGGACGCATCTCTTCTACTGCCGATGCGGAGGCTACTATCGTTCGAAATGCGGAGAGCACTGCAAAAGAGGGTCCCTGGTGTGAGTATGCCTCTGTTCCCGTTTTAAGAACCGTACTGACGGTCTCAGCTATCCTGAATTCCCCTAATATTCTTCCTCCAAGCAAAGATCCTCACGACTATTTGAGTTGGGCTCCATAGTACGATCCTTTCTCTAAAGTAGACGAAATGATCTTGATTCACAGCGCCTTGCTATTATAGTCATTGGCCCGATTGTAACTGGTGCACCCAAGCTGGTCGGACACACCTGGTCCACACCGTCAATGGGTCGAGCAGTGGGACCGTTGGAAACAGCGATAACGGTACAGCTGACCTGTATTGCCCGAATTCTCTCGATTACGTGGGTCAACAAGTGCAGTCTATCTTGGTCATCCCAGCAAGGCAGATATACGAAGCAGACGCTGCTCCAACGTCGATCTTGATGCCAGAGTCCTCTCTTACGAGTGGCCTCCCCAATGAACCGACAGTGCATCCCCCAGAAATCCCAACGACAATACACCCCACATTACCAACGGCAAAACCAGCAACTTCCTCAACTTCTGACGGCCGGACGCACGGGCCGGCTCAAGCAGCTGCAAGGACAACTCAACATTCCTGTACCCCATCTCCTACGAAGTCATTGGCTCCGAGTGCCAGCAAGTAGTCCTGCGATCTTGTTTATATCATTGCGCTAAATTTTACACAGCTTGGACAACGTGTCCATATGTTACTCGAGACGGTCAAGTGAATCCCGATGTCAGAACCCTGCGTGGACCCGGCGCGATCAACGACGCAGCACAGAGCATCCTGTCTAACGCTCTGGCCTTCGCCCTGAAAAGAAGTTCGACGTATTCGCAAAACGTTGCGAAATTCATCGACACCTTTTTCTTATCGACCGCAACAAAGATGAACCCAAATGTCAATTTCGGTCAAATAGTGCGGGGCCCAGGTGAAGCAGGCCATACGGGTACGTTTACGGGGATTCTAGACCTTCGAGGAATGGTCAAGATAGCGAACGGGATCACTGTTCTGAAGGCGCTCGGTAGTTCTGATTGGACGAAGACCAGGGATCAGGCGATGGAGTCTTGGATCTCCCAGTACAGCGACTGGCTGCTCAACAGTAGCATCGGGAAAATGACTGCGTCGCGGCCCAAGTAAGCAGCCCCTTTTTATTTTTATGCAACACTCCTCATGGACATCGTATCAGCAACCATGCAACTTTCTACGTCGCGCAGGTAGCGGCTGTGAAAATATTGGCGGGGGATAAGAATAAGGCCACTATGTTGCTGCAGGGGTTTTTCAAGGGCCAGTTCCTTGATCAAATCGCTGCCTCGGGGGAGCAGCCATTTGAAGCAGTAAGAACACGTCCGTGGCACTATCGATGCTTCAACCTTGAAGCCCTGATTGTAAGCAACAAGGGCTTATGTAGCCAAAGAGCTGCCGGAACTAACAAGAATATTATAGACAAACGCGAAGTTGGGCGACCAGCTCGGCATCGACCTTTGGTCTTCAAAGTCCAAATACGGAGCGACGATTCAGAAAGCCCTCGATTTTCTTCTAACCGTGGACCCGAAGGATGAGGACGTTGACGAGGTATTTCCACACGTCGCCGCAATCGCCGCGGCGTACGGAGATCCCAAAGGTACCTATGCGGCTTATTTGAAGAAAAAGGCCACCAGTTACCAGAGCAAGTCGTATTGGTTTTATGACCAGGCAAACGCCCTTCCGCATTCTCCTGCGTCAAAGAATCGAGCGAGGTCTGTGATATGGAAGAGAGAGGACACCGTGACGGCCGTCAACGCTTCAACACCTATTACACCAAAGGTGCCCTGGGAATGCCCAGCGGTTTTCCAGGGTGTGACCAGGGTGGAAATCGATAACGGCGTTTATGTCACTTGCGACCAGTTGCGACCGCTCTACTTACCAGAAGACAACGAGACAAGAGGCGTTGTAGAGTCTCTTGTAGAGCTAGATTAGCGTACTTAGCAGCCATCGGGACTTGTAACTTTTATGGTGAACGACAAACATCGGACAAACAGTGCAGGCCACCGCCTTCCATCACAACAACAACGGTCTAAGGCTTTGAGTACATCCTCCTCTTGCCGCTTCATTTCCCCGCCTCCCCACTCAATTTTATTCGACATCTCATGGCAGACTCAGCCTCCGGATCCGTCGCCGATAAGTCGGTTCAAGTGAAGTTGGTTCTACTCGGTACGTCCGCACTTGTCGACCTCAGCTCTCCACCTTTTCTGCAAATCTCATGTTCCACCTTTTCTCATGTTAGGTGAAGCTGCTGTCGGCAAATCATCAGTGGTTCTTCGCTTTGTATGCTTTTCTCAATCGCCACAAGGCAGTGCTTTCCTGACTGCGCAACCCTCCAGGTGTCAAATGAGTTCCAGCCCAACAAAGAGCCCACCATTGGTGCTGCTTTCTTAACGCAGAAGTGCCGTCTTGAGGACCGTATTTTGAGATATGAGATTTGGGATACGGCAGGACAGGAGCGATTCCATTCGTTGGCGGTGTGTACTCTTCCTTCTCCTGCTGTGTCCCGACCTTTCAACCTTATTACGCCAGCCAATGTACTACCGTAATGCGCAAGCCGCTGTCGTCGTCTACGATGTCACCAAAGCCAGCAGCCTGGAGAAGGCAAAGTCGTGGGTTAAGGAACTCCAACGTCAGGCCAACCCCAACATCGTCATCGCCTTGGCAGGAAACAAGGTCGACCTTGTCCAATCCTCTACGTCTTCATCTTCTGCTGCCTCTCCTCCGGAGTCTGAGGACGAAGCCGACGATGCTACTGCTACACCTGGAGAGACACCCGGTGCGACCGGCGAACCCGAAAGCCTGCGACAGGTTCCCCGTGAGGAGGCACAAGCGTATGCTACGGAGGCTGGATTACTGTTCTTTGAGACGAGTGCCAAGACTGGTGAGGGCATCGTGGACATCTTCACTGAAATAGGTAAAATTTCTTTCTTCCACGAGCCACCAATGCCGTCTAACACCTTCCTTACTCCAGCCAAGAAAATTCCCATTGAGCATATCCTGGCCTCAACTCGTGGTAACGCAGGACGTCCGGGTGCTGGTGGCAGCAGAGCCGAAGGCACAAGACAGCAAGCCGTCAACCTCGAGGAAGACCCTAACAAGGCAAAAGATGCTTGCAACTGCTGAGAAAACAGGCTGTTGGTCTTGGGATATTTCAGGAATGCTCGCCATCCTTCCGTTTTTATGATCTTTATGCCTCCCCTACATATGCTCTCGCGCAGACCATCTCCTACCTTCCATAGCCCCTTGTAATACTCCTTAACTATATCACCTAGAATCTGGATGTTTTGGAAACATATATTGTGTACAGATTTACCGCAATTCCCGACTTTTGTTAGCTCAATCGACGTAAGGAGGCGGTCTAATAACTTGATCGTTTTGCATATTGTTCACTCGGTGGGTATCCGGGGTAAGATAGGGAGGTGGCGCGGTGCCTTGCGGTGCTGAGGTTTCTGGGGGCACTGTCGGGGGAGGAGATGTGTTAACTCTGATTGCGGAATCACTTTGGAACCGAGGGGGTGACGAAGAAGGACTTGGAGATGGTGGGCGAATCACTATAGGCGACCTGAAATCGGAGTCAATCGAAGGCGGAGGATCAGAAGGATCGTCCATGGGAGGAGGCGGCGGAGGTTGTTCTTCTCCTCGGCTATGTTCCTCATGTTGTTCGAGGACCATGTTCAAAGTCTCTATGGCAATATGACTGGGTTGATCTGTTAAGGCCGTCAAATCTGTATCTCTCGAAGCCATCTCCAAAGTGGGAGGAGGTGTGGAAGACCTCTGCATATCTTCGGAATGCCCATCGAATTGTTCAACGGGGGAAAATCCGAAGACAGTTCCTTCGCCAGGTATCGAAGGCGCGGCTGTCAGTTCATCTAAGAGATCTTCGGCGTCAGGCAGGATAATCTCACGTTCAGATTCTTGGAACGTGGGTAAACGCGAAGAAGAGGAGGCTTCAAAGGCGGAAACAAAAAATGGAGGGGGAGCATCTCGTTCTTCGAAAGGCGGAGGAGCGCCGGAGGAGAGCATGCTCGGACCAGCTTCTCCTTCCGTGTAATGCGGAATGGAGGGATCGGTCTCTGGTTCGCGGACTGTCCTAGCGGGTGGGCGGTCGTGTTTCTTTTGGTATGCATCATCGATAGCCTGCGATACTTCAGGGAGCGGTGCATGAGGAGGAACAATGGTTATCGGAATAATCATGGTCGAGATACGTTCGGTCTGACTCGAAGTATCAACAAATGACACATGGACCTTAATATGAAACGAGACAGAATGAAGAAGTGTCGACTGAGTTATGAGACCGCTGTCGAGGTCACTATCCATGCGGTCAATGTTGGCTCGAGAGTCCGACGGCGTGCCCGATGAGTTCTGGTGAAGGACAAAGCGTAACTGTATTGGGCGCGATGAATGAAAGCGGCAAGATGCTCCTGAACGTGCGATGACTGTCCGGTAAGACGAACCTAGAAACAGAGGAGATAAAGGGACTTTCGAAGAGGAAGGAAGACGATGATCGTCGAGGGCATGTGAGGATTCCGCTAGTGACGGTCCGCCTAGATTATGTTCTGGCTCTTCGATGGCGATTTCTTCGTCCGCACCGGGCTCACTGTCTTCAAAGTGCTCCCGCTTCACTTTCACGACGCGCACCAATTCTGCTCGGATGTTGCGTAGACGTAAGCCCTGGTCAACCACGATCTCCAGTGGCGGGGGCGGTACTGTAATATAGAGCGGTATGGTCTCTGCGGACGTGAACGAATCGCGGGGTAGCTGGACTTCGACCAAGGTTGGATCCTCGAGAGTGTGCGTTTCGGGCGACGAAGGGAGTGTATGAGAATGCGACAAGTAGCGGCGCGTGAAGATGTTCAGGCTCTTGGAAATTGGTGGCGCAGATTGTCCGGCGGCTGGGTGAAGTGTTGCAGTGAGGGTATGACCCAAGGCTGAATGCGGGGTGTGCAAGGACTGAGGCGTGTCCGGTAGTAGTGGAATTGAGAACGGAATCGAGGACGGGAATCGCCCTTGGGTGCCGTCCCAGGAGTACAACTCGACTTCCACGACGGAGAGTTCGATGTCGTTTTGATACGCGCTTTCGAATGAGCGTAACGAAACGGTTCTAGAAAGTGGGACGCATGGGTACTGGGGAGATGCGAGCAATGGGACAACTTACATGCGCGCCCAGCGTTCCATGTTGACGCCCTTGATTTGTATCTCGCCTTCCACCGCAGCCCGTTCACCCTCGGCACCAAGGAATCCCTTCTGGAAGTTGACCGCGTCTAGCGCTGGGACAATAAGAATCTGGGGTTGCGACTGGTCATGCAACGTCTGGGAGTCGACAGGATCTTGCTGCGAGTATGTTGGAGGGTGGTCTGCCATGACTTACTGGAGACATCGTTGTAACTCGGTATAGCTTCACAACTTCATCATTGCCACAGCCCTCGCCATCACGTGTGCAAACAGGAATCATAGCAGAATCCAGACATACAAAATACATAAAGGCTAAAATCCCCTACTGGCGTTCGACCCGGACCAAGCTGTCCAACTCGCTGAACAGCACGTCGTCCTGCAGCACCTCCCGCATCATGAGCATCTCCCAAGCAACATCGCGGTTCCCTCCCAGTAACCCAGTCCCCTTCTCGATATTCGAGTCGGACCCGTCCGAAAAGCCCATTCCAAATGACAAGACAGGCACGGAAGGTTCTGACTTGTCAGTAGAGTCCTCTGCCTTGTCTAGCAGTTTAATTGTCTCCACCGCTCGTCGCGCCGGCACTAAGAATGTCCCCCGCTCATGACCTGGCATCATAAGAACCCTCTGTGCCATCCTTAGCAGCACGTTTTTGAAACCCAACCTACGATCGGTCTTCACCTTCTGCTTGAGTTCGTAGGGTGCCAGGAAGATGATGGAATAGATAGCCATGACGGTCTTTTCTAAGAAGCTTAACCAATATTCTCGTTGTAATAGAAGAAAATCTGCATCGATAATGGGCAGACGGTGTACGAGGCTTGTCAACAGTAACCAAAGACTGTCAGTCGCAACTGCCCTGGTGATGGTTTGTCGATTTCCGTCATTTTGGCTGAGCTTGGTAAATACCTCGAGCGCAACATCAGCCAACACAGGGGGTTTCAAGTGAGGATTCGGGGGGATGCCAGCAAGTTGGACGCTGGCCAGAGGAGGGAGGGCATCGTTTACATCAACAAGATATGATGCGACGAGGTCAAAGGCACGTCTGACGATCCGGAGAGTGGTCAGGGATGGCGTAGTGCCGGAGAAATTGACGAGAGGCGAAATGGCCATAAGAGCATTCATGGTTTCCCTGCGAATGACCAACAAGTCTGCCAGTGAGATACTCTTAGCTGCGGCGGAGGGAGGGAGGTCGTCAATTTGTTCCACGGCGCATAGTCGCAAGAGTATATCCAGGATTCGGGGATGATTTGAGATGAAGTCGACGTTATCTGGAATAACCGAAAGGTTGCGGAGGATATTGACAACGGCGAGTATAACATTTGCAGGACGTTGCTTTGGACCTAGATCCGGGTCTTTGGCCCCTTGATGTTGCTTGAGCGAAGCGAACGGACAACCTTCAGTGTCGTGAACAGTCGCCGCCAATTCCCTGTTTGTGAAGATCTTCGTGGACGTTGTCCCTGACTCTTGATGTGGCAGCACGTCTAGTTTGCCATCGAATGCCAATTCCTCCAATAGATCCAAAATATCATCGAGGAGATCTGGACACTGGAATATAGGGAAACCGGATCCGGGCGTCTGACCTCGCATTGTGGAGAGAACCGTGAGTGTCGTCAAAGCGTATGATAGCTCAATAGAAAGTCGTGAGCGGATAGACATTGACAGGCAGTCGATGTCTACAACACCCCAGTCGTTAATTTCACGAAGTGGTCTTCGTGGAATTGCATTTGACCACTCTGCTTCAATGGCTTGTAAATCGCGTCCGCCGTAGGTCTCCGCTTCGCGCGCCAATGGAACATATTCAATCTTGCGACGTAACGGCTGTTGGAGACGGCGTCCAGGGCCGGGTACAGCGGAAGTAGTTTGGGAATTTGGTCGCAGTTGCGTGCCACCTGCGCCGTCAGGCGCCATCCCTATTATCATCTAGAGATTACACATTAATGCCAGTCCTCAAAAGTTCACAGATGGATTGCTCACCGAATTGGCATCTGGTGGATCTTCGTGAGGGAAACGTATTTAGTTCACAGTTATTGAGGAAAGCCTGAAGGCTTACCTGTTTTCTGCCTGACTCTTTTCGTATCTCTATCGTCCTGGTCGTGTTTCCTTTTGATACCCTGGTTATCCTGATCCAAAAGATTTGAATCCACGGTATGTCCGAGAGAATTGAGTTCCGAATGGGCCATAGAGTTGTGCGTGTCAACCATTCCCATTTGATGCGGATTTTGAACAGGTGGTCGGTGCTGAGATAGTTCGGGATATTGTCCCAAACCATTCCCAGGTGGTATCGATTGTGACATAAGGCTGTTTGGGTTCATGGGCCGCATACCAGGTTGTTGCATGTTGGGCATGCCTGGAGCAGGACGACCAAACTGCTGCTGGTCGGAGAGGCCACCTTGGGGTAAATGAGCCTTCTTCTGCTGATCTTGCATGTTCTTCTTGTAGATGATTTCGAAAGGGTGTAAGATAGCCATGTAGTATTGATGAAGCATGACCGCTACCGATGACGAATTATTGGCTTGCACAGTAGGGAATTCGTCGGGTAAGTCGAAATGAGGAAGGAGGGCTTGCCACCCGTTCATGTTGGTGACCTAGAAATGGTCAGAATACAAGTAGGGGAAGAACAAAACAAGAGGCGCACCGCTGCACCTCCTCCCTGTTGGAAAACCAGCCCCCACAGCTTGAACAAATTCACATCTTTCCCTGCAAGTTTGAATGTGCCAACTTCTGACGATTCAATGAGCGACCAAGGAGAAGTCGTAGGATCGTAGTTCGGAGAGGCAATTCCGGTGAGCGAAGGTGGTAGAGGCTGCCCACGCTTGGCGAAGACATTTGCAAGTCCGGTGAGGAATCCCTGTTGACGGTGCTTCAATGAATTGGGGGGAGGTTGGTTGCGCGGAATGTTGGGCTGTGCCATTGTTGGGTCCAAGAAGGACGAGTTGGCAGCTGAGCCAGGGCGTTGTGGGATGCCGTAGTTGCTATTCATTTGGAAATTGGCGTGTCCGTTGGCGGAGGAGTTCAAAAGGTCATGGCTGCCTTGAGGAAAGTTGTGAGAGTTGATAGCTCCGAGGTATGACCCCGAACTTGTTCCGCCAGGGGGCGTCTGAGGGGGAAGTCGAGTATTTTGAGAAGCTATTCCGAGCCTTGCCTGGTTTGCGACTGCAAGGGCTGCCATTTGCTTGGCGGCTTGCGGAGAGTCAAAAAAAGAGGAGGAATCGAGGGCGCCGGGGCCGGGGCCCATGAACGCTGGCAAGCCGGACTGCTGGATCTGTTGGGGCGTCGGGCGCTGGTGGGGATTCTGTGGACTGCGAAGAACGGCTAAGTGATGTCAAACGCGGAGGACAGGAACCAGGTCTTACACCATCGTTCCGCTAATATTGAGCACAATGTCCGGAAGGTGTGGTTCCAGATTCAACAGCGACAGACACGCCATGTCACCCATCGTGATCACCCAACAGGCTCACACACTCAAAGTTTGTCGACCCTTCTGAGTCCTACACAAAGTATCCTCTCGACAATCTTTGCTACCAATCGAACGGGCTCAGTTTCGTCAACGGAAGACCACGGCACATGCTCCGATGCCTTGCATCCAAGCCCACGAGATTCTCAATCCGCAATGCACCCGTCACACAAGTCACGGTCCCCGTGACATAATTTCCTCGCTTGTGCTCCTGCCATGTCTGAAATCGACAACATCTTCGCCTTCAAAGGGAAGGCAAAAGCGTTAACCACTCCTCTCAAGGATGCTCCTACTTCCTCCAAAGTTTTGTCCAAACAGGACAAGAAGAAGATGAAGAAGAAGATGAAGCAAAAAACGGTAGCATCTGTAGATGATTTCAAGGCCGAGAAGGCTACACCCGAGTCGTCCTCATCGAAAAAGCGACCTCTTCCGGAGACAGTCGTGGACAGCTCCCACAGCTTGCAGGCTCCTTCTAAACGGCGTAAAGGTGACTCGAAACGCAACGACGACCACAGCTCCAAGTCCACAACAGCCAGTAAACCCGGAGCTGATACAGAAACCGATTTCAAGAACTCCAGAGGAACGAGTTCTCGTATGGCTCTCATCGCCCATCCCGACGCTTCGCTCATCGTTCTCCCTTAGGTCAGAAAACTGAGGAAGGGTGGTCGATATACAAGGAAGATGAGCTCGGCATACGCGATCAAGGCGGGGGTAAGGCAGTAATCCTGCACATGTTCGTTCTTTTCATGGCTTTCTACCAGACACGCCGCTGTGTCCCTTTGATTGCGATTGCTGTGAGTTTCTCTCTTTTTTTCCGACGGGCTCTGGGGTTGATGTTTCTCCGAAGGTTTCTAGGGATCGATGCGCAATTTACCCGTTTTGCACCCGTTTCTCCTTTGCCGGTCTGCCCGAATACGGCTCCTTCGAAGCCTTGTTCGTCGTGCCCCACGGCGCTCGAGGTCAATTAGCAGCCAAAAGCAACCTTCCGGTCGGTAGATTTCTTCGAGCTACACTCAACGATGAAAACCCGCGAAAGCATTCTTCGGAAAACATTACCTCCGTCTGCTGCGCAGTAAGTATGCTTAGGACGTAGACATAGCTTTGATTTCCATGCCCTTCTGATTGTCACCGTCGATTCACTCCCAACTGGAGTAGACCTGCCTGTTCTGGCTTCTCGGACGTCAGGATTAATATTTGTTCGTGTGTAGAGGTGCGCGTGCAAAATAGACTTCTTTGTCGAGGACAATTATTCCCAATAGTCGAAGGATCACACTGTGTTAAGTCGTAAATCAGTCATCGTCGTCATCGTCGTAATCCACTAAGCCAGCTAAGCCTCGCTTTTCCGCCAGCTCGTTGCCAAAAGGATCTCCGTCTTCCATCGCCTTCTGGACATCTGTCGCCTTTTTATTGCGTTTTTCTGCTGCTGATCTTTCGGCATCCATCTTTCGTGCAAGGTATGCTTTGCTCCCAATGACCTTCTCAGGGTTTTTGCACAGCCTGAGCCGTCTGTCCACCTCGCGCACGGATTCGACGCTTGGTGGATGGCCATGCGTGGTGATAATTGATTTGATATCATCAACAATAGTGGATAGTGATGAGATTTCGTCTGGAGATTTTAAGGCCATCCACTGAGACGCAATGTCAGGGAAGACCAGGGAAAACGCCGAGAGAGCGATTTGTGAAGGTGAATAAATCAGTTCCACGTCGGTCAATCGAGACGCGCGAACATGATTAAGCGCTACGTCGTAAAGACTCGTCTCCAGCTTCTCAGTAACCCCGGGAAGGTTCTACGGCATATTGTCTAGATAAGTTGTACGGGTGGAAAGACTTGGGGAACGTACTTGAACATCAAGCCAGATGCCCCAAAGAGCCCTGTAAGCGTGCCAGACTGCGAATTCGAATCCCAAGCTTTGAGCGACAAGGAATTCAAGGTCGAGGACGTCGTTGGGCGCTGTCTTAGGAATATGTGTCGTATAGGCTTCGAGCGAGATCGGGTTGTTGGTGGTTTTTGTCGCGAGAAACAAGGCGGTTAACCTGGGGGGCATCATCAGATGATAGCAGGCTCATAATTGCCGAGAAAGTCTCAGACATGACATTCTTTGGATGCCAATCCATCACCGTATTCTTGAGATAGAATCGCTTTAAGTAGGTGATAGCCGTTGCTTCCACCTCTTCTGGAAACCTGAAATGCCCGCAGAGCTGTGTGATTTTGGTGATGTACAGTTTAACGAGTAACAGTTCTTCGTCGGCATTTAAAAAGGCTACACCCGTCGACGATCCTGGCTAGCGTCCTAACTGAGTGTGGTGCTAGTAGGCAGGAGAACAGGAGCGCGAGCACCTCATCGGTTTCAAAGGTCTTGCGGATGGCAGCCACCGCTGCTTCATTGAGTGTTCGGCGGATATGCTTCAGCTGATCAGCAGAGTATCGCCAGTTCCTGAATTGAGTACTGCCTTCGTAGAGAGAAATCTTTGGTTGATACACCAGAGGGTCATTTGTGGGGATGGGAGGCATGAGGTGCGGGGTGAGATTCACTAGAATGTGTGTCTGGATGGTCGCGGGCCGGCCAGACCGTGAAGACTCGACGCATTACGTCACGTAATGTGCCACCGACGCGTCAATAGGCCAAAATAACGCGCTCAACGACCCTGGCGCGTCAACAAGCCCGCTTTATATAAGTGGCGGGCTCTTGCCAACCGCACTTCACCAACTTTGCTTCCCCCCGCCACTACTCATCGATCATCATCATTACTACCATGGCCGTCAAACGCAAGTCGGACGCTCTTGAACAGTCTGTCCTCCCCTTCGCCAACAACGCGGAAGGTTCTTCGACCAAGCCCTCCGAGTCTGCCACATCCAACAAACAGATTTCTCTCGACCCACCTGCCAAGAAGGCCCGCAAGGTCTCTACCGGCTCTGAGGCGTCGACATCCACCTCGAAGCCTACGTCATGGAAAGACATCGTGCTGCCCGAGGAAAACGAGGTACGCTCATGAGCGTCTATCGTCATCAATGTCTGACATCATTCTCTCTAGGATGGTGGAGTTCCCGTATAGTAAGCATTTGTCAGGTGGCTCTATTGCTTGACAGCTAATCACTCGTCATTGTAGCGACGACTGCAGTGAAGTACGCCGAAAGATCCGTCTTTTGCAGAAAGAGCCCGGGTGGAAGGCAAGTTGTATCCACCTTCTTCATAACGGACGTAGTCTAAAGCATTTTTTCAATCCAGCTCACCCCATGGTTGAGGGACATAGGTGGAATCAATAACAACTCTTACAATCGCTTCAGTACGTACGCACATATTTGCCCTCGTGGTCGTTGTGTTTATCACCGTTCGTTTTGGCAGTGCGCGAGAAGGGCAAAAACGACGGCGCCGGAAATGGAACATACTATGCTGCGTAAGTTTGTTGTTGTCTTCGACGCCATCGTGCTTCAGTGTCCTGATATCTTTCCTAGATACGTGTACTTTGAGAAAATACGAATCCTAGAGGGCAAGAAAAAGACCAAAACCCGCGAGAACAACGAGGCCATGTATCCCAATGGGTTTCCCCTCCAGAATGCCTCTCGTTATGTTTGGGGACCAAGGAGGTAGAGTAAGGCTCGAAAGTCGAAGCGGGATATGAATCTTTTAATTACTTTCCTGATTTTTCGTCCATTGTATAATCCATTCTACAATTCTGGCAACATTTGCCTCTAGTTGCTCCAATGATTCGCTCTGCAGTTCGACGACTATTTCTGCCGGATACGAGGACCGCGCTTCCTCGAGAACAACCTGCATGATTTCGGCCTCGTTATTTTCCTGAATCTTCTTCAAGGAATAACCCCTACATAAAGAGGTAGGTGAGTTCTTCCTTGCTTCTACAGAGGCCGCACCTGGCTTCAAGCCGATTCCACAATTTTGAGTGGTCACAAGTTAAGACCACAACTAAATCCGCCCAGCGTTCGGGAAAGGCTTCACAAGTGTGCCAATCTAGGATTACCCCGCCCGGTGCCACAACGGCTTCGAGATCATCGAGCAGCTACGGGGAATGTTATCGGCGCGACCTCGCGAGCGATTGCGGAGGGACGCACTCGATCTTCATCTACGGTGTATGTGTGCCATTCCTCGTCGTATGCCTCGTAGAAACCGCGCTCCTTGACGTATTCGCTGACGTTGATGTGCTTGAGGGGGACGGGGGACTCGTCGGCGAGGAGCTCAGCGTGGGTGGACTTGCCGGTGCCAGGCGTGCCCGTTATAACGATCACTGGGCCTTTGGGCATGGTTGAAGAGGGAGTTACGTAAAGGAAGGAGCCGCGACGATTCCACGGTGAGCGGCAACGAGACTCCATGCCAATCCCATCCAAAGGCAAACGCCGAATGGCAACCACGGACAGGGCCCGTCCCCACATGATCCCTGCCCTACTTAATTACATCTCTGCACTCACCACCGCTCCCTCCCGCCCAGGATGCTGCCCGCTGCCACCCCACCCGCTCCTTTCTCTTGATTTCTCTCTTTTCGTTCTTTTCCAAGCGTTGACGCCGCTGCACAATGTTTTCCCCTTCTCCGACGATTGTGTCCCGGCGAGACATATCTTCACCCACCCACACTTTCTTTCCCGTTCTTCTGCCCCGCACAACCGAAGCCCCGGCCGCATCAACCAGCTGCCCTCCAAACACGCTCGTTGTACAACTTGCCACGACCTTGGTCATACCCGATTACACTCTTTACTATTCCCCAACCCCAATCGAATCCTTCCGCCCGACCTACGCCGCCCTCAATGACGGCTCGCTTCTCGCCCCGCCATTTTACGAGGATCTCACAAATGCCAATCTCGGCCTGCTTATGACCGGTGCACTTGCCGTCGTTTTTCTGAGGAACATCATTGTCTCAGGCGATTACCTACGTCGAGGAAAAGTCAAGAAGAAAAACCTCTTCTACATTTTATTCCTCAGCCAGTTGCTCGCTCCGGTCGCGTTCGTGCCCATCATCTTGTCGTATTTCACTCAGCGAATAAGCTGCATGGTGTGCGTAACTCCTACTTCTTCCCGGCCATCTAATCTTACCAATCACTCCAACAGTGTCATCGTTTTGGCATGTCTGACGGGAACAGTTTCGCTCGGCCTGTTGGTGGGTTCCGCATCATCCATCGTCCTATGTCGAGTTATCTACATTCATCTGTCAGATAACGGTCATCCTGGGTGTCAAGGTTTACAAGTGTCTAAACCATCCACGATTTGTCCCAATCGTATTGGGTCTCTTTCAAGCGGCATCTTCGACGGTGGTCGTATTCGACGTAGTTGAAACAAAGGCCGTTCGGAGATTGACAGGTTATTTTCCTTTCCATTACTTTCTGGCCCTCTCTAACAATATCGTTCAGGTAGTTGTATTCGCACCGACGATTTGCGATTCACCCGCATTTATGTTGCTATCCAATTTCTTGAATCCCTCTTCATATGTTGCTGCTGTACGTTCAGCGGCGTACTCCATCTAACCCGATCCTTATTGAATTTACTTCCCTAGTCGTCTATGTTTCTTGGAGATCTCGGGGTTCCCCAGTCGCTCGAGGTCGAATCTCCATCCAGCTTTCTATGGACGACCTTCCTATTGCATTCCCGGAAGACTCTGTTGACAAGCGGCAACCAACACGAAGAGGCTGGTGGGACTACGTGCCAGACAGCCACCCCCGCGAGGATAACGCAACAGAGGCGGATTCAAGACCCAGCGTGGCCCGACGATTTTTATCGAAGTTCGAGACTGATCGTCCTCGATCGAAAGACAACAGGTCGAAACTGCGTCGCGCTAACTTTTCCGAAAAGTCTGAGCAAAACGCAGAAGATCCGTCCTCCCGGTTTTCTATAGCGTCGGCGTCAGCAAATAGATTCAGTCGGATGTTTCCTCGAATGGAACTCTTCCAGAAAGTCATGAAGGATGAGGTAAATTTCCCCAAATGCACCTATACGTAAATCAGCTAACGACAATTGTTCAGCTGCTATACACTACGTTCATCACATCAAGCTGCGTGATTGCAGCAGTACTCTCCGTGATTGGGGTCAACTTCAAAAACGGTCTGAGTGTATCGGGCTGGATCACATTGAATTGTAAGTAAGAGTCGTTGATTGCTGGGAACCTCATGAACCCGATTTTTTATAGGGGCTATTATCTCCTTACTCACCATCCACAGCTTCGGACGAGTTGTTCACAGGCATGAGCGCGATGCGCTCCTCCAACATCCGGCTACCTGTACCGCCATCATGCGAGCAGCAAACGACATCGCCAAACGAGACGAGCGACAAACAGAGAAGGTCTTTTTGCCAGCGTTCCCTACGCCGAAGACTTTACGAATTGCTACTAGCCGCAGTACGGTCGATGATCCAGATGATCCATTCGCAGATACACAACCTTTGGACCAGAAGAACCCCTTCGTCTCAGCCCCCGACGAACAGGGACCCGCTCCAGTGGCATCCACTTCACGTCTGCCAGCGTCTCCGCCGAACTACGGCCCACGTCTTCGTGAACTATATCGTTCACCTAGCAACTTGCCTTCCCAAGACCAAGACTTCCCAACGTCGAACTTGGGGACTCCAGTTGTGCCCTTGGATGGTTTAAACACCGCACAGCAACGAGGGTTTTCCCGAAGTTGGCTATTTTCAACACATTCAGGACTGAGTTATGTTTCAAGTCCTCGGAGCAGCTATCAGGGAGGTGGGGTGACATAGCATCGGTGAAACCGGCTAGCGAGCTGGCCTTTTCTTTTTTATCTATTTGTACGGATAGGATAGGACGGACACATGGTTCTCGAATTGTAGCACTGTACCACACATATATCCATGTTCGCCTTCGATTTCCTTTCGATTTTCATAAATTCTGAATTTTATCTCCGAAGTTGGTGTCCTGTTTGGCGCTTTGGAGTCCCGGCCCGGGACTATTTACCAACTTTGCCTCCAGCTTCCACCATGGATGGGGAACGCGACGAAATTGTATCCATTCTTCCCATTCATTATTCCGACGCTCTAGGTTCCAACATACAGATTCATCAGTTCCCCCTTCTTACAAGACCACTTCAGGCCCCGCCGTCCGCCGTCTTGAGTGGCAAACGAATTACTGCTCGCCTGAAATCCCAAGCGCGTAGATTCGAGATGCATGTCCCAGTCGATACACGCCCGGAGGTCTGCAATGTAGAACGATCGAAGGAGTTGGGAAGCGCTCGCTTGGAGGATGACCGCGACAAAAACCAGGAGTTGAAGGAAAAATCGAGGGACGATGAAGATCCCCGGTTATCTGAAGTGCGCTTGAGAAGCGAAGAAGCTCCCCAGAAGGGTACGTACGTTGTGGGTATCGTTAGAGACAGTAGGCTCTTTCATCGTCTTCTCTGTCTCTTAGCCTTGACTCCTTCCTCCCACAGGCAAGCTCCATCTTCACCCAATTGGGGAAACGCACCAATTTCGGCCAACTCTGACGTACCTAGATCTTCTGTCTCGCAAGAATAAGCGTTCTCGAGGAGGAGACTCGGAATCAGATTCGGACGATGGGCCTCCAGCTGACCCTGATGAAGCTGTGCCGGCCCCAGTGCCAAAAAGAGAGAAAAAATCTGCCGGAGATGCGAAGGAGGTGCACGTAACTGCCCGGAAATCGGATGACCAGGGAGGCCTCGGTCAAGGCGGGCTATCTACTGTTCGGAGGGAGATGCTACACATCATCCGTGCAGAGGAAGACGAAAAGTGGGAAAGCTTGAACTTTTGTGATGCGTCGGTTCGTCTATCGCTTTGGCCTTCTCGGTTTACTCTGACCTCCATTGACTAGATGAGCGAGTCTTCGACTGCGTTTGAGGGTCTTTTCTCGCAGAGTGATGAATCTCTAGAATGTAGCACCAACATTACGACTTTTCTCAAGTCTATACCTGGTCTATAATCGACGACGATCGTCCAATAATCAGTGGGACATTCCAGGTTGATTTATATGGTAAATCCGTGGAGCAAAACGCAAAAGCTTCTTGACAGCGAGCGCTTCTTGACGTGTGACGCTCTTTGGCCCCTGCCCCGTTGACCGCTCGATGCTCTTATGAACTGACCCACCTCGGAATCTCATCAGCATGGACCCAACCAGCGACACCGAGTCCGAAACCTCAGAGAGCAATGTTCTCCTGGGAACAGGCTCAGAAGAAAAGGCGCCCAGTTTACCCGCAAAGACCCCTCTCCTCCAGTCATTGAATCCGGCCGCGAAAGGTCAAACCACGGAGTATGTTAATTTGGCAGTCAAGAGTCTATCATCTCAAGACCTGGCTGGTCTCCTAGATGTAAGTCTTGCACTCTCCACTTGAATGTCCTGTTGCCCATTTCGCTTCAGAATGTAGACGGTCTGAATGACCTCCAAGAGCCCGCCGACATCCTGATAGACTTTGTCCGATGTCTTCCGAATTTGCTCTCAGAGAGCACAGATACTCTTGATGCCTTAGCGACCTTCTCTTCCATTGGTGTGTCCAGGCTGTTGGATATTCAGTGAGACCGACCCCGCTCACCCACGTGCAGCCAATCTGTCTTTTATACAACGCCTATTCCATTATAGGTCAATTTTTCGTTTGCTTGCGTATCAAGAGAAACCCGACAGCCAACAAAGTATTGTTGTCACCTGGGTGGATGTCTTCCTCGGATACTTGAGCTTATCGGCTCCGGTCATCGCTTCCAGCTCTCGGCTCTCTACGGATTCAAGTCAGCATGCAACCCAAACGATTGAAATAAGGAGGGAAGAGGACGCTATCCGAGCTATGGCCCAATTGCCAGGTGAAGGCTTGCCCATTTCTATGCTATTGGATAATCTATTCAACGAGATCTCAGACAGCTGGAACGATATTGGGCCGATCCTTGGTTCTATGGTCTTTTCTCGGGCTGCTCGACGCGTTGCAACTTCTTTGATGTTCATTGTATATGTTTTAACTCCGCAATTGGCGGACGACGGGAAATGGCCAGGCTCAAGGTTCCCTTTCAGAAAGACTACAATACGGGGTCCCTATTGATGTGCATTCGTCTAGCTCTTCGTCTCGTGAGCTCTGGCCCGCCATTTATTCGTCCACAACCGATGCATCGGCACAGTTGTATTCGCCGTCACCTTTCGGCAACGATGAGTATGAAAGAATCGGTCTCGCCATGCTTTTGTCGTTATTTTCTGTTCGTCGAGTCCACTCAGTACGGTCGTCATTGCTTATTCATTCTTCTGCAGGCCACCGCGGCCGAAATAGGCCTACATGGAAATGAGACAACCTCGGAACTTCTGTCTCTTCGTCCAGCGAGATCTGCGGCCCTTCTTGGGCTCGTGAGATTTGTCATGAATCAATATGACGATGTATTCTTACCTCTGGAACGACTCGACGCTGCTCAATCAATTTTAGTGAGGTGGGGTTGCTTTATCCCTTGGAGTTGGTCGATTTGGAATGATCACCGCATCGCGAACGTCGAGACATTGGTATCATTGGTAAGAACATCTTCGAATCATCCGGCTATATGACCAATTAAACCATATAGAACGCGACATGGTTTTACCATCTGGATGCACCTGTTGGCGAATGGAGAGACTTGAACAGTGTCTTCATGTCCGACCTGCGGCCATTCTTGAAATCGGACTCTATTGGATGCGCAGCAGTTATCACGGTATATCTCCTCATCTGACGGGACGAGTCCAAAACCTGAACTGGACATCCATCAGCGCTTACTGCAAGAAATACTAGCGGCCATCGATTTAAATAATGCACCTCAATCCATCCTCCTTTGCATTCTGGCAAAGATTTGTTTGGTGGTTATCCAGTACTTGGAAGCCAACCTAGTTCGACATTGTCCCGATGTTGACAAAAAAATTGTGGAGTTCTCCCGATGTCTGCTCCTGATTTTCACTTCTCTCGGGTCCTCTGCTGATTGTTATATCGGTAGGCCACTTACAATAGCAAATCTTCCATCGTATTCTTAAAATGTTTCCAGCGAAGTCTTTAATAATTGAAGCTTTGTCCTTGGTCCAGAAAGGGATATTCACTGTCGCTGTCGGCAATGTCACGGGAGACAACAAAAACCTCTTCTCATTCAAACTAGAAAAGGGTGCGTGCTCTTTCTGGTCTTGGACTGTTCTAGTGCTGACCATGATATCAGCTATGAAGCTAGGTGCCGTGTACTGCTTGACCCTGACATTACCGAGGCCGTCTATTTACTCTGCCCTTTCAGAGAAGTCTCCGAACCTGGCGTCTCGGACGTCGACATGAACAATGTCAAGTCACTCCTTGAAGTTTCGACAATTCTCTTGATGCACTTCAAGTCTGATAATTCGGTCTTAGGGTGTATCCTGTCATCCTTTGTCAATTCGGTTGCTTCCATCCTGGTCTCTCGAGGACCGGAGTCGCGCTTAGTGAAACATCTTCTCGAACCTTTTTTAATTACCCTGTACGCGTTTCGACGTCGTTTGGACACTCTCCCTGAAGCAAAATTCGAAAGAACATGTCTCGAAATTTGGGCCCTTATTCATGGTCCGGGTTATGGCATGATGCAAGCAGGTACGCGCGACTGATTTCTTGTCATCGTAGACCTCACTATACACGGCGATAGGAGGATTCGCCCAGTATCTGACAGTCTGCGATGGGTTTGATGACCCGCTCCTGTGTCAGGAAGCATGGCACTATCTCTTGGATTCGCTTAGCTCCGCCATCGACGCGCAGTTTTTAGACGACGAAGAGCCACTGGTCCTCATCACCTGTACTGCCATCTGCAATGGGCTCAGGAAGCTCCTGCGGTCACCTTCCGGTACGTCCCCGGCCCCACAGCATGATGCTTTCAGCTAATCGAATTAGCATTCCACCTTTTGCGCTCTCCGTGGACTTCGAGCATGAAGGTGTCATTGATGGATGTCGTTGGCAGGAAATCTCGTTCGCACGTGAAAGCGATTTCTGAGAGATTGAGTGGGGCTGGCAGGGTTTTACTTCGAGAAGTAGGTGGAAACTTTGCGTGAAGTATCTAGAAATACTTAAGGAGGTGAGCAGATGGCAGACTTAGACTTGGTTGAAGGTCCCGGTGCTGCAGGGAAGGTATGCTCCACACTCCATTTAACTGATCTCGAGCTATCTGAATCACCAATGTGAAATGGAAGGCGTATAAGGATGCGGTAAGACTGGTCTACTACCGAGACAGATGCTTCTGCGGCGTAGTTCTCGTTTGCGATGTCGAAATTCGAGACGCTTAGTGCAGGGCATCGATCTTACCTAGATTAGCTAAACGATGCACTAATTTGGACGCGCTCATCACGTGTACTATGTGCCCTTTCAATTGTCCTGTTTCTTCTGCGGCGTTACACCCCTGACCATGCCCTCGTCGCACCCAAGATCACTCTCCTCCGTCTCTCTGCCACACCAGACACGGAAATATAATCCAACTTTCCCCAAAAGAAGACACTCTCAAGGTCCTACAGACTCATGCAATACACGCGGGCGTACGGACAGCGCCAGGCGTCGAAAAAGAGGCCGCTATGATGTAATTGTGAGGACTATTGTTCCCATTTGCCCGAAGTTGCTCAACGTTTTGCGTAGTCCTCAGGTACTATTGCCCCAGAGAAACGCTCACTGAAATGCTCTTGGAGTTGCCACATGGACGATGACTGCGAATGCTGCAGTGGACGACCCACTTTCGCATCGACGCCTGCACAATTCAACCTCTGCCCAAGTACTGCCAGTGGAAAAGACTCGGCAGAAAGCACGGATGTTCATAATCTCGAGCTGTCACAAAATCGTCAGCGCGGGCATCTAAGCGATTTAGTGCGACTCCATTCCACCGCTTTTTGGGACCTTCGTCAAACCATTGCAGAAAACGGAGAAGGGCTTGTGCGCCGTATGCGCGAATATGAACGGTCGCGATCTAGGAACCAAGCTCATCTGAAAGCAAGAGAGGCGAAAAAGAGAGACCGGAAACGATCAGCGTTTCATTCGAAGAAAACACTGTATTCGTCTAGTGCATCAGAAGATTCGGAAGACGACGTCTTAATTTCTTCAGGCGATTCGGCGGGTCATATCCCGAAAGAATCCTTTTTTTCACGCAGAACTCGCGCATTGGCCGCCATGGACGTGGACACTCCCGATGTCGAAAGGCAGAGCGCCGGTTCATCACCAGATACCCAATATTCGCCAAACTCTTCAGCTCTCCAACCATATGCAGAACAAGATTCACTAATGACCATAACCACTACGGATTCTACGTCTTCCTTCCCCATTTCTACACGCGGGTCGCTCAATTCACCAAGCGCCTTGCTGTCCCCGGTGACCACGCTGACAAGAGCTTCCACCCGCCCAGCGCCAGCCTCGGACAGAGCACTTGCTGCTTTGAGCCTTGCTTTAGCCAATGGGGCTGGTAGCATCGCGGACTATTCTGCTGTACAGCGGTATCAAGAGGGGCTTCAAGCGGACAGCTACGATATTGGTGATTTGTGGCGTTAGAAAACAAGGCATACCCCATTCCTTTTGCACTTCATCTTGTTAGTCCTCATAATTTTCCTCATTTATGTCAACCTGCAATCGGCAAACTTTTGCATGTTACCTTCTTCGAGCTATCCTGTATATCTAGTGACCATTTCTTCTCATATTTAGATCCTTGGGGCTACATTATTGTATCTGTATGAAACGCTTGTAACTAATATCGTGATAAGAGTTGATAGAAGATAGAGAATACAAGAAACATGGCATAGCGTCACAAAGTGTCCGTGTCCACCGAGTGCAGGCAGAGCAATAAGGCAGTGTATGTTTGCAGGCCCAGAAATATAGTAGGTCGCAGCAGGTCCAAGGGGAAACAAATATACTCGTGCCAATGCAAAACCCTAAAGAGCGGAACCCAGAACTTTCATGGCCAAAGCCCGTAGAATCTGAGAGGAGGAATGTGAATATACTCGTTGTCCATCAATGGTCCATAGAACAGTATTTAACGCACCTCAGCCTTCTGCTGTCCACCAAGGTCATTGAAAACGGCAGCGACAGATTTACCCTTCGCGTCCCTGACGGCCCCTAGTCGATTACCCGCAACTGCTCCCAACATAAGTCCAGGAAGGTTGGCGACGATGAAGCCTATCCCTGCGCCCGATATTGCACCCAAATAACTCCACCAAGGGACACGTCGTTCCACTTCTGGTCGCAATAGCTACAAGTGGGGTTGGCCAAGGGAATTTCCCTGAGTCTGAGGCCACGTACTTCATCGAAAACATCAGCAAAGACACCATTTGCGTCTGGTTGGGCGGCACCGGTTTGAGCAGAGCTCGAGCCTCCAAAAGAATGAGCAAATTGGGAGAAAAAGCTTGACGAGGTTTCGGGATTCGCGGACCTATCCGCACGAGACTTGTATAGGTTATCGTATTCCTGTCGACGTTTGGGGTCCGAAAGGACGTAGTACGCGTCTGCTACAGCCTAGATCCAAGTTAAAATCAGACTCCAGACAAGCTAAAGAGCAACTCCAAAGACCTGGAAGCGCTCGGTTGTCTCCCGTTTTTCAGCTGGAGTTGCACTAGCAAGTCTATCCGGGTGTGTCCTAGCGGCATGTAAATCCAAGGCAAGAGACAAGAGGAAGTAAAAAATCCACGCCTTAACGACTCCTTCTTGTAGGCTTGACGAATCTCTTCCTGGGTTGCAGACTTGGGAACATTGAGGAGCTTGTAATAATCAGGGAATTGGGACATGGTGGGAGACAAGAGGCAGGTGCTGTGACGTCACGTATGTACGTTGCCTACATATGGAAATACAAAAACAGTAATAGCTACAGAGTTGGTGGTAACTAAGATCATCCATTCACAAAAAATGTCCAAAACGACGCAAACTAAGAGCGATTTCTATCCTGATCCAAGAGCAAGGGTGGCGGTCGTGGTCGCTCATATGCTCCAGGAGGAGCATCATTCGGTATTCGAGTTGGCCCACTGATGAGTGGCCGACGAGCACCTTGGAGAGTTCCTCCCCGCGTTCTCCTTTGTGCGAGAGGCACCATATTCCCCGGCAAGGTTGGAGGTGCATTTGGATTCCGCGTTCCGAGCAACAATGGTCGAAGAGCCAACGCGGTATCTGGGGTTACTGGTGACACTGCTCCAGGACCATAAGTAGAGGCAGACAACGCCTGTGGGGCGTTCTGTTCTGTTGACGACGCCGACATGATTGTGGATGCGAGAATCATAGGTCGCAAGACGATGGCGTTCCCAACGACGGCGGTTCTGATCGTTGGTGTCTCGTCTGTATCAGAGCCCAGGTCATCCGGGGACAGGTTGTTGCGAGACCCACTCGAGGGCCCAGTCAAATCTGGATAACATGATCAGTCGCGAGAGGACAAAGTAGAGGCAAACTTGCTCACCTCCAATGAACGAAGTGACATCATACTGTGTACCTGCAGAGGTAAATGCATCCGTAAGACCGGATTGCGATACAGGTCCTGAACCCATGGTTGCTGCTGTTTCAGGAGGTATGATCAAAGGCTCAATATTTCTAGGTCCTGGCCGCTGGGGAGGTGAGGTCTCGAGGTCGTTGGACTTGGAATCCGTCCTTAAGTGCTCCTGGGAGTACTTTGTGGCGACGGCGTTTCGAGGAACCACTGGAGGATCTGGGAAGATAGATAGCGAGAAATCGCTGCGGTTGGATATTGACTCGGTCTTGTTCGTGACGACTGAATCGGCAACTACACTTCGTGACTGATTGGCTGAGCTGTCAGCAGCACCTTGGTCAGAGTTTGAAGCGGATTCGCTAGGAACAGCAACCGGCGCCTCCGCATGATTGGAGAACAGTCGAAGGGCAGCAATACTTCTGTCGAGCTCATTTTGCTGACGGAAGAGCTCGTCTATCGAGGTGATACTCCCTTGCTGGCTTGCTGGCTGGACGGAGGGCGACTTGGGCACGAGCGTCGGTATCGCTACCCGACTTTCGACGACAGGAGATGGAGACCGCATGATCGACCTGTTCTCGGACTTGGGTGAACTTTGCCCGGCACCGTAATACGACAGCGACATTCCAGCATAAGCAGCGTCATCGGAGGTTACCTGATCACGTTCCTGTCTCCTGGGACCAGATGGGGCGCTAGGAGCCGCGAGCCGCGAACGTGAGTTGTTCCCGGGTAGGTCCGTATAACGAGGGGCATCCATTGTCGCTCTTGTTGCGAATGTTGCGACGTCTTCTTCGCGTTCCTTGTTAGAGTCTGGCGAGATTATCTGAATAGGAATGGATTCTTGAGGCGAGGCAATCCATGATACTGGGTTAGGCGCCAGCGGATCCCGTGCAATCCTCCCGTAGGTATTCGCTACATTCGAGGGATCTCTAGAATAAGGAGCGTAGCCTCCGTTTGAGTAGCTTGTGGGCAGAGCGCTGTCGAGAGGCGACTTTTCAGACTTCGAGATGTCGACGACCGCAGTGTCTTGAGGCCTGGGGATCGAAGGAGACACCCGCGACACGTTCTGGAAGGTAGAATAAAGGCTGTAAAGGATAAGGATATAGACTTCAACAGCGCGGAGAAATCGGCCCAAGGAGGTTTCGGTGAATGGAACTGCGGTATTGAGTTAATAACACTTTCCGACGGCAATAGCGGCGATTCGAACTTACAAAGTACCAGGTTACCAACACCAAGAGTAGTGCCGATGACAAGGGCCAAGATTGGCACAGCGTATGGCCGAAAAGCGAGCCACCAGGAGTCGAGAGGGGATATGTATACGTTGAGGATGAATTTTAGAATGAAGATGATAGTGACGGTGGTTTGTACGGTCGATTCGGCAACGTATATGGATCCATATTTGCGTTCATTGGGCATCAATCTCCAGAGCATTTGCAAGAGTGGGACCGCGAGCAATGCGCCTAAGGAACCATACTTAAGGAGAGTCCCAACGGGACCCCAACGGTTCCAGCTGGCGCTATGAATCTTGGGTCGCTTCCGGCTTGTGGATAGCTCATTGACATTGGGGGCACATTCGTCCTTCGGGCAACGTGCAACCAACTTCCAGAAGAAGAGGTTGAGAAATCCAATCGACAGGGAAAGAAAGACTTCGCGCGCGTATATGAACCCGGTAACTGTGTCGAGTCCAACTCCTCTCGCGGCATTTTCGGTCCCTCTGGCGAGCACTTGACTCAAATCTAAAATCGCTGCAGCGAAGGCCAAAAAAGACGATCCATATAGGAAGACAGACAGGCTATGGTTGCTTTTGTGAGACGTTCACGAAAAATAGTAGAACAACGACGCACAGTTTGACCTGTTTCACGATGAACAGAAAGGTGAACACTCCAATGCCCATTATACCTTCACAAAATAATGGGATGTCCGTTAAAATGGCTTCGATCTGTCACCAAATCCAGTTCAACATCTCTCTTCCACTGCAGGAAGCCTGCACTCACAGCGCCGTCGCCACTTAACGCGAGCGTGGGCGGCAGAAGAGAGGTGATCGTCGACATCTTGTGGAGTGAAAATAGGGTACGGAGGATTGCCAGCAAAATAAATACGATGAAGTTTCGAAAGTCGCCAGGACAGAATTCGAGGGCCTGCAAGAACGAATGTATAAATAACAAAAGAGAGACGGGTTACGTTGAACAGCGCTCCAGGGCCTCGGGAAAGGAGGCTGGATTGGCAGCTGCCAACCGAGTCGGACGGCGGGGATGATGGAGGGGGAAAGAGAGTGGTTGAACAGGAGCCGTGGTTGCTTACATTGAACTATCTCATCAATGCATATGGTAACCGCGCCGGACCCAATACTGCAATTCCAATCCACCGAGATAGCCGGCATTATGCAACTGATTTTACAACCCGCCACTACTAGAACCAGTCATCTGCCTAACGAGAAACATACCGCGTCCTTCGTCGATACTCTTCGCGCTTCGCAGCCCAATCACGCTCTTGGGCCTTGACCGCGTCCCCCCACTTCCCATCATCCCTAGCTGTTTAGTCGGACTGATGCTCCGAGTAGGGCTCAATCCTCCGCCCGTGAGTTGTCTTAAGATCGCTTCGCCCCCTCTCACTCCCGTAAATTGTCGAGCAAGTGTTGTTGTGCCCGTTACCTGAGACGCCAGTTTATTCGAACTTCCAGTAAAGGAAGGGACAAGGGGCGAACGAGCGGGCGACCCTTGGCGCGACCCTCCCACGCCAAGTAGGAGCTGGGTTTTTCCTTCGTCAGTTCGTGGAATCTGGATACCAAACGGCTAGGAAACGACTGCTCACAAGACACTCTCGACACCAAACACCGCCCTCCCCGTCGCTCTTTGCGGCACTGTCGAGCTTCTTGCCACAACCAGGTTCTCCCTTCTTTCTTTCCTCTCGCGGTCGTCCTAATAGCATCACCGTGGTCACCTCCTTTCTGCCGCCGCAGACAAGGCAGGACGAGTGCCACCGCGAACCCTGAGGACCGGGAACGACTCCACGTTCCATCGGGGAAACAGGTTTCTGGCAACCAGGACAGGTGGCTTGGCCACCAAAACGTAGGTGGCTGGGTTTCGTAGGAGAATGAGGCGGCGCTAGCGGCCGTTCAAATCTACTTGATGGAGGCGGCATTGGCGCATTGGACCTTATCGTTGATAGCGGGCGTGGTTCCAGCGATTCAGAAGGCGGGGGTGACATTGGCAAGGACTTGACTTGCGGAGGCATGCGTACAACGAAACGTTCGGTAGGCGTACACTATTCAAATCGAATATAAGCTTTTTGCCTTCAATCTTATCACGCACCTTACCTGAGGATGGCATGGGCCATTCGGACCTTGGACAAAAGACACCTGACCTTTCTTTGCGTCGTTAAAACCCTTATCACAGACGCTGCATTTGAAGCAGTCACTGTGATACAGTTGCGGCACTGTGTTTTCGTCGGCTCCTGGGATGGTCACAAATTGACCACCCTGGCGAGGATTGAGAATAGGTTTGCTGCATCGCCCGCAAGTAGAAGAGGCTGAAACGGTAACCGGAGACGAAGTCACTGCTGGCGCTGGTACTTGCTGAACAGTGGTCTTGGGCGATTTCGCGGCCGTCGGCGTTGTGTTAGCTAGCCGACGAGAAACTACGTCGTGTGTATCTTCCAAGCTGGTGTTCCTTTCAGAATGGCTTGACGAGGGAGAGGAAGTTGGTGACACTACAGACTGTGGTGGCTTTGGCGGAGTAGAAAACAGGGGATTGCGGCTTGGACTATCGCCCCCTAGAGACAACCCGGACATACTTCTGGAGAGTCGTGGGCGAGTGGATGATGCATTGGGAGAATGAAAACGTCGAGGCTTAGGAGACCCGTCGTAGAGGGGAGATTCATTACCTGACGTCGACTTCAGAGGAGAAATAATCATACTGTTTCTTGAAGACGTTGCACGGTCCATGTTGATAGCGGGGCTGCCTTCCCGAGACTTCACGATTCCCAGTCGTTGTTCGAGCTCTTCGATAGCTGGGCTGCTTTCTCGACTCTTCTTTCCACCAGGCCCATAACTTGCATTGAGTCCGCCAGGATTGCTGATGCTAGGGCTGTTGTTATTACTGGTGGCACCTTTCTTGGGGGTGGTGGGTTCACGTTTGAGGCAATTATCAAAACATTCCACACAAGTAGGGCGGCCAAGAAGGTCAACCATGGGAGCGTCTCCAATGTTCTTGAAACACCCAGTGCAGCTAAAACAACGCTTATGCCAATACTTACCACCCGTTTGAATGAATCCACCCTCAGCCTTCAGGGCAAGGACGGGTCTTGAGCATGAAGGACAGACGCCCTTTGTGCCACCATTTGTTGTAAAACAGGATTTGCAGAGGAACGTTTTGGCGCCCGAAGGCGAGTCAGAAAGATTTGGGTATATGGTAGCATCTGGAGGAAAAACGGAAGCGCAAATAGCGCAAGAGTGAAGGGGTAGGGTGTCCGCAGGTTGCAGTATTGAGCCGTAGACTTTGGAAAGCATAGGTTCATGGCGAGAAAACGATGGAATAATATCAGCAGCCGCATCTGCTACTGTTGCGGAGTACTTGAGGGGGGATGGTGGACGGGGTGACGGGGAAGTCGCCAGAGTAATGTGGTCAGACACCCCCGACTTCAGAGAAAAAGAAGGAGCGAAGGTTGTTGATTTAGGCCTTGGAAATCGCTTCGTAGATGGAGAGCGCAATGTATTCGTGGGGACTTGGGTTGTCGCATCGGGTACAGAGTTCATGACCTGCTGGGGCACGCGCACAGGGGAAGGTGATCGCTGGGGGGCCACATAGGTCTTGGACCATCTATCGTGACTGCCGGATGAGTTGCCTTCACGGTTGAAAGAGACCGCAGGAGCTACGCAAGATTTGCGTCAAGACTCATTCCAATTGAAAGAGTAGTTCACGGACCTACAGCAGTACCTCCGCAACGGCAACGAGTGCCTGCCACAATATCTCCACATCTTCGACAAAATCCCATTATGGCGAAGTAGATGCAAGATAACAGACGACGAGTGGGCGGTGGCCTGAGGTTTCTGAGCGTGCGTTAGTGGGCTTGAAGCGTTGAAAGGTTGAAACGGAGGTACCAGCCCAGCATGAACTACTTAAAGCATCCAGTTCAACCTGTCAGGTGACCGTGCCGTCATTAACTTAGCACGGCTGGCAGAGGCCGACCTTTCACTCAGGACTTCAGCGTCAGACCTAGCTTTAGGCATTGCCTCGCGTACACTGCTAACCTCTTCTCAACTCCGTGCGATTACCACATGGTCCTGTCTCCGACAACGTTGGAATGAAGGAGCCTCCGTTCACTCCAGAAAGAAGGAAGTCGTCGCCTCATGCTGAATCATTCGTGCAATCCCCCTATTTCTCTCCTCGAAAGGGTCGGATTCCAGAATTCGGAGATTGCGACAGACAATCTGCGCGTGATGATTCACCGAGGACGTCTTTGCCGCTGACGCACGACTTGGAAAACCCCTCGACTTTCTCCTGCCACTCTCAGAAAGCCGATCCTCTCGAAGCAAATGGCATGGATAGCCTAATGAATCGCTTATTTTTGGCGAAACCCACACTAATTCAAGGTGAGTGTTGCTTCCCTGTATTCAAGCTGCAATGGTTGACATCAATGGCATGAAAGAGCAGATCGCTGATGACCCATGGAAACTCCTGGTTGCAGTTACCCTCCTCAATAAGACTGCCGGCAAACTTGCGATTCCGGTGTTTTGGAATATCATAGATAGGTGGTCCACTCCGCTTGAACTTTCTCGAGGTCAGAGCTCCCGACAAGGCTACTTAACTTTGGTCTAATGTGGCGTACATATGAAGCAGACGAAGAAGAGCTGATATCAATCCTTCGACAGCTCGGGACCCAGACTGTTCGTGCTAAACGGTTGATCTCCCTCTCTAGATTATATCTTCAAGACCCACCGTCCTCGTATGACCCTCGTCCATCTCGAGCCTCTTCTCCGTCAAAACGGGAGTCTAGGTTTTTCCAGCTGCCCAAAGTCCGCTACACTGCAACACCTATATCGCATCTTCCAGGTGCCGGATCCTACGCTCTTGATTCTTATCGTATCTTTTGTACTTCACATGAGAATCCTCTCTCGGAAGAATGGAAATCGGTCCTGCCTACTGACAAGGAACTGGTACGCTATCTGGTACGTTTCCCCTTTCCCCTTTTCATTTGAATTCTTGCTTCATACCTTAACCCTTAGAAGTGGAAGTGGGCATATGCTAGAAAGAGGCAGTGGTCTCCCAATAAAGGTGTCCTAGGTTGCATCACCCTTGAGTACATCGCTTCACTGATCAAGGAGCTTGAGAACAAGTAGTGGGTTTGTAGAGTGTATCCAATGTTCACAAATTGTAGATGTTTACGACTTCGGTATTAGCACGAGGATGTAGTATGTAGCAAGATGGGTAGATATAAAGAACAGATGCATGAGAGGTCGTTCACAACGTGTCAATCATCACACGAACGTCCCTTTGTGTCATAGCTTGGACAGCACTGGCTGCCAATCCGCTCGTTGGATCTGACCAAATTTATTTCCAGCGTTATTCCTGATGCGATTGCACTGACATACCATCTCGGGCCGTAGATCCTTGACTGTGGAAGCACCAAGCAGTCGCATGGCAGTCACGATTTCACGCTGGAGAATCTCGATTACTTTCGCGACTCCGGCAGCGCCGTAGGCCTGGATATTTTCTCCTCAGGTTCGGGTCTTTGGCCGGTGAGAAATCACGTACACTTTGCGCGTACAAGAAAGGCCTCCCCAAGCCAACCGCCTTTGCACCAAGACACACAGCCTTGACGACATCTGTTAAAAGATCAGGCTCTTGCACCGACTGCGAGAAGGGTGAAATGAACTAACCTGTTCCACGACGGATGCCACCTTTTAGAGAACAGTCAGTCGCCTTTGAAGGGATCCTACTTTCTTGGCATACCATCGATGTAGACTACAAACTTGTTAATATCAAAGATAAATGATTTCTGATGCACTTTCACCTTCTAGCCTCTGGAAAACATCGGGCCTCTGCTGCTGAAGAGAATATAAAACTTCCAAGGGAGGTAACGAGCTTGCAGAATACGTCAGACCTAAGTGCTGTAATGAAATGAGGGGTCGATTACTATTCAAGTTGCCGCCCTAGTAACAAACGTTGGCATCGGGTCTGTTAAACAAAAGGGTAATACATACCTCCATGGTTCGATAGTAGAATTCCATCACAGCAGGCTTCAGCGGCGAGAACAGCATCCTTACAGCATTTCAAGGCAAAATTCGAGGAAGAAAGTCGCGAAGCACACCTCTACGCATTGCACTCCTGCGACAAGGACTCAGTCAAGGGTTCAAAGATTCTCTTGCAATTTCAGGTCAATGCTCACCTTTGATGACAATTGGAAGCTTGGTCATACTTCTTAGCCAAGGGATGGTCTACATCGAGCGATTCGCTTCAGTGAGATGCATCTGGAAGGGTCTTAGAACTTAGAAGCGCCCACCTTTTCCCAAGTCATATCACGATCGTCATTGGCAATTAATGCCCCCGCCGTCCCAAATATATTCACCTCTCCCGCCTGTTCGGTGCCCTTCAATACGTCAAAATACACAGGGCCGTTCTCTTGCTCTTCCAATATCCAAGGACTACGAACATCCCTTTCTCGATTTCCCGCTACGATGGCGTCGACTGTCAAGAAAATGGCTTTGTATCCTAGTCTCTCAATGTCCCGCACTCGCTTCTCCGCGACCTCGTCATTTCGATGTTTATACAGCTGGAAGAACAGGGTCTGATACTGATCTGCGGCATCCATGATGGCATTTGGAGATAGAGATGCATTCGAGGACACCATCTGGATAATTCCTCCTTTGGAAGCGCCCTTCGTGATGTTGATTTCTCCTGAAAGAAGTGGGAATCAGAAGGGTTCTGTTTAGCTCGGTGGATATTTTACCATCTGGATGGCCCAATTTCGCAAGTGCGGCGCCGCTAACAAAAACGGGAATTCTCGACTTAAAACCAAGAATTGTAGTAGACGGGTCACATTTGGAAACGGGCCGCATCACCCGGGCCCGAAAGAAAAATCGATTGAACGCTCGAGCGTTCTCGATGTTTGCTATTCAAGTATAGCACCTTCAGCATCTGTCTTTATAGGAATTCAAGTTAACATACTGATCCCGTCATCGGAGGCTGAAGAATAGTATGCCCATGCCTTGTGAGATAAAATTTGTCTGGCCACATTCTGTCGGTATTAATCAGTCAAAGAATTGGAAGAGGCGATTGCAATCGCACAAACCTCCATGTCAGTGAGGTTCAGGATCCTAATCAAAGGAGGCATCCTTTTCCGGGCCTGTTCAACTCTGATCTCATCCTGGGTCTTCTTTGCACTTTCACGCTGCTTTTCCATCGCTTCAACAGCATCTGCTGACAGCGGGCCTAGATGCTTGGACAGTGGAAGATTTTTCTCAAGCGCGTCCGGAGGGTGTATCGGCTCATAGACCGAAGTAGCGTCACGACCAGCATATTTGAGGATGATCTCTGCACCACCAGGGTGGTCCTGAAATACGAACCCTCGTTAGTCAAACGAGTCAGGTGTACCCAAATTGAATACTTACTGGTAGGAAATCGGTGACATCGTAAACCTTGTTCTGGATGATGACCCAACAAGAGCTGGAAAACGTAAGCTCTCAGGGTTGACGGTGCTTGAGAGAGGTTAATCTCCGTACTCTGCCGATTTGTGTTGAGCAACTTGGGCGAGGGTCTTTGTGGACATTTGGGGGATTGATAGCACGGAAAGAGAGGGATAGAGAGCAGAGAACGAGAAGCTTCTCGTCCCACACAAAGATGGCCAGCATTTAGTCTAATGATCATTAATTTAATCACTAATGTCGGGAGGCCGGGATGACCTTTCCGCCGGACCGGCCTGCTACTCAGTCATGTGATCTCGCGTTGCTTGTCTCTGTTATGACTCGAACCGCGCATGGTCGACATGCATCACAATTGGATACCAAGTAACCAACCGACAACCACCACTGTACGCCATGCCGCCGCTTCCGAGCCGGAAATCCCTCGAGGCTATGAAGAGGGTCGACCTCCAGAAAATCTGCAAGGTGCTCGTCGTCGTGACGTCGTCCTACGCCCGTATTTCTCACCCGCAGCCTCGCTAGGATTATGGAGTCAAGGCAAACCTCAAATCTGAAGCACTAATCGATCTCTTACTTGATACCCAGTAGGCTTGTCTCTGTCATTTATTTCCTTTCCGCTAACATACCTCAGATCCACCCCAGCCCCTCCACCTCAGCCTACACGGAGATCGGTTTCAACTCGACTGTCTAGTCGAGCAGGACCGAGCAGAGTTTCATCCATGATCGTGCACGACATCAGTGAAGGGGATGAAGAGGATAGGTCCCTGGAAGATGTTCAGGGGTCAGAAGCGGGGCCGGAAAAACCGCCGTCACCGCCTCCAGAACCTCCTCGCACTCGGAAGAAAGCAAAGGAACTCCAGACCCGGCTAGGTGTTGGGAAGCCAGTGATTGCGGGAGGTAGCGGCCCACGCGCTGTGACACGATCTTCAGGGAGCTCAAGAGGGAAGCGGGCCAAGTCTAGTCGGTCTATGAAACCCAGAGAGGCTACGATTGAGGAAGGTGAGCTCCCGGCTACCATGCCATAACTAATCTCAACTTGAGCCAGAGCCAGAACCACCGACTGCCCCTCTTCAAGGTGCGCCACCGCTGTTACTGCTGCTCAATTGGTTTTAATCGAGAATTTACCCCTCCCCCAGGTTCTTCGATCATGCCGGATTTACAGGAGGCAGAGAGCATGGTCTTTCAGCAACTCCATCCTCTCGTCGAGACGTTACCCCCTGTCGGCAACGTCAATCTGTACGAAGATGCCAGAAAGCTCGTCGACGATGCTGTAAGTGTTCTCATACTTCACAACGGGACTAAACAAAAGGGTAAAAATTCGACGTAGATTCGACCTCTTCAAGAGCAAATTCAGGCTCTTAAATCTGAATTGTCCGAGTCGCATACCATCAAATCAGAGATTGCAGCTCTCAAAAGTCTGTTGGCCGACTTCACGAAGACCCAAACCGATATGCGGACGCAATTACAACAATTAAGCGAATTCCCAAGCATTGTTCTGGCTTTGAAAGATGAAATAAGACAGCTCAGGGAAGCCACTCGCACACCATCTCAACCTTCCACCCCGAAAGCTGGACCATCACGTAAAGGCCTCGTGTAAGTGTTCGTTAACGTCCATTTACCTTTTCACATACAAACATAATGTAGCGGTCTTGGTCCCCCACCAGTCAAGCTTATGGCAGCTGCCTCCCATGAAGCCGGCTCTAGCTCTCAGCCTCGGCCCAATCCTACCTTTCCCCATCCAGGAGTGGCGGAAAGCACTCTAGGCAAACGTCACAGAGATTCAACTTCAAGTGTTATCACGGGCGTCATAGAAGAAGGAGAAGAGGGTGATTACACTGAAGTAGATTTGGCGAAGCAGGCTGTTCGTCCAACCAAGAAACGACCGAAATTATCGACAGACGACAACGGCAAGCAAGGCACTGCACAGCGGAGTATGCCTGAACCGAATGCCCCTGTGGCTTCGTCGTCGAAACAAGCAGTGCCGCCTTTCACTGTGTTCAGAGGGTCGGAAGAACCTTCGGACTACATAGATCCTCCACCGCCGACTGAGCATCTTCCTGACTTCTTCGAACCCGACGCAGTTCCGTCGACCAGTCAGGGATCAAGATTCGTACCAAACGTAGCGACCAGTTCTGCTAATGCAGAGGAGAACCAGCCATTCAACTTCGCGTTTGCACCGATAGCGTCAACACCGAGTGCAATGTATCTCCCAACCTTCCCATATCCGGATCCTCCGCAGTCTCCATCGCCGGCTGGACCGAGCCAACCAATGTTCTCAAGCAGGCATCAAGATGAGCGTACGGATATCTTCAAAACGTTCGGTCTTCCTTCACCTGTACGATCAACCCGTCATTATGGTGCTCTCACACAGGACGAACGCGGGGTCAACCCGGCTGCTTTGACTCAGGGATCGTCGTCGAGCAAACGGGATATCACCAGCAACGACGTTGCTATTGGTCTGGGGTTGACGGCTGTCCGCACCGCCTCCTCGACTGAACCACCATCTCTAGGTACAGACCAACCTACAATCAAACGGACAATGTTTGGAACTGAACTCGAGGCCGATACTCGATTTGGTGACTTTGGCGTGGAAGGAGTTGCCTCCGGATTTTGGTCAACAAAATTTTGATACTTCTTTATCTTGCCAGGACATTTTAATCTTATTTTGACCAAATGTCAATGTATACTTGCAGCTTTCCTATCCTTGTTCAGTTGCACTGAACCTGCCTCCAAGTTTCGGCTGTATTTTTTTTTGTTGGTTGGTTGGTGATTGCCATTCAAGTACACCGGTTGCTCTTCCATTACTCCGTTGATATCCTTGCCTGATAAATAAATTTAGACTTGATACAAAATATTTCTACAACCTGCCCCCTTTATCAAAACACACTTGTTCGCCGCCCATTCAATGTCTCTCCACCCCGTTATACGTCTAGATGGAGGGAACGAAAGAGAGCACCTCTTCATAGAGGAGTTCTAAGAAGGGATAACGGTTAAAATCACCCAACTGGGATCTAGGAACGGGCTTGCCTTTCAGCTGGTCCTTGCTCAAATCATCCTTATGGACTAGAAAAAGAAAAGATACTATGAGGCATAATGAAGATGACAGGAGGATGGATAAAACTCACGATCAAATTCGAAGTACGACGGGCTAAGGGGAGTGACAGTAGGCTCGTCCTCAGGATCGTGCTGTCATCGAGTAATCATTAGCGCTGTTAAGGACAAAGGCATGTAATGCGTGGCTCACGTATGCTGTCAGATAGGGATGCTCAAGAGCCTCGTCGACGGTCATGCGTTTCTTGGGATCAAAGGTCTAAAGATAGGAAGCATTGTTAGAACCGCCCGCCGAAAGATTTGCTTGCATTCCACATGGACCCACCAAAGTCTTCGACAAGAAGTCGATAGCATCCGCTGATGCATGAGGGAAGAGGGTAGGGAAAGGGCGCTTCTTTCGGATAGGCAGAGCCCTAATGTAGTCCCTCGATCGCCGCGAAGTGATGGCGTAGAATTCGTCGAGGCTCGGAGTACCTACCCATAAAGAAAAGTTAGCGCTCAGTTTGTCAGCGTTCACCACTCATATAGTGGACCCACCGATAACATCGAGAATCAGGTCAAGCTGGTGGCTGTAGTCTCGGCCAGGGAACAGAGGGCGTCCTGTAAGCAACTCGGCGAGAATGCACCCCACGGCCCAAATATCAATGGCCTGGAGAAAAATGGTCAGTGACGTGGAAAGCTGTGAGGTGCGATACATGTACCTTGGTGTACATCTTGAACGAGAGCATGATTTCAGGAGCACGATACCACCTCGTCGCAACATATTCCGTCATCAGTCCAACCTCCTTGCCGCCGGGGACACTAGTCTTCACACTCCGCGCCAGACCAAAATCGCAGACTTTGAGATCGCAGTTGGCATTTAACAGAAGATTAGCGGGCTTGAGATCACGATGGACGATATCTGCGCTGTGGATGGACTTGAGGGCACGGAGTGTTTGATAGACAAAGTACTAGTCGGAACGATGAGCTTTGTGTGAGGAGATAAGTTCGATCGGGGCCTGATGGCCTACCTGGCAATGGTCGTCAGTGAGATGCTGCGTCCGGATAACGCGGTGCAAATCGGTTTGCATCAACTCCTGAATGACTATGGCCCAACAGTGAGTGAAAACTTTCGTGTTAGATTTTTGCCAACGCGTACAGTATATCTCCGTGAACTCGTCGAGACTGGGAGGCTTGATGATGTCCAAGATGGAGATGATCTGAGGCGGTCGAAGGTTATAGGGGTTCAGATAAGAGAGGATGAGACGGAGGCTTCACATTCTCATTAACGCAGGTCTCCGAGAAGAACTTGAGGAGTTTGAGTTCTCGCAGAGTCCGAAGACAGAACAAGGTATGATCAAACGGCAAGATTTTCTTGATAGCGACTTGGCGTCCGCTAGGTTTGTGCAGGGCGGCAGCGACTGTCCCGTAGGCGCCTTCGCCGATGGCGTGCAATAGTTGGTAGTCATCGCCTGGAATCGAGGCAGATCAGGGTGGGCGGAGGAAGAAGAGACGGAGTAGATATACTGACCGATTTCGAACTTTGGGAGGGGCTTTGGATTCTTGCGAGAGGACATGATGATGATTGGACACCAGAAACCAGCCGGTGGATGATGTGAACGGAGCAGTCGAGATGAACGTCTCCTGAGGACGAGGAATGTGTTCCGTGCAGCGGGACTGAGTGTCACAAACGGGTGATGGGCTCAAGTATAACCTGGATGGAAACTCAGCGCGACCGCTTTTCTTGATGGAAACAACCGACAACAGGCAGTGCTTTTCAGGTCAACTTCATCAGATTCGGAACAATTCACATCTTTTCCTCGAAAATTGCACAATTTCTGTGATTTCGCGACGTATCTACACAAGACATCAGATCGCCATGTTTTCGACAGACCAATCACCGACAAACTTTGCACGTGCTTCAGCACCTCTCATTGGACAGTCCTCTGAGTCTCTGCGTCTGGAATCTGGATTGGCTGCGGAGATATACCCAAGACGCACAATGGGTGGATAGCACACCGCCTTCGCAGCACACACAATTGTTGGACGTGAATCCAATTACCTTGTCCTTGGAAAAATGCCTCATCAAGTCAAGTACACGGTTGTCATCGTTGCCACGATCTTGGCTTGTATTGTATGTTTGATGAACCACCACCAGCCAATGAGGATGTCGCCAGGCACATACAAATAGCTCGCCCCCCACAAGGTCCTCCTCTTCACCTCTTTCCCTCCTTTTTTTCTGTTCTGTTCCGTGTCTCCCTCTCTTTCTTTCGTTTCTTCGGCTTTCCGCTTCCCCCCACAGTCTTTAAATCACGCTAACCAGAATATCGCGAGCGATGTTTGCTTCTACTCTCTCCTTGGGCCTGGCGCTTCTGCCTTTTGTGTCTGCTGCCATCCATGATGTCCAAGTCGGTGCTAGTGGGAAGCTGCTCTACTACCCGGAAGCCATTGTCAGTATCTTTTTTCTTCTTCCATTTTCTTATCGTCAACTCATCCACTCTTTAGGCCGCTCACCCTGGTGATCAAGTGGTTTTCCACTTCCATGCCAAGAACCACACAGCGACTCAGTCGTCCTTTGCTGATCCCTGTGGAAGGAAAGAGGGCGGTTTCAACTCTGGATTGTGAGCTCTTTTCATCTCCTTTTTTCCTTGATCAGCCCTCGCTGACGGTGCCAATAGCCAACCGGTTCCGGTTAACCAGACCGACCATTTGCCCACCTTCACCGTGCACGTTAATGACGTTCGTACCTGATCCGATATTTCTTAACGACCGTCTTCTCTAACCTCGACAATACAGACCGAGCCAATCTGGGTGTACTGTGCCCAGGCTGTCCGTACTCCCAACAGCCATTGCGGGCTGGGAATGGTCTTTGCCATTAACTGTGGTTATGACGATGAGCCCAACTCGTTCGGCAACTTTAAGAAGGCTGCTCTTGCTGTCGGCGCAAGCCTCTCTGCTGCTGCCGCTGCCTCCACCTCGGCCTATGCCTACCCCACTCCCGATGCTCACACCACTTCTACCGCCTGGACAACCGCCGCTTACGGAGACTACACCATCCCCCCTGCACCCCACCCAACCCCTGTCACCCAGGCCGTCACCCTCGGCGATCAGACTTGGACCACGACCTACGAGTCGTACCCCAACTCGCCCGCCCCCACCCCGGCTTCCGCTGAGGGTGTCGTTCACAAGGTTATCGTCGGTGGTCCCGGCAAGCTTACTTTCGACCCCCCTAATGTCTCTGCCCTTCCCCGGGACACGATCGTCTTCGAATTGTAAGCACATTCCCCTTGTCTCGGTCGACCTGGAAACTCATCTTCTTGTACAGCCACCAGAAGAACCACACCGTCACCCAATCTGCTTTCGACGACCCGTGCCGCCCATTCAACGCCAACGGTCTCACTGGCTTCGATTCTGGATTGTGTGTTATGTCAGATGAATTCCCTTTCGATCGTCACTGACATGGATTTTTTTATAGCTTCCCCGTTGCTGACGATGCAACTGAATTCCCTACCTGGAACTACACCGTCACCGATACTGCACCGGTTTGGGCCTACGTACGTTTCTCTCTTAATCGATCACGTTCATAAGTTGTTCACACATATGTCTTCCTCATAGTGCCGTCAAGGAAACCACTGCGGTGCTGGAATGGTCTTGTAAGTTTTTCTGTGTGTTTCTGATAAAGACCAGCATTCTGAATCTGAACTTGGTTTATAGCTCGATCAACTCGGACGAATCTTCTGGCCGCAACTTCCAGGCATTCCAGAACGTGGCTAAGGCATTGAACGGCACTGCGGTTGCTGCCGTCACGAGCGCTGCTCCTACTGCCACCACAACCGACAGCGGTGCCAACCCCATCAAGATTGGTGGTGCCAGCATTTCGCTGCTTGCTGCTGCTCTCGTAGGCTACCTGCTATAGACATGGACTGATTCGCACATTCTCGGCGGCTTCCTCTTAACGTTCCTTCACGACTTGGACATTACTTACATCGTCTTGATGACACGGCAGGCACATACTTTACCTTCTTGCTTTCGACCTGGACACTGTCGGCATACCCTTTTGTTTTCTTCCTTACATATATACCCGGTCTTGAGTATAATGCAGCCTGAAAGATCGGAGGTTCCCTTTCGAATGCGATATAACTCAATGCCGTGATATTGTGAAGGCAATGCTACAGGAAGCTACAAGTACGAGAACAGATAACAAGAATGAAAGGGATATTAAATGACATGGGAGAAAACGTGTAGAGTTGCTACGATACACTGGCAGGCTACTCTGCGCCTGACGCTTCTCGTGCCTTCTTCTCTTTCTTCAGCCTTTTCCGCTCGTGTCGGGCAGCCTCGTCTTCCGCCTCGTCACCCCCCTCAGCCTTCTTGGCCTTCTTCTCCTTTTTCAGCTTTTTCTTCTCAACAGCTGCTTCAGTGGTTAAGGCATCCCCATCCTCTGGCACTTCAGACTTTCGTTTACGTTTCTTCTCCTTCACCTCTTTCACAGGCGAAGTCTCCGGAGCAGGCGCGGATGAAGGACCGGCCTGTGGAGGGGCCGATGTCGAGGCTGGTGCTGGTGTTGGCGCGGCGTGCTCCTCACGAGTGTAGTCTTTGTAGTCGCGACTCCATTCTGCAGGCGTCGCGTCGATTTTCTCGCCGTGCTTGCCCAACTTGCCTTCTTTAACCATCTTCTTCTTTTGCAGGGCTACAGGGCCAAGACCCCAGCGGCGCGGATAGGTGTCGCGTTCCATGATACACCTCTTGACTTTAGCAACCACGCCATGGTCGCAAGTGGCGAGTTCCACAGTTGACATTTGAGCGATCGCAAGAGCGATGGCCTCGCCTGCGTGCAATTTCAGTAAACGTAAGAATGAAATGAAGGGACGGGATCAACTCACCCTTAGTTGTCATCAGCACCACTTCCTCATGTACGGAGATGTCGGCCTCATAACGCAATAAACCAGGTATCATGAGCTTTGCTCCATAGCACACCGCGTTGACTGCGCTATCCTTCACAACGATCCTCTTGTAGCCAACCATTAGGCATTCCAGCGGCCTGATGACGCGACGCAGGTACGATTCTACGGGTGAGACAGGTGAGAACCATCGAAGAAAGAGAGACGAGATGGAACACACCATCTCTAGTATTGTCGTACATCCATTGCGCGTCCATTACATCATGCATTGTAACCATATCGTCGTTCTCTGACATAGCGCCACTTCTCACCCGACGTAGCTCTTGCATGTGGCCACCGACACCGAGAACAAGGCCAAGATGAACACATAGAGTGCGAATGTATGTGCCGGCCTCGCAGGACACCCAGAATACGGCAAGATTGCGTTTTTCATCGAATTCGAGCAGCTTCGATTCGTGAATTGTTCGTATCCGAAGCTGCCTTTTCACGGCAGAGATAAGGGGAGGACGTTGGAACAGAGCACCGGTTAACGTTTGCAGGGCACGAGGCAAGGCAGCAGGGTTGGGCAGCCCAGCGTGTAGACGAAGAACGCAAACGTATTCCTTGCCTAGACACACGTGAGACCGGGGCTCCTGGAGAAAATACAAGGTGACTGACCTGCACCTTGCTGGGATTTCACCAACCGGGTGGCACGGTCTATACAGACAATCAAGCACCCAGTGACCTTGGGATCAAGTGTTCCACTGTGTCCAGTCTTTTCAACACGCAGGATCCGTCTCAACCAAGCGACAACTTCATGAGATGAAGGGTTCGACGGCTTGTCGAGATTGATTACTCCAGACCTAGGCATATAAGTTTGAAATTCAATGGTATATTTTCCAGGTGACATACTTCACGTATGACACGATATCTCGCTTTAGAGGGCTGCAGCCTGACGGTATTGGGGTGAAATGACTTGATCGGATGAGGAGCTTGTCATAGTTTTTGAGGAGGAGTGGCCATTGGGAAGTATCGAGGGCCGGGGCAGATTTTTCGGATTTTATAGCGTAGTCGCCGTTGAGCTGTGCTGTCACGACCTGTTCCTTCGTCAAAGCCGGCGCCATTGGGACAGTGACCTTCACAACTTCGACTTGCCAAAATTTCCCCAATCCCTTAGGTTATGAGAACATCATACCGCATTTGGAGCTACGGAACGTGCCGCAACCTTATTTCCGCAACTGTACAGTCTACCAGACCCTCGCGTCTACACAACTAGACACAACTTCATCGACAGCTTCAAGACCTCGCCAACCCGTCAAAATGGTCAGTCAATGGGCAACCGCTTTGCTGAGTTCCCTTCTCAGTAGGCTAACCCATTCTTATCCTTAATCAGCCCAAAGCCACCCCCGCCAAAGGTGCTGCTACCAAGCACAAGTTCGTTATCGACTACTCGAAGCCCGCCGCGGACGGTGTCTTCGATGGTGCCGATTTCGAAAAATTCCTTCACGACCGCATCAAGGTAGAGGGAAAGGCTGGCCAGCTTGGTGACAACGTCAAAGTCGTCCGGGATGGTGTGCCTTCAGGATCTTTTCCCTATCTACTCAGTTAACCGACTTCTTCAGGCAACACGAAAATCACCGTGACCTCCAACGTGCCATTCTCAAAACGGTACCTGAAATACCTCACAAAGAAGTTCTTGAAGAAGAACAGCTTGCGTGACTGGATTCGGTGGGTTTGGCTGCATTGAGCTCGTTGTTTCAAGGTGTTGACCTCTAGTGGTGTGAAGGGTTGTCGCTTCTTCGAAAGACAACTACCAACTGCGCTTCTACAATATTGCGTGAGTTGTTTATCATCTTCCTTTCGAGAAATGTTCTCAATGGGCTATAGTGGCACTGGTGAGGACGAGGACGAGGATTAGTTGACGTAGCTCAGCAAAATGAACCATAATTTTATGAATGCGCTACGTATTCCTTCTTCCTCTTTCGGCTTTCTTGAATGCAAGAACCTCCAACCTCTTTGCGGAATAAGCCATCCAGAAGAAGCTCTGGAAAGAAGCATAATTCGGTTCAAACCCCGATGGATGATGCCCCAAGTGGTACGGAGAGTACAAGAAGGCGGGTTTAGAGCATTTGGCCGCAGACGGCAAATAAACGTATATTTACTCCTCTAAGAGACTCTTCAGATGATCTTTGTCTACAATCTTTGTCCGGCCCAAGGCAAGCAGGCCAATTTCTTTCCACAACCGTTGGTTGCTTGTTAGCGCCTTCCCTTGATATTGGTGTGCAAGGAGACTGGACAACTGGTCTCTCAGTATCTTGAGTGCAACCCCGGTTTTTGGAGGCAAGGAGTATTTGATCTTTCGATCGATAGACGTCATGTCTGCGACCAGCTGCGCATGCTTTGAGCATGTCATGTACGGCAGAAGAACAAAGGGTCCAAACCTTGAAGTCGCATTCTCCACACAATAAAAGTAAGGATAGATCGTCAATAGGACCCGTCTCCCACGCGTAAAGCTTTTTAGAGTGCCTGTGGAAGTGGTAAGATGCATCTTTCAGATGTCAAGGAAGAGTCAATGGAGGACGCACATCAAGGTAAAGTATGCAAGGTGATGTACGTCGAAATTTGCGGCGTTCTTGCCAAAGTTCACGGATGAAGGATGGAAGAATGCTTGTTGGTTGTTTGTGATAGTACGTAGTTCACCGTATTTCCCATCGATCGACAAAACTTTGGGGTATAGACCAGCTGCTAGAGCGGCATGGACGATGGCGGGGTTCTTCGAATTTACATCTAGCTCGTCAGGCACGTTGACGAATTTTGTCCGCCCACGGGAGTAGCGAGCGCTGTCGTAGGAGGTCAATGAAGGCCGTGAAAATAATGTAGGAAGTCCACCTGTTGAGCTCCCGAACCAGACTCTTGTCGACTTGTATGAAGGATGAATCGATCAGATATCTAAAGACTAAAATTAGCCTGGGACGGTGAATTCGACAGGAACATGTGTACCCAAGAAACTGTTGACGAAGATCCTCAATTTGTTGTAAATTCTGTCCAAGAGTCGGCAAGATTTTATGGTTTCAGGGAGGGTGCTGTCATACCTGATAGCTCAGGAAGTTTGTGCGACAGAACTTCCTCCCAAATCCAGGATTGGCACAGGCACGCCGCCAACTTGCAAAGGCGTTGTTGATGGTTAGAAAATCAGAATTTTCTATTTGTGACGCATAAATGTGAGAAACGCAAGACGACGGGAAAAGGACTGACCAACGCGGAAGGTATTTTTGGCACGATCGGCTTCTTGTTCGAATCCCAACGGCACCACGAACGGCGATTTGGAGTTGAGTGTTGCGGCAATGGTGAGAGCAGGATCGAGGCAACGAAAGAGAGCGGAAATGAGCAAAAATTTCCCAAGGTGAACATCGGTGGGTAGCTTGCTTAATAGCTTTCCCATGGGAGTAATTTCTTCAGAAGGTGTCAAAGCTCTGACCTGCGGACAATTATAAACCAAAGACCGAAGTCGATCGACAAATAGTCTCACCTCCACGAGCATCGAAATGGCTCTTTGAACATTCACTGACATAGGAGGGTCTAACGCTCGGGAAAGAACATCTTCGATGGAGGAGCCCAGTTTCACTTTCATAATCTTGATGCGCAGGGCGAGGTCAGATAGGCTGAGTCTCATCATTTCCGGCAGGGGTGTCTCTGCCATCTAGAAGGGAAGCCAAATTGATCCCTAGTGGTTGGGAATATGACACTGAAGATGCGCACCTGCGTATCGTGGCTGACTTTGGTGAAGAGATGAAAGCACAGTCCTTCCCTGACTCGACCTGCACGACCCCGTCTCTGGGCAGCATTGCTCCTTGCTATGAAAGTTTCTACAAGACGGCTAATCTGACGCTTCTCGTCAAATCTACCTGACTGTTCAAAACAAAGCCACCCCCGTTGAAAGTCAAGACGGACCTCATTTCTCGATGTTTTCCTGTGTCGATGACGCATGTAATATCCGGTATTGTGATTCCTGTCTCCGCGATATTCGTTGCTAAATATCACATCAGCGGACTGGCGTTGGTTATATTAGAGGAACATTACCGATGACAATCTTGCGAACGCCTGAGGGAGGAATATCGAAGACGGCACTCTGTGATTCGCTCGAAAGAGTGGAGTGGAGTGGGTATATCTTGAACTCATTTGAACCGAAATGTGAATGCTCTACAAGCATGTCATTTAATCGCCTAATTTCGCCAAGGCCGGGCATGAAAACAAGGATTGCTGGTGAGAAAGCCTGATAAGCCACATCTTCATAACAAATTTTCTCGAGCAACCGAACGATGAGCTCGTACGGTATGAGCCGTTCATCGATGGTGTTTAGCGAAAGTACGGTTTCAGGAGAATATCGCTTTTCCGGCTTCCAGGTGGTACGACTGCCGTTACCGTTGTCTTCATCGTCATCAACAACTTGTGTATCCTCTGTCCACTCTGGCCTGTTTTTACCCTTGTAAAACTTGTCTGATACTGATAGTGTCCACCATGACGGTGTTGTCAAAAAAAAAAAAAAAAAAGAGAGAGAGAGAGACAGTTCTCACATCGTCGGGCATAGGGGGATGAATCCGTTACTGTCCATTTTGCATATTCGATGGCATCTTCTAAGAATTGGACGTTCACGGGGAACGTACGCCCGGGCACATGAAGAGTCCGACAATTCCCGAAATAAGTCGATATTTTCTCTGCGTCGAGTGTCGCGGACATTAAAATCACCCTTTTGCAAGGCAGGTCAAAATACAGCTCCGATGATAGTTGACACCACATACTTCAAGTCAGGCCGCTCCATCACAAGCGATTTTAAGACGATCAACAGAAAATCAGATTCGATGGTACGTTCGTGAACCTAGTATTTTGAAGTTTTAATATCGACATCAAATAAATGTATACAAGCATGCTTACTTCGTCGACGATGATATGCTTCATAGCAACAATTACAATTAGTTCTCTTGCTTGGTCGACGTAGACGAACGTACTGTGATTTCATCAAATGCGGTGCCCCGACCACCTTGACCACTTCCACCTTCCAGCATGCGCAAAGCAATGCCATTTGTGACGAAAGCAAGGCGTGTGAAGCGAGAGATATTGCTCTCCAATCTTATTGAATACCCGACGAGAGAATTTGACGCTCCCGCAGAATTTGGAGGATCGCCGAGTTCGAATGCTACCCCTGTAGATAAAAGATCAAGAGACGACTCGGGGTCGGTGGCCTAACACGACGAACTGTGGGCAAGGGATATTGCTGAGATTCTTCTCGGTTCTGTGCAGTATATCTTGCAAGGTTTTCCTTTCGAGAGACAGTCTTCGAGAATGAACGAAGGGACCTGAGTAGATTTGCCACTGAATTCAAGAGAAGTATAATTAATGAAAAGGCTGAATATTCAACTGCGACTTACCACCCAGTTTCCCCACTCAAAACCAACACCTGTGACCGTTCCAAAGTGTCAAGAATTTCGTCTCGATAGTTAGCAATAGGTAATCCGTTGCGTTGAGCCTAGAGGGCGACAGATGTCAGCAAGAATATTACAGGCTGTAGTGGGTCCTGCGAACAAGCATGTGCCGATACGCTGGTGCGGACTTTCTGTGTTGAAATTCGAGCGATAAGCGCTCAAAGAATTCACGTCCTTCATCAACACCCCGAGATGCGCCTGGCAGAGGTCTTGTTGATGCTTGCTTCGATTGCTTGTCTGTAGGCTGCAAAGAAGATTATATCGTAAGGTGCCGGAAATATGTCTGTAAGGGAATATTAAACACCTTTACATTCTTCTGTACTTTATCCCCTAAGACGGAACGCAGTTTGGCCCAAACTTTCCTATTATGCTCGTCATCTCTTTTCCTTCTCGCACTCTCGAGTTCATCCCAAAGATTGCGATATACAACAGGAAGAAGGCGAAATGAGGTGGAGTTGCTGGAACTTGCTGGTGTCGGCGATATGAAGCCTTCAGTAAGTGGGTACGTCAAGGAATGAAGAGCGACTACAGCGATATATTGTTCTGCCTGAGAATCGTCGGGACATGCTACATCATCCATCGACCATTCGCCTCTCTTCTTCGTCTGCCAGGATATAGTCACGCTCGCCCTCTTTGCGCGGCTATGAGTGGACAATGCCGTGTAAGATACCGCAGCGTATCGATCCACCTTGGAGACGAAGTCTCGCAGAAGTGTCTTCGGCATCTGCCCAGACCACTGTTTGGGTATGGACATATCACGAAGAAGAAGGGTAACTCCTTTCACTGTGATTTCGGTGGAGCCAGGATCGTTGAGAATACCAAGCATGCCAGAGGAAGAGTCGTCGCTGTCGGAGTCTTCAAAGAGGTCAGCCTTCGGCATTGGTGAACTTCGTGCGGGGGTCAGCGGTGCTAATTGTTTGGACACAGAGGCAGGGCTTTGGTGGCCGATTAGAGCAGATCGGAGACGCTCTTCGAGACGTTTCTTGTCCCACTTTGCTTGCTCCTGACGGTAACGATCATCGGCTTCTCTTTTGTCAAAAAGGTAATCATTACTGAGTTCGGTCAGCTTTTGACGTAATAATCGGAGCTGTTCAGTAGTTGCCTGAGATCGAGGTCGAAGCGAGACTTCGCGTTCACGTAGTTTTACCTCAACATATGCAGAGGTGGGGTCGGTCGTGTCTATATGGTCTTCATCACCTGGCAATTCCGACGCTGACCGAGGTGAATGGTCTCTGTTATCTTCCACACCGGTAGCATCGATGCCTGCACGGGTTGGTGCACCCGAGGGGGGGACGGGAGGTGTGGTCGACAAGAACAGGTCTAAGGGCGCGGAACGAATTCTGCTTTGTGACCGCTCTCGTGGCAGGCGTGGAGTGGAAGGAGGTGAATGGTTGTATCGGACGGTGACACCTGCAGGAAGTTTGAACGTTGTAGGGACTTGTGTTTCTAGTGCGCCTGCTAAGACGTGGATTAAAGGTGTTTTAAGTTCTCCTGGAATATCTTACCAGAGGACAATCCATCCTCAGAGGAATTCAGGTAGAGCTGGAAGAAATCAGAAAAATAAGATACACGGAGATGAGAGATGGATCACCCAGTCGAAAAAGTTTTCCAAATCTACACCATCCACGTTTCTCAGGCATTGTTCTACGTTTTCTTCCGTGAAACCGAGTCTTCGCAACACACCATAGGAGATAGCTAGTCGCGGCATGGCTTTTTCCTCTTCCGTGTCATCGAGTAATTTTTGCCCTGTCGCAGATCTATGTTAGGTTTCAACCCATAGCAGAGCAGTAGAGCGGAAGGTACCTGTCGGCTCCAGCGAGTCGAGGGCGAGGATCATGATTCGATCTCGTATGAAAGGGTCAATATCTAGTCGAGGAAGGGTTTGAGAGAACCGTCTGTCCACCTCAATGGACTGAAAGGGAGGGATGTGAGAAACTGCTGTCGCGCGAAGAAAGGTGTATAACCTTCATGGTCCTGATGAGGCACGTCGTTTGAGCAATGATGACAAAATTGTACAAGAAAGTACTTGCCTCGAAATCTCTTTCTCTGTCTTTTCTTGGAATTTTTCGATAAAACTCTGCAATTCCAGTTCTTCGGCTGACTGTAATTCATGATCATTGTTGGGATGAGTGGCAGTCGAAGCAATTTCACCGCGATTGACATCATCGTTGGTTTCGTTGGACACACTGGCATCAGGCTGAACGTCGGTGACTCCTCCGGGATCTGCTAAGTTTTCGTGCACAGTTTTCTTTGGCAAGGAAGTGGTGGCGAATCCACGAGCCACAGGCTTCAATTGCGTTTTCTTCTTTTTGGCCATGATGTATCCGACCGAAATGTTCGATTCCTAGTTGAGCGTTCTTGACCAGGGGGTTACTAGAGTTTTACGCGCACGAAGACGATTCAGATATGCGGTTGATGGGTCTATGAAGGATATACGGAGAGCGGTGCCGAAAATTCAACATGGGTGCAAGTGTGGCGTTTCAACGTTGGGATTGAGTCACCTCAACAAGAAATTTATGCCTTATCTTATCGGTCGATACGTACACAGATGCATTATTCAAAATTGATCTAAAGTTACATGCTAACATCCAAGCCACAGCAGGTGTACAGAAGGCAAATATAGATAATCTACGGGATCAAGATGCTGGTCTATTACACTGGTTTTCAGATTGCGTGAATTACCATTACTCCACGGACTGGTTAATAGCAGATGGTCCTTTTTTCTTAGGACCTGGTTTCCGGCCACGGGTTGAAGTTGTAGCGCCTGCCTTGCGCCGCCTACCACGGGTACTCTGTGTGGTCACAGGCAAGCTATCATCGTCCTGGCGCTCCGCTGTGGACGGAGTTGTGTGGCCAAAGAAGTCATCGCCTTCGTCGTTCCATAGATCCCGAACCGAGTCTTGGTTTTGTTTGGCGTCGCTGGCCTTTTCTTTGCGGGTCCCCGAAAGCTTTGATGACTCAAGGGACGCAAGCTGCTCGTCGTTCAAGAGCAATTGGACGATCTCACTCGGCTTCGTAACGTCGGTGAAATTTTTATTCCCAACAACGATGTCTTGAACCTGTAAGTGCATCAAAATCAGGATTGGAGGGCAAAATGAGAAGAAAATGGCGCACATCTTTCTTCACTCGTGCCAGCTGCACAATGCGTTCATCAATGGTGCCCTTGGTGATCAATCGATATACCGTGACTTGACGAGTTTGCCCAAGACGATGTGCTCGGTCCATCGCTTGCGCATCATTGGAAGGGTTCCAGTCATGATCATAGAAAATGACCGTGTCAGCAGCGGTGAGGTTGATGCCCAAGCCTCCTGCTCGTGTTGAAAGCAAAAATACGAAAATATCAGGTCTGGAAAAAGAACAAGTCATTAAAATAAAGGTCATAACGGTGTCGGTGAAGTACAAACCTGGTCTGCCAGTCTATCACCATATCTCGTCTATCTTCGAGTTTCGAAGAACCATCCAAACGCAGATATTTGTATTGGCGATAAATAAGGTATTCCTCCATCAAGTCCATCATTCTGGTCATCTGGAAATATACCAGCACACGATGATCTCCTGCCTTGAGTTCTTGGAGCAAACTGTCGAGTCTTGAAAGTTTAGCAGAGTCGTATATCAACCGCTTGGCCTCAGGGACGAGCATGTTGGAGACAGGCAATTGGTCCGTCGGTGATATAGCAGCTAAGCCGCTCAAGGGCACTAGTGGGAGAAGACTATGGTAGGCAACGGCAGCCGTTTCAGAATCTCGCATGTGAAAAGGTAAACCATACAACGCCAAAGATTCCAGAGGCGCATCCAGGAGAAGAGTTTGCGAGTCCAAGAAGGCCCGATCATTGCAGTACATGGACACTGCTGGCGCAACTACTGGTGGTGTATACCACTTCATGGTTGGCCTCGATAAGCAAGAGATCTGCCACGAGGTCCTCGAGATTGATTGCAACTCTGGCAATTGGTTGCTCGCTATGCATGGGGGTGCGGGGGGCCGAACTTGGAAATGATTAGCAGCAGAGGCAGCAAAAGTGGGTTCGCTAGAATCTTCTTTGAATAAAGAGCCATGACGATGGTGAATCAACTACTTACGACGCGTAACGGATATCCGGGACGGCCATTTCCCTCTCGAGAGCAAAAAGACGTCTGCGCATCAGTGGTGATACATGTATTTGGTGCGCTTCCGAAGTTGGCATGCCAATGAATCGCAAGAAAGAGAACGATGTCGAATCTGACGGCCAGGGTTAGGAAATGAAAGGAATCCAGAAGCTAAATACACACCATCGTGGTACATAGATCGATGGATCCAATCAGTCGACCAGATGTTGAGCAATTTGGTTAAGCAACTACTGCGAGACGGAGCTGAAGAGTCTTCTGAAGGGACATCGAGCAGTCCCCCATCTTGGTACAGGCGGGCAGGTATGGAATACTCAATTGGGCTCCGGGTTGAGTAGGGAAGAATCACAAAGTCCCCTTCTCGCATTAGAGGACCGGGTTTCCCGTAATTGCAAAATGAAAACGGGGCAACAACATCTGCCCGCTCAAATAGCTCTGGGTGGTTGCAAACCTGACAAGGGTTTCAATGGAGTGGCCGTGAAATGAACGGAAGAGACCAACCTTGCGGAATTGCATCACCAAGTTCATCAAGGAACGAGCAGAGTCTGCATCGTTTATGTTGGCTGCCTTCTCCAAAAGGTCGGCGACGGAGACATTTGCCAGAAGGGCAGCATACAGGGCTCTTTGTCGGGGGCTCAGGTCGACATGAATATCAATTTCGATCTTTGAAAAATGAAGCCATTAGTAACCCTAGAGAGCCAAGATCTGGATAGCTACCTTTTCGCTAAGTTCGTTCTGGACATGTCGTTTGACACGCCTCAACATGAAAGGCTTCAGGATCATGTGAAGACGCCTCAGTTGGTGTTCGTTGAGTTTACTCCCCTTGTTCTCAGCAGCATTCTCGATATCCTTGGAAAACCACTCGTTAAACTCATCGTGGGAGTCGAAGAGACTGGGCATGATGAAGTGCAATAGTGCCCATAGCTCTAATTAGAGAATGGGATGTTACCTACAGTCGATCTGGTTGAAAAAATTGACATACCTTGCATCGAATTCTGGATTGGAGTTCCAGTAAGGAGAAGCCTGTTGCGGCAATGAAATCCAAGTAGAGTTTTCCACCGGACACTGGAAGAATTTTTGATGTTCTGGGCCTCATCCAGGATCATGTATTGCCACTTGACGCGCTGGAAATACTGTTGATCCTGGGTAACCTAAAGGATGACAATGAAGCGGCCAAAGAACATGCAAATATCATGCACTAACCAGTTGGTAGCTTGTAATCAAGATGTGGAATGGGGCATCTTGGTTATAGCTGATCTCTTTCTTGCTCCAGAACTTCCGTAAAGTTGCACGATCTTTGACATTACCCCAATACGGAATGGCCTTCAATTGGGGCACAAATCGTGTCAATTCTTGCTGCCAGTTGTGAAGGGTAGAAGCCGGCGCAACAACCAAAAACGGTCCCCAGATATCGTGCGTCTCTGCTAAATACGCCAATAGAGAAATGGATTGAACCGTCTAAAGAAGGGTCAGTAGCTTACATAATGCCTAAAAAAAGGCTCTGACCTTGCCCAGGCCCATTTCATCCGCCAGAATACCATTAATGCCTTGTTCATAAAGTGTCGCAAGCCAGTTAAGACCTTTCAGTTGATATTCCTTCAACTGGGCCATCAGCATCTTGGGCTGGGAAATAGTCAGAGGTCCGCTCAATGATGTCGGGTTTTGGAAGTTCAATTCGTCCGAGTCCACTGGAGGCGCATCGTGTTTAAGCATCTTGCCCATCATCCAGAAAGAAGTACCTACAATCAACTAGTGGAGCTTTGGATGTTGAAACTTGCGCCTCTTCATCAAGGTCTTCGTGTATATGGGCTTGAGCTTTCGCAAGTTTCAAAGCTTCATTGGTTTTGCGCTCCAAAGCAGCTTGCGTGTCAAACTGTTGGGCTCGTTGCTTGGCGAGCGAGATTGCCTCCTGAGCATTGTGCCTTGCGTGAAGATGAAGGTTGGTGTGATCGTCTGAAAACACTGTTAGTATAAAACTATTGAAAGGAGGAAAATCGACTTGCCATCGTCGAAGTTGATCTCAGGAAGGTTTTCTGGGTTGACATCTGCTAGATGAGCTCCAGCAGGAAGTGGCTGGGCTTCCCCGTCGCCTTCAAGTTCCGTTGCTGTATATTTTCTTGAGCATGGCGCTCTAAGACACGAAATGCAATGCTTACTTTTCAGTTTACTTCCCACGAAATGGCTGTACAGTTCTGTCTGTGAAATCAAGAACTCAAGCTTGCGTGCCTGTCTCGCCGCTTCACGTTTTTCTTCCTCGACCCTGAGGCGATCCATTGCCTCCTTGTGTTCACGTCTGCGCACATCTCGTTCCTCCTTCTCATTCTTTTTCCAGAACACTTGCATCTCCCGCATCAAGCGCTTCGCCTTCGCCTGGAAGTCCTTGTTGGCCTTTGCCGTTTTCGTGAAAGGTTTCCGTGCTTGGATTGAAGCAAGTTTAGCGATTCGTTCGACCTGTGATTGCCTCGTTTGATACCCAGTTGCATGATACTTGTACACCTGCCACGAATGTAAGTCAGGCTAAAGAATGAGGTTAAAGAGTGTCAGGCCACCGATTTACCTTTGCAACATCTCTGCGGGCAATGTTTGTCCACACTTTTCGCTGAGCCTCTTCAAGTGACTTGATACGTTTTGCCATTGCATTATCGTCAACTTTTTTAGCTCTCTTGATGGGCGGTGGTTGTTCACCAATTTCGTAGACCATTGTAGAGTTTGTAGGGACGGGGGAACTGGGACGCGATGCTGCAGGCGTTATGTCACCAGGGAGAGGGGATGGGCGGGACACTTGTTCATGGTCAACCTCCAAAGCGTGTCCGACTTTCTTCTTGGGTCCGGGTTTCTTGCGGACTTTGGGCGTCACAGACACGCTGTCGTGGCTGGGCTCCCTCTGTACTTGCTTGACTTTCCCTTTGCCTTTGGAAGTAGACAATTTCAGAGACAGGGACTCCGGGTTCCTACCGTCGATGCCGTTAGAAGTGATGGGAATGTCTAGTCTTCGACGCTTGGCTGCAGGACCTGATGATTCCTCTCTGACATCGATTGGATCAACCTCACTTGCGAGATCAATATGTCCATGAATTGTGCGCTTTTTAGCCTCAGAGACATGCTTGAGAGACTGAGAAGTGGGAGAGTCTTGTAGCATGGCTCTTTCGAATTCAAGCGCAGCATCTTCGGCACCGGCATTGAAGCGTTTGTGATGACCATAGTCTTGACCAGTCGACCTTGTCCCTGTCATATTCTCAAACTCATCCTCAAAATTAGGCTGTGGTAGGATATGAGGAGATGCTGGGATGCTCTCTATTCTTGTGGAGTAGTGTCGGGAGAGGTCCTGCGCTGTCACCGAATTACGTTCCTACAAGAGGAAAACATTACAGTCAACCCGATGTTGAGGAGCAAAGGCACAAGGTAATTACCCGAACCCCATCCCAAAATATCTGAGAAAGACGATTTTGGCGCCTTTTAGTTTCCAACACGTAGGCATTCAGTCCGTCTGCCCAAATCTCCCGACAGTCTTCGAGATCTGAAGAGTCCAGTTCCAGCTGCTTAGTGTTGTGGTTATAGGAATCCAGAGGCTCGATGGCGTTCACGGTGGTAGGCGACACAGGACGCGCATCTTTTGCCTTGCGGGTCGATTTGCGCTGACTCGTCTGCGCGGGGATGAGACATTGCGACAGCATTACTAACGAAGTTGACTCACTCTTCTCTGCTTCGTAGGCATGTACTCCGCGTCTGGATCTGCTCCCCCTTTGCGTCTCTTCTTGGAGATGACATCATGCTCATCTTGCTGAGGAAAGCCTGAATGGGAGTCCGCTGGCGACAAGCCGCGGTCGTGTTCATAGGCATACCGTCGACTGTCGCTGGTATACGAAGCACGATCGTCGGGGAGCCAGTCGCCGGAACGAGAATCCCAACTTGGATCATACTGCCCCTGAGGTTGATAGTACGCCCGACTGGTGTACGACTCGCGCAGAGGTCGATGAGACGAGTGCGAACGGGGAGAAGGATTGGGCGATAGCCGAGGGTCGTCGTAGCTGTCGCGGTCGCTCGCGGGTGCGCGCGATGGCACTACGTAGAGTTGGCGTGAGTGGGTGGGGAGGGGTTCGTCGTTGAGAATATGGCGGAGAGACATAAAGAAGAAAAACTGGGCCTATGACCTGGAGCACAGAAAACTGGGCCTCGTGGGATCAAAGGTGGGTTATGACAGCACAGCACCCAGTAATGGACGGGACGATGTACGGGGCGCGGGTCGGAGGGTGGAGAGACAACGCAACTGTGTGAGAGGAAGAAAGAAATGTAGAGCTGAAGCAAACAAGTGGCAAGGACTGCTATCAGCGACAAGGAACGAGGGCAAACTGATACGGCAGTAATGAAACTCTCTGATCTTTGCACATTTTCGCTTTGGTCGCTTTCGAACTCTAGAAAAGGAAACAACAGACATTCGACTTCTCGCCAGCACTCCAGCCAAGCCTTTCGCTTCGTCCCTCTCTGCCTCGCTCTGCTGTTTCTCTCGATCTCTTTCGTTCAATCGCTCATATAGCCACATGATAGCGGCTGGTACACTGAAAACCACCCCACGTATGTATTCTCTGGATCAAGCATCATGCCACATTCGACTTCAATACACGTAAATAACTCGAAGTATGCATGTCGTTCCCTTTTTCGACCATCTATTCTTAATTGTCAGGGTGTAGCATCAGTTCTGGGCGAACTTTCTCGTCAAATTCTTCGGGTGTTAGGAATCCAAGTGCAACAGTCGCCTCCTTCAACGTTGTTCCCTCCTTGTGCGCTTTCTTGGCACACTTCGCAACGTCTATGGCAAGAAACATGTGGTCTTCAGCTCGATCAACACTGGGCTGATATAAATGTCCACTCACTGTCGTATCCTAGATGGCTGTTCAGGATCGTAGCAAGCATCAGTGACTCGTTCAGTAAGGTGTGGATTCGTTTCTCATTCGCTTGAATGCCGACAACGCAATTCTTTGTAAATGACCGCGAACCTTGGGGACAAGAGATGAGTTCTTCATTCTAGAAACGCACGGGCCGAAATACACACCATCAGCAAGAAGCCGAATGCTTTGCAAGACATTCTTAGCGATAACGGGCTTGAAGACGTTAAGCTAAAGAGATACGGTCACTTTATTTGACGGCAGTAGACGCAAGACCGGGCAAACACGCACTTCGAATTGGCCGCTTGCACATGCAACTGATACTGCCGTTTGGTTGCCCATCACTTGAGCAGCCACCATCGTGAGCGCCTCACACTGCGTAGGGTTGACCTTTCCTGGCATGATACTGCTACCGGGCTCGTTTTCTGGCAGGCTTAATTCACCCAACCCACAGCGCGGTCCTGAGCCAAGATAACGGATATCGTTGGCAATCTTCATGAATGAACAAGCAAGGACATTGAGAGCGCCATGCGCCTCGACAAGAGCATCGTGGGCGGCCAAAGCTTCGAACTGCGAGTAATTGTTCAGACTGAAAGAAAAGGGGGGGAAGACACCGAATACCTTGTTCGGAGCGGTGGCAAACTTGAGGCCTGTTAGTTTTGATACTTCAGCCGCTATTTTCACATCAAAACCTTTCTTTGTGTTCAGGCCCTGGAAGGGGTGTCCTATATCAGAATGGAGAGAAGAGGCACAACAAACCGACGCACAGTTCCGACAGCGGTTCCTCCTTGAGCCAAATAACTCAATCTTGGTAATACTGCCTCGATGCGGTCGATGCCATTAGCGACCTGTTGGACGTAGCCGCTGAACTCTTGGCCAAGAGTCAGTGGTGTGGCATCCTGGCGTACTTTCAATTGATATTTCACAGAATGCAACAGACTTTGTGCACCTGCAAGTGAGTACGACCGATCTTGATGATGTGGTCAAATTCTTTGGCCTTTGCGGCGAGCGCGTCGCGTAGTTCGACGAGGCTAGGAAGCAGGGTATTGGTGATCTCCGTGACGGCTGCTATGTGCATCACAGTGGGGAAGCTGAAGAACACAAGGGTTAGCTTTAGGAGAAAAACACACAGCACCGATGGCTCACGTATCGTTACTGCTCTGACTCCGGTTGACGTGGTCATTGGGATGTACAGGGTTTTTAGAACCGAGTTGACCCCCAAGTATTTCGATCGCTCGATTAGAAATAACCTGCAAACCATTAAGAAATTGAGGCGACGATGACAAAATGATTGCACCTCATTGGCGTTCATGTTGCTTTGAGTTCCGCTACCTGTTTGGAACACGACCAAAGGGAATTCGTCCAACAATTTACCAGAAATGACCTGTCAAATTTGCATGAGCGATCGCGGAGACGCACAACAGTAACACGCACATCGTCTGCAGCCTTTTGGATGGCCTCTCCTATTTTTGGGTCCATGCCATATTCAACATTGACGACAGAGGCTGCCTTCTTCAGAACACCGAAGGCCTTGATCAGAGGCGAAGGTAACCTTTCCGCTGGACCTCCGATATCAAAGTTTTGAAGGGACCTGAACGGATAAGACGAGATCCAGAGAAAAACCTAGTGATCCTACCTCTGCGTCTGGGCCCCCCAGTACCTGTTCGCCGGAACGTGAAGTTCACCAAATGTATCCCTTTCTATTCGATAGTTTGCCGACGACTACAAATCACTTTCAGCCACTTGCCAACATGAATGATGGTAAAACGTACCATGAGCAACCTAGATGATGAGAAGCGCCTAGCCCTGGTGTGCACTGGGTTCAAGGACCGTGAAATCTGGAATAGGACTGCCTCTATCACGTGTATGACGCAGATTGAAACATATGACAACTCACTGTGGAAGACACGCGGAGGGCCATAGTTATGTAAATAGAGATGGCGGGATAGAGATGGAAAATAGGAGATTGTTTCGAGGTTGTGCGCTAGTTGCTGCTAGCAGCTTCAAGATGTTCGCAGACGCGTTTGTATCCCCGGCACAACGCTAGTCCACCTCACGGCTTCTGCCGCCCGACATTTCCCGACCCACCCCTAACGAGAGGTAAAGTAAATGCGCGAGGCCGTGTACACCTCTACATTTCTACCACGGAGTACTATCGAAGTAAGATGCGCTCACAACGTATTTTGATTCGCATACTTGTATACCTTTTGCGACCCTCGCCCCCCACCGGAATACGAATTGGCCGGTGATGATACTCTACCCCCGCCGGCGCCGTAGTGTTCCTTCTCCAAAATGCGTTCGAGTTTGACTTTCACGAAAACAATCACGTGCGAATGGGAGGACGGGATCTTATATACTATACAGTCGGGACTCGGCGTTTGTGGCACTTCTGTCACTCACGCTTTCCAGCGCTCTCAATTCGTCGTCCTCATAAATTATGGCTTCAGTTGCTTCTCAGATTATCTTCCACCCTACGGTTTCCCAAGGCTTGAAGTTCGGAGGAACAACCCTCGGACGGGACAAGGTAATTACTTAGCTTCAATGGTATACGGGAAGTACCATCGGCTGACTGCGGCAGTAGACTTACAGAGCAATCCAATATTTTGCCCGCTTCTTCTCTTGGTATCTGCTCAACAAGGGCGATAAACTTGAAGCTGCTCGATGGACGGCGTTGAAAGGGCATTTGGGCACCGCCAGAAAGCGTATGTCTCGGCCTACTTCGCCTGAAACGACGTTCTTTGACACCTGAAAAGTTATGCGCCTCGGAAAGCCATTAGAGCACCTGCAGGCCGCACTCCGCGCTTCCCTTTCATCTGGTCCTTTTGAAGAGACTCTGACCACCGTCTCTCGGCAAATTGGCTACTTCGGATATCTTACCTATGATGCTATCGTTTGGGTGTGCAACTCAGCTTAGCCTGAACCACTGGTCTATGCTAATCGAACATCAGGCCAACTCCATTAAGTTCATCGCTTTGACCCCAGAAACATCGAAGAAAGCTGCGAAGAGAGCCTTCCAATTTTGGTTTGCTGGTATTGTATTCAGTCTAATCCACGGAGTACTCAAGGTGAGTTCGCCGTGAATTCCGCGGAGGCAAGTCTTAACTTCGTCGCCAGGCTGGGAGATTGGCCAGAGAATCGAAGGCATTGGGTGAATCCAAGGTTTGGGGTGAAAAGGATCTAGCAGAGGAAGCTGCCCGAGAAACCAGACTGAGTGCTGTAGAAGCGTGAGTACTAGTTCCTTTAGCTTGTACCGCGCTAATAATCGTATCAGGGCTCGCAAAGGTAACCGCCAACAGCTGGTTATCGATTTGCTTGACGTGTGGATCCCCGCAACTGGCGCGGAGTTGCTCAATGTCAACGAAGGTGTACTGGGAATCTTCGGGTATGTTTCCCTGATGTAGTCGGCCTTTTCCATTGACACATTTTCCCGTGCAGTCTCATTTCCTCGATCCTGGGGGCTAAGGCTCAATGGCGAGCAGTTGACGGAAAAAAATAAACGTGCAGAACACGCCAGTCCACTGTAATATAGCCTTCATGATTTTCGGAGGCTGTGTCGGTCGTTTGATTGAAACTATTGATAAACATTTTCGGTAATCTACGCAATGTTTCCATTGAGAGAATGTGTATTTGAGCGTACCATTCGGGAAGACTCAGCTCGAATTGTCCTGTAAACTTGAATTTCGCAGTCGGAGATATTCTTTCCGGACCTCTTCCATAGGCTCGGGAGCCGTGCTGGAATACTTTGAATAAACGCAGCGAGAAACGACGAACAGTCACATACAACCTAACCATGCAGTCCTGAACGACCTTAAGTTGGTTCCTGCACGCCCAAGCAACAGACACTGTTCGACCAGATGCGCACGCGGCGAACTCTGAAGGAAAGGGTTTAGTAATGAAGTAATGGACAAAGGAAGAGGAACTACCTCTGACAATTTGGTCGCATTCCTTGAGGGCGAAAGCCTTCGTAGCTTTGAGCAGGGTTTCTTCTTCCCTGCGAGATAAAGAGTTCATAGCGATGAAAGCCAAGAGTGTGACCAGGCAAGAGAATCGGATCAGCACTTGTTTATTTCCAAACCCTTCGTCCCCTCTTGGCAAATTAATGACACATACTCCTCGTCCATGTTGGTGACTCCTTGTGCACTTCGTCTCTTCCTATCACGATGTCCCAATTACTCAAGCCCTCACGGATATGCACTCGTTTCGTGCATAGGCGTCTTCTTGCAACCGCATCGTCGACACCTCCACCTTCTTCTTCGTCAAGTTCCCAGTTCGGAAAGTCGTTGGACAGTGGCCCCTCTTTCCAGGACTTCCTGTCAGGCGAACCGATCGAACGCGTCGTCCTCGGGAATACCAGGGTGTAAGTTGCTCAGCCTACACGGACTCCTTCTTGACTGAGGCTATACGAAGCCCACGGCTCCCCTCGTACCTCAAGACTTCAATCCCTTCGGGAAGCTCATTCAATAAAATAAAGAAGGATCTACGGGGACTTAATTTGCACACTGTCTGTGAAGAAGCTCGCTGTCCAAATGTCGGGGACTGCTGGGGAGGAAAATACTCTGCGGATGGCAGAAAAACTGCTACCGCTACAATCATGGTGCGCCGCACGGAGCCATAGGTTGTGTGGTATTAACGAAGCTTGCAGCTCATGGGCGACACCTGCACACGTGGTTGCAGGTTCTGCTCTGTCAAAACATCTAGAACACCGCCCGCTCTTGACCCTCACGAGCCTGAACACACGGCAGAAGCCATCAGTCGATGGGGTTTAGGTTATATTGTCCTCACAAGCGTAGATCGCGACGGTAGCTGAAGCTTTCCTTGTTCTGATACTTTCATGGCTCATGCAACTACTCAGACCTGATAGACGGAGGCGCTCATCATTTTGCGGAAACTATCAGCAAGATAAAACAGAAGTGTGTCACCCTTCAATAGCGTCTTTCGCTTCTTCTAACAATCGGCTAGGGCGCCGCACATTCTCGTAGAGGCTCTTACAGGGGATTTTGGTGGCTCATTGGAGCACGTCTCGTTGGTCGCCAAATCCGGCTTGGATGTCTACGCTCATAACGTGGAAACTGTTGAAGAATTGACCCCATATGTTCGAGATAGACGGGCGACTTTCCGCCAAAGTCTGAGAGTCCTTGAGCACGCCAAGAAAGAGGGTGTCCAGATCACGAAGACAAGTATCATGCTTGGAGTTGGAGAAACCGCAGAACAAATTCTAGCTACCCTGAAAGGTATGTCAATTCAGTACAACTGAATGATCAATGCAATAGCTTACTTTCGAGAACAGAACTACGGAAGAACGACGTTGATGTAGTCACTTTCGGGCAATACATGCGACCAACCAAGCGGCACATGAAGGTGGATCGATATGTCGAGCCATCTGAGTTCGATCACTGGAAGACAGTGGCGGAGGATCTTGGTTTCCTCTATGTCGCCAGTGGACCATTGGTTCGCAGCAGTTATAAGGTCTGTTGAGGTCCTTCGCCCCATTTGGTGAAAATCTAACGTTTTTACAGGCTGGGGAATACTACATTGAGAATGTTCTGAGAAAGAAAAAAGGAAGTCGGCAGACGACGATGCAGCCTTCGAAACTGTCTGATCCTGTTTCGGAAGAAACTCTTCGGTCTTGAGTTTTGTCGTGCACCAATAATGGACCAACATCGATCCATCCGCAGCTTGAACATATACTTACTCGCGATGGCATTACACTTTCGATTGGCGGCCCCAGTACTTCACACTAGACACTAAATTTAATGCACTATAATGTGCGTAGCAAGCTAGCTTTGGGTTGGGAGAGTTCTTTTTGAACCTTTCAGAGGGTAGGGTTACGCTCAGGGTTATAAGAATGGTCGAAGTCCCGCCTGCCGACAACTCGATTCTGATAGGCGATCACGGAATTTCCCGAGTTTTCCATCGGAGCTTAAACTAGCTGGCCTCCGAACTCTATTCCTTCGTCAATCAACAAAAATCCCCCTTTCAGCCCACACCTCTCCACACCAAAAGATGGTGAGCCACGTCTCTTCCGCGCTGCCCGTTTAGATTTCTGACTTACTGCATAGGATTCGTCCTCAAAAGCTCCCGTCAAGCTCGCCAAAGTCATTAAGGTGGAACCACTCCTTCATTCTCCCATCGACATCTAACATCTCGCTCCTTCGTCAGGTTCTGGGACGCACTGGCTCCCGAGGAGGTGTAACACAAGTCCGCGTTGAATTCATGGATGATACATCGCGGACGATTATCCGCAACGTAAAGGGGCCAGTACGAGAGGAAGACATCCTGGCCCTTCTGGAAAGCGAGCGTGAGGCAAGGTGGGCACCTCCAGCCAAGCTTGGTTGAGCATTGTACTGATTTTTCGTGAATTTTAGACGCCTCCGTTGACGAATCATTCGTATTTTGCTGTTTGGCGGGCTTGTTTCTCGTTTCATCTGCAATATATTGTAATTTGCGCTTTCGCAGTGCTATCTGGACCCGTGTAACTCTGTAAGGTTTCGAAATCTTTGAGCATTCGCAGTGTTGATTTCGGCCGGACGCTCACATTATCCGATTTCATATATCCGGCGGTAATCCTTGTGACATCGTGGAAATGCCCGGGATGGATGCCTTAAACATGCACCGTCACCTTCAAAAGGCGACCTCTCAATCCCTCCGGATTTCATGAGCTCTAGATACGCCTATGTTACCCTACTCACCACACCTTCCTACCTCGCTGGTGTACTCGTTCTGGACCACTGCTTGCGAGCGGTCAACTCGAAATACCCTCTCGTCGTTATGATTACTCCCTCTCTGCCAGAGGAGGTCAGGGCTATTCTTCGGAAACGGTCGATACTTATGAGAGAAGTGAAATCGCTTCAACCGCCAAATGGTATGCATACTCTGGCAGCGCACGATGTTAGATTCGCTGATACCTGGACAAAACTGAGGTACTCCTTTCTTTGTTGGTACATCACCAGACTAAGAAAATTGCAGAGGTTTCGAGCTCATAGAATACACGGTAAGTCGGTGCGAAGTACAATCGGACCCTTTTGCGTGTTCTAATATTTAACCATCAGCGGATAGTTCTCTTGGACAGTGATATGATCGTCTTGAAGAACATGGACGAGCTGATGTTGCTCGATATCCCTAACGAACATATTGCAGCTGTACATGTATGTGCATGCAATCCGCGCCGGATGTCCCATTACCCTAAGGACTGGTCAGTGACGCGTTTATTCTACTGGTTTATCGAGAGGCTAATTTTTATAGGCGGCCCGACAATTGCGCACATACTGCTGTCAAGCACCCAACAGAACCTCCCCCTTCAATAACAGAAAACTCGCCTCGCCCCTATACCCAGCTGAACTCGGGAACGGTGGTCCTCAGCCCTTCAATGAAACTCGCTGCAGACGTTATGCAGTACCTCTTCACTTGCGACCGGATATCGGAATGGAAATTCCCTGATCAAGACCTGCTCTCCAGTTTTTTTCAAGGCAGATGGCGCCCTATATCTTGGTACTACAACGCGCTCAGATCGTTGCACAGCGTCCACCCCATCATCTGGTCGGAAGGAGAAATTCGATGCTTACACTATATTTTCGCGGACAAGCCATGGCAATCTCGAATAACGCCACCTGCATCAGAGGAGGGCTTCGATGTCATGGATAGGTGGTGGTGGGAGCGGTTCGACGAATTGGGGAATATTATGTCGAGGAGCGATCCGCGAGGGTGGGAGTTGGTAGTTGCTACCGTGGACAATAGGTTTTAATCAATATGTGGGTTCGGCGCGGTTAAGATTAATCGTATTTATTCATAGATGGACTACCATAATTTGACTATAATGTACACTGTGCTGCAGGAATTAATGCACTTTAGCTATCAAATCAAGCACGCCACGAGACGTGCACTTGATCCGTTCGAAACCTGGTTGAGGTTAAATTTTCAGTGCTTAATCTCTCCGAGGTATACCAAGTCCGTTACCTCTGGGTGCATGTGCTCTTTGCGACCGGAGTCTCGTATCCCATGCGGAAACTTAGAAGGCCCGCTTGCGCTATCATTATGCCGTTATCGATACAGAACCTAGAGGGGTAGAGGTTTTATTAGGATCATATCAATGAGACGCAGATTTCTCGAACCTTTCGTCAGTAGCGAAGACCTGCCCGCCTCGTTCTTTGGACATTATTCCCATCATTTCTTGGAGACGCTCATTGCCTTCCGAGGTAGTGAGCAGATGTATGTGTATAAAGGGTGGATTGACTTACAACCAACACCACCAACGATAAGGACCTCCTTACTGCCAATATGCGCCATCGCACGTTCGGTGATTTCCACTAGCATAGCAAAAACATTTTCTTGGAGAGAGAAACACAGATCGGCGGGAGTTATAATATCCTGATCCTCGGGAGAGTTTGGACGTCCATCCGAACGGAAGCGCTTGTCTTGAGTGTAAGCTTCAACTGCAGTTAGAATACCAGACAAGCTGACATCCATCCCCTTCGTCGTGTACGGGAGGGATAGGAGACGTTTACCCCTGTATCGAGGCTTACTGAGCAGAGGAACGGCCTAAGGATGATTGACTTACTTCTTGGCTTCCTGTTCGATGTTATAGCCTGGGCTGGGGTTATTGCTAAGATTTATAACCCGAGCGAAGCGGTCGAGACAGTTTCCGACTGCAATATCCAGAGTTTCTCCGAAGATACGATAACATTGACGCGAATAGGCGACCACCTGAGTGTTGCCGCCCGACACATAGAGAACAACTGGGTTCCTTGCTCCAGTAATCTCTCTTCCCATTTCAATATCTGATGGTAAATTTTACATAAAGTGTTTTGCGCGTGATGAAATGACTGACGACCGACGCAATGATTTACCCCGACAAGGGGTTTGTCGTATAGGAGGGCCAGTGTTCTGGCAACAAGGGCTACACTCTGGAGTGGGGCTCCCATGCCGGGACCTGAGTGAAATTGGGGTGAATAACGCGCAATATTCGTGGACGGAACGCACTACCTTTAGTATAGCATATACAGTCGATGTCTGCTACTGATATAGACGCAGCAGCGAGAGACTCCGTGATGACTTTGAGTGCCCATTCCCGGTGGTGCAGAGCGGTGTCACGGGGCTGGAAACCTTCTCCAGGTGGAGTTATGTAGGTATGTCTGACATTGGAGAGGACCGTGGATGAACCGTCCGTATCATGTTTGATTACACCGGCTCCAAGTTTATTGGCAGATCCTTCGAGCCCGAGGGCGAGGACAGGACGATCTGGGGATCGAATTGAGTCAAAATGAACGTATCTGACGGCCTATTACCTGGATTCTTCAGAGGACACGGGGCGCGTACAAGGGCCGGCATGGATAGTGGGGAGTTTAGTCCGTCGTCCGAGGCAGGGAACAAGTTGGATCGGCGTAGCAGATAACATCCAAAGTCGCTGACCAGTTTAGTGATTTTCGGACCAGGTCGTTCTCACGCCTGCACCTAAGTTTGTTCATCTTCAGAGTTCCCACTAAGAAAACCGCAGAATATATAGCATTAAATAACCTGTCCAAGCAAGTCGCGAAAAGGAAATCTCGTTCGAAATATCAAGCGGGAGTCAGTAGAAGACTAAATCATCCAGGTCTGCTGACCGTTCCAGAACAGGTCAGGCAAGTACTAATCCTGGCAATAAGTAGGTGTGTGTATGACAAAATTGTTGGACTAGCAGAGAGGGACCGCAAATCAAGCTTTCGGGTCAGAGTCTCTATGCGATATCAGAGCAGCATACAGCTGCTCATCGAAGCTCATGCACTGCAGCTGGACACAAGGGACATGGAGGTCTCCATTATTATAGGCATCCGTGATATCCTCAACGGAGCGCAAGTCCCGCGTCTTATCCTTTGTAAGCTTGGCATACATGACCTTGACCTAGATTTAGGTTAGCACAGTTCAGAAAATATAGAAATAGGGGCTCACATCCTCCGATAGAGTATCCCACTCATCGACGGTCAGAGATCTCACACGCGTGACTCTGTATCTGCCGAGATACCTGAACTTGCGGTGTTTCGCATGGGTTTTCGGAAGTCCGACGAAAAGGTTGCGAATAGCGGGGGATTTGTAGGACTCCTTCTCTTTCCCAAGACCAACAAAGATGAAGCCATGCTGCCCCGGGACGGAAGGGCACCACGGATGGTGGTTAAGCGTCGGGCACAAATAGGACCCTATAGTCGCTTTACGGTCAGCACTGGTCGGGTCATCTGCGAGCCTAAGAAAGATGTGTGAATTTTTTTCTCAAAACGAGGATGAATTCCGAGTGACGGACCGTCTAACGAGGGACTGAATCCCGTCTCCGAGGGCAACCTTGAGGAATTCCCGGTCGAACCAGTTGTCATCCTCGATATTTATAATCTTGCGTATAACGGGAAGTTTTGCAATTTCCTTCTCGCGCTCCGGTGGGAGTAGACATGGCAGCAGTTGTGGACTCGGCGCGGCGCGGCGGATAAAGGTCACATCTTCGACTTTCGTCGGAATGACGGAAGTAATATGCATAGAGGACTTGACCTTATGCAGTTCAGGAGACTCGAATTTCCGGGATCGGGTAGATGAGGCTATAGACATCGCTCTTGGTGGCTTTGGAGATCCGGTTTGTAGATTCGAGAGCGGGTGCAGGGCACCCAACATGGAATGACGAGCCTGGATCATAAACCAAATGAAATGAACAGTCGGCACCAAACGCTTCACTCACGATTTCTTGCAGTCGAACAATCGACGATAGAAGCACCTTGTTATTCTCCTCCGCTCTTTGGAGCTTGTCTCGCAATGCCGCGATTTCGCCAAGCAATTCTTCGCGGTCTGTTTCCTGCGTTTCAACCAACTCTTGCAGCGACTTCACCTGAAAAGCCTTGTAAACGGTGGTTTATACGTCACAGGATTGAGAGAAGTACCCTGCGTTCTAGCGACCTCACAAAGGGCGGTCTAGGTGTGAGCTCTGCGGCCGACTGTTCATTCTAGAAACGCAGGACAGGATGTAAATGAGATCCCGGCAGTGCAAAGCAAAACACACCAGTCTAAGCTGCGTCATTTCTTTCTCCAGGGTCTGTATCTGGATCGACCGCAATGTTCATCGACAGGGGTCGCACATTTGGACGCTAGGGACATACCTTTTCCTGGAGGACGCGATTCTCTGAGCGTACATCAACAAGTTGGCCTTGAACTGCGTGTATCTCCTGGTGTTCTTTGAAGAAATGCCCTATCTCTTGATGATGCCGCAGAGCCAGCTGTTCATTCTCGAGTGTCAAGGCTTTGACCTTCTCAACAGATTCAGCAAGCTGTTCGGGTAGAATGATCAACGACGCGACGCGGATGCGAGAAGCAGGGGTCAACGCACCTCCTTCTGTAGTCTCCTATACTCTTCCTTTGCTCTCCCAAACCCAATCTCCGCGACTTGTAGTTCATCCTTTACGGTCGCATTCAGCGTGGCTTCCTCGTCGTCCCAGAACCCATGAGACGGCCCCCTCTCCCCTCGGCTGATGTGACGCGACTGAGACGCGCTCCTCCCTTCAGATTTGTGAAGGTTGCGAACCACATCACGATACGTATTGCGCTGTGGGGAAACAATGGTGTCAACGACATGAAACAACTAAAGATAGGTACCCACCTCTTCCTCAACCTTGGCAAGTTCCTTCTTGAGCTTAATTACAGCCTCGGATGCTTCTGACCAGCGCTTAACGACGTTCGACCAGAATACTTCATCCATGGGAGGGCATTCGTGGATCGTCAGTGTCAAGGGGATGCTAAGTTGACTGGCGCGTTCCTGGAATCTTAGCAGTCCTTACATCACCCGACATCACTTGATCGTTGTTGACCTCGAATCCATTTACGCACGATCGGAGCCGGCCTAGGCGTCGATCGACCTCAACTGCATAGCGCGCCACACTTGCTTTAATAAACGCAGTTCCTCACCATAAAATGTCATAAAGAGGGGATAAGTAACTCTATGGGCAATCACTAAAAACCAGGTATGCGAAAATTACAGCATGAACGTCAAAGGATTTTCGAGGTAACCCTTAAAGGCGGTCAACCATTTGGCTCCTACAGCACCATCCACGGTTCTGTGATCTGAGCTGAGGGTTACCTTCATGGATTGAACAATCTTGAAGCCACGCTCTTCTTCAGGTGCAGGGACAAACTTGGCCTCAGTGGCGCCAACGGCAAGTATACACGATTGAGGAGGGTTGATGATAGCGGTGAAGTGCTCGATACCAAACATGCCCAGGTTGGAGATGGTGAATGTACCGCCCTGGTCGGAGAAAGTCGGTTTCCGGATCACAGAAAAAAAATGCAGGGCAGACTTACCTGGTACTCTGCGGGTTGCAATTTGCCATCTCTTGCCTTCTTCGCAAGTGCCTTTGTCTCCGCAGAGATGGTGGCCAATCCCTTCGACCCAGCGTCCTTGATAATGGGGGTGATGAGACCAGTGGGTGTGGCAACTGCTACAGAAATATCGGCCTTCTTGTATCTGCAGATGGATCGTCTTAGTTATGCATAATGTGGAAAACATAGTACGGCTCACGTTCGGATGACCTCGCCGAGCCAGGCAGAGTTCGCCTCCGGTACATCAACAAGGGCACAAGACACGGCTTTCACAATGAAATCGTTCACGCTCAGTTTTTGATCCTTTTCGGACAGCGTCTTGTTGAACACCTCGCGCAGCTTCACAACCTTGTCCATGTTGATATCGACCGTGAGATAGTAGTGTGGAATCTCTTGCTTTGACTGCGTAAGACGCGTACCAATGGTACGGCGCATGTTTGATACAGGAGTGTCGACGTAATCGAGAGGAAGCTCGGCTGCTGGTGGTTGGGCAGCGGTCGCCTGAGCAGATGAAGCAGTCGCTGGGGACTTGTAGTTTTCAACGTCTGCGCGGATGATGCGACCTGATGGGCCAGTACCAGTGATCTTTGCCAGGGGAATACCGTGTTCAAGAGCAATTTTCTTGGCGATGGGTGAGGCAAAGATACGGTCGCCAGTGGGGAGCTGGGCATTGGTTTCTTGACTAGGTGAAGGCTTCGAAGGTTCCGGAGGTGGTGGTGGTGCAGCCTCCTCTTGCCTAGGCGCCTCCTTCGGCTGAGCGACGAGTTCTGAGGCAGCTTTCTGGGCCAGCTCAGCAGCGCCAGAGAGGTCGTCTCCCTCTTCTCCGATGATAGCAATGACGGAGCCAACAGGCACGCCCTTGCTGCCATCATTGGCCTGTCAGGAAATGAGGCGTAGGGCGAGACGGAATGTAAAGAGGCGCTCACGATAATTTTCGCCAGTATGCCGTCGTCCTGGGCCTCGACGTCAATCGTGGCCTTGTCGGTCTCCTGATGCGAACGGAGGGTGAGATACAACGGACGCCGGAGAATATGAATAGCACTCACAATCTCGAGCAGGACGTCGCCTGCAGAGAAGGACTCGCCCTCTTTCTTTTTCCATGACGCAATTCCACCCTCGGTCATGGTCGGGCTCATTGCTGGCATGTTGAACTGGGCGAGGGCGCGTCTCCGCGCGGAGACGTGAAAGCCTAGGAGGCATATTTAGCGGTGCTTCGAGCTGACGCATGAGACGAACCTCTTGAGAAGACGCGAGCCAAGGACGAAACCATAATTTGCGGAGGAGGGAGAGAAACGAGTTTGACGGACGAATATTTGTACTTCGTTGGGGATGGGCGTGATATCCCCATTTGTGCCAGCAAACACGGCCAAGCAGGCTTACCCGTTTCTCTGATCGCGACTCCCAAATGCTCTCTTCGGTGCTCCCTGGCCAGCCCATCCCCCTTCCTCCCCGTGCACCCCGGCCCCGCCCAGGCCCTGGTGTCTATCTGCGCGACGGCCAGGTACGCGCTTCCCTCATTGGCGTGCCCCGCTCAGACGCCTCTGTTCGTCGCTTTCCTCGTCGTTTGCGAAACACACCCATCATGCCACTTTTTCCTCGCAGACTCTCACTATCTCGCGTGTACAACCCCACCCACCCGTACCTGGGTCTGTTGTCATCGGATTTGTCACGCGTCTCTCACCGCTGCAGGCTTTGATCTCCATTACTGTTGTCGACGACGTCCCGCTCCCCGTCGGCGAAGAATTTACAGGTGTCATCCGCACCCAGGACGTGCGCGCGACAGAGAAAGACCGCGTCAAGGTCGCTGATTGCTTCCGCGGGGGCGATGTTGTTCGGAGCCAGGTCGTAAG